TGCTAGGTCTATATCCTATTTGGCTTGATATTCGTCTGTGTGGAGCTAGTGTACTGGATGAGAGACCAAGCACACTTGTCTCGGCGTATGAAAGTTTGGTTCGACTTTGTTAGATGACGGTATGTTTCGATGATGGAGGGTTGTATCGCAGAGTATTTCCTTAAGTAGCGCCCTAAAGCCAGTCAAGAGTGCAGTGGCAAGAAGGGAGTTGGGGAGAAGAAAAGGTGAGAGAGTCATGCAAAAGAAGAAGGGAAAAAGAAAAAAAAAATTAAAAAAGCTCCGAACTTCTGGTACGTGAGCACAGAAGCTCTTGTATGACATGCTGCACAAAGGACCCTAAGGAATACATAGAAGGATGGTATTTTCTTGGCGGAACCGGCGGCTCAGGCGGGAAATGCGCAACATGCACCGCACAAGCCATCACTAAACCCACTGAATCAAGCCACAGCCGAGAAGACAGCCAACCAGTCGTTGATAGGTAAGGAAATCCGGGGGGAAAGCGCGGTAAAGATGTTTTGGATTTACTTATCCATACGTACATTTACGTACGTATCTGCTTAAGGAGTGTATCGTCGGTAGATCCTTTAGAACTCCCGAGGGGGAAGAACTACCAGTTTAATTTACCTGTGCAGATTTACGCATCATTGGAGGAGATAGGATGTATACATACTCTCGATATCGATTTCTCGATATGAAGAGGAGCGTTCTAATCTGTCTGTCTCATCTGTTCCGTACCCAAGGTAAGGTCAGATAGGAATTGTATTCTAACCTAACCCCTGCAGCTATTACTCTACATACACCCTTGCAGTCAAGTAATTACCGTACAGTAAGCCAGTACTGATACAGAACTTGTGATACCTTTAAAAAAAAATAAAGACGAATTCTTAGGAATACCCAATTCAATGCGTCGCATGTTTACGGGACGGCGCAATGGCTAAACCTCTGCGGAACACGTCACGGAAGATGTTGTTTTTACTAATCAGAGCCCCGGGTTTATCAAAGCATTACGCTGCATTACTAATTCGGAAGGGGCCAGGTGTTACGGGGGTATGTAGAGGGAAGGCCTCAAGACAGATATCGAATCTGATGCTGAAGCCCTCGCTTATCGACATTCACTAGCCTTCATGGGAAAACTAATCCATATCTTAACAGCAGAAATCCGGAAAGTGGTACCTATAATATGGTGGTCAGAAATTTTTATGCAGTCGATTGCGCAAGAGTACGAACAGGGCTTCGTATAATTCTTTACTGCTTGGAAATTTTTATCATGTATGTGTACCAAAAGTCTTTGATCTTGTCGCGATTGTTTGATATGATACACCTGTACAGATTATCACGGATGTAATGACAACCTCTTTCTACATGGTATGTGAGTATTTTGGAATCCGTACTGAGGTACCGCCACGTATCCAAGCTTGACTGTTCGCCAACGACAACAAACCCAAAAATTGTACTTCGTGCTATCAATGAAGAAATTAAATGGATTTCTTTGTGTGCATTTTTAAGTTCATAGCGTTAAACTAACAATAGTTTTTGACAGCTTTTCAAACACTCGACTGTTAGTTCGAGCCTCTTGTAAATATGTACGTATGTAGTCTGACCCAATGTGGATTTGTGCCCCAGACGAACCAACGGTGTGTCGGGGAGTTGGTAATTTTGCATCACGACCTATCACTCGGGCAAAGTCATGGCAGGGAGGAATCGAAGTAGATCAATATTTGGGGTTCCATTGAGCAATATCCGTCGGTGGACGTCACCTACTGCCCAGAGCCCGCAATATATTCTATTTTCAGAACTTAAATGGTACTCACCGAGTCTGGTACCAGCTAGGTACTAATCCTTCAATTACAGTCACTGAGCTGTTAACATCACCTCTTGTTGAATCCTGTTCGACGCTTGTATTACCTTATTATGAGTCTACCCTATTAACCATACATTTCGCGGTGTATAATAAACCTTCCGACAATGATTCCTGTGAAATACTTTGACCATCTTGAAACGCCTTGATATCGTGCATCGGAAAACAACAACCCGAGGGTACATGCAGTAGATACTTACGACGAAGTACAGTATAAATAGACTCCACGCAATTATTTGTGTTTTTACAAAGCATTGCCACCTAATTTAGTGCTCCGAGACCGGCACCCACACATAATGATAAAGAAAGAAGAATGAAAAACAGCAATGTAAAAATAAAGCACACGCCAAAGAGGAATAATGAGAAAGAAAAAAAACCGACTCCAACAGTAACAGTAGCAGTATTCGCCCATAGACCCAAGTAGTAGCCATAGTAATCATAAAAATAATGGTAAAGTTCCCCCTCCCCATTCAATCCCCAAATTCTAGTATCAATCCAAACCAACAAACGGAAAGTTATCATTATTTGCTAACTAAGCACAATTATTGACCAGAACCCCCACTTCGCCTAAAGATATTAGTCCATCCGCCACTGGAGCCTCTGCTTCCACTAGCGTGACCGCTGCCATTATCTGGGGCCGGGGGTGGCCCAGAGGGTTGTGATTGTGATGGTGTCGGGGGGAAGCTCCAAGGAGTTGTGATAATATGAGGCCTAGGAGATTGAGGCTGAGGCCTCTGGTTTTCAGGCGTGACAGGGTGTCGGCAGATTGGGCATGTCTATATTATAAAGTTAGGAGGCTTTTCGATCTATCAATCGGATTTTCCCCTTGCTAAAGATAACTTACGTCATGGGCTTCTAGCCATTTCTTCACGCATTCGAAATGATACTTATGCTTGCATGGCAAATTGGCGACCTCCTCGTCAACAACCAAATCCTCTTTGCAAACTGCGCAGTCTGCCCCGTCTTTGACCATTGCTTGATCGACTTTGATTTTCGGCAATGATTCAATCACTTCTCTCGATGCTGGTGGCGGCGCATTTCCCTGGTGCTGTTCCATGAGTCCTGAGATGACTCGGTCGAGTTCAACTTGACTGTACACATAGTCACCCCCTCCGCCTGGCATTCCAAGGACACGAGCGAAGATACCGTTGGTATCACCGCTGACGATATTAGCAAGAATACTATAGACACATTAGTCATTTGTGTGGTGGGACAATCCTATCAAGAGGGGTCATACGTCTGCAAATCAAGTACATCGCCTCCGGCTGGTTGTGGTGAATTGGCATCCCGGGGACCCAATCTAGCATTCGTATCATAATGCCAAGTTCCGCCAGAAAACACCGTTGGTGGACCACCAAAAATCGAAGGTATTGGTGGAGGGTGAGGGTGGGCGCCCCCGGATCCTGCCCCCGAAGGATGCCCTTCCCCATCCTCCCCTCTTGGGTTTTGTTGCTCATTCCTTGGTGTTCCGCCGGGACTGCCTCGTGCTCCCGGCGGCATGCCATGATCTCCCACAATGTTCCGAAGCATGTTGGTGAATAGTTGTATCATCATCAGATCGTTTGGATCTTCATTTCCACTTGATTCACTCGACTCTGTCCGACCTGGACCGCCACGGCGGGTCCCAAATGTACGCTGTGTAGATGTGAAGCTGAAATTGGGGCCTTCTACGCGGAAGAATGTCGGGGGTGAGCGATCCCGGCGTGACTCTGTTTCGTCGCCGTCGCCATCGTCGATATCGAAATCATCGGGGAGATCTAAGTGCCCTGGAGGGAGACGTGGATCATGGTCATTCTCAATCTAATGATTTGCCTGATTAGCAAATGCACACTAGGCCCTTATAGCGAAGACTCAAAGGAAAAGTGGCCAACAAACAAAGGGACTGGCAGTAGAAAAAACGGTTGGAAAAACTCGGAAGGCAAAGGTCATGGAATACTAACGATTTCAACAAAATCGCCACCACAGGTTGGACAAACAAGGCCGTGTTCGTCTCTATACCATTCGTCTCGGCAAGGATGACAGAAGACCAGTTCCCGCTCGCCTGGGGGATTGTTGGTAATAGAAGACATCGTTATATCCGGTCCCTTTGTTTATGGGAGGAGGGGTAAGGGTAACTAGAAGATAGATGTGGTGGAGGAGAAGTGGTGATGAGGACAGGATAAGTCCTGATAAAAGCGCCTGGTGGTGGAGCTGAATAACGGCAGCCACACAAACAGATTTTGCTGGAGGGGAAAGGGTGGAGCTATGTATCTATGTCAAGAAGAGATCGCGGGATGATGTCGGCTGGCAGGGATACTGTATGCACACAAGGTGGGGCAGCTGCACAGACAAAGTGAAGTGCTTAGATTCAAGTATCTAGTATTTGATGATGTTGTTGGATGAATAGAAGAGCAAATAATAGGAGATATCAGACCCCGAAAGATTAAACGTTGAAGTACTGATTGGTTATAAGTACTTATTTGAAGCAGAGTGACGACAATAATTCAATTGCACGCCTTACCCTACATCAGTACTAGAGTAGAACGGCACACAGTAATGTAAGTACTGGGGTCTCCTGTTAGCAGCCGAGTAACAGCTGAACATTCAGGCCCAGCTTTCGAGGTCAACCAACAACCACTCACCTGGTCCGTTTGCATGACAGCGCTGGAATGTTCTGTGCACTGCTCGGGTTCGTGCAGGAAGCGCCACGTGTGGCGTTGTTTCCCCGCGGTGATGATGTCAAAATGCCGGATCCCCGGGTCCAACCAGCCAACCCATAGCTTGAAGGTCCTGATCCCGGATTAATCCTCACACGATACCATGATACGACACGTATCTTTCTTGTTTATCCACGATCTGGTTGAAGTAATGTAATCGATATCGGGTATGCAAATCATTCTAAAAACAATAACATGCAAGCAATAATACAAGGAGTGTGGAATCCATCATTTTAATAGATAGAGTAAACAACGAGAAATTTATTGATACCCAGCTAAACAGAAAAAGGAATCCCATCATACTGTAAAATTTAAACTACACAACCCATTCCCGCTTTAAAACTCAGGCTCATTATTTCCTACTACTGTTATTCGTAAAAAAACGTGCATTCCTCCATGTAACTTTACCAAATTCCGATGCCAGTCCGGGGGTATGTGCATCACCCTCACCGTCTCTTGGCCATACCTCTCCATAGAGCACTCCCAACCACGCCTGCCGCAAGAGCAACACCGCTGATAATCGCAACGCCAAGGAGACCCTCTGTATGGACACAATTCGCATTAGTAGATACCCTCCTCTATGAAATGTCTCTCAAGTAACAGGGTTCAACCCACCTCTAGCAACCTTATCGTCGATCAGTGTCCTTAAGCTCTGACTCTGCAGGTTCTGTGGTTCGTGGTTGAGCAGCGCTTCATTGTACTTTCTTGCCTCGGCGTAGTTTCCGAGTCTGTAGTTTCCGAGCGCGAGATAGTACAGACACTCGCGACGGCGTTCTGGGTGGTCTCGGAATATATCTGTTCGTGTCCGTATCAACAACTGCTCGATAACCTCTTATCCCCGATAACGACATCCCCCAGTCAAGCAACCCGCCAACTACCAGTCGATATTCCGCAGTATCCATGGAGCTTGATAGAAAGACTAACCGGTCAATAACTTAACGCCCAACTGCTGCTCAACCCGCTTGTCGCTCTTGATCAGACCCCAGGCATAGTTGAATTTGGTCTGTACGCCGACGAACTGACCCTCGCCCTCGTACTGTCTTCGGAGAACGGCGAGTTCGGCCTCCTTCAGAGGGCTGGGTAAATAATAAAACCGTCAATATGTTGTCTACATAAGGTGGTTGGGAGGTGGAGGAGGGGTTGCAATGTGCACATACCTTTCGGCATCAGCGGCGTCTATAAAAATGCGGGGGAAAACTTGTAAGTATATATGTATATTCTTGCAATTTTATGCTTCAACTTATTGGAGACTTAATTGGTATTAATAAGAGAAAGAAAGAAGCTCTTACATGGAAGATTATCAGATGGCATCTTGTTTAAGAAAGCTCTATGGTGGGGAATTCCGTCGGTAGTTCTGTAGTTTTCGTGTATGGATCCGGGGAACAGGAACAGAGCAACTCTTTATTTTCCTCTTTATATTTTCTTTCTTCGGAGAGTCAGGACAGTCAGATGAGCCTAGGAACTGAATGGCTGATGGCTTGTCCCTTACGTAGTGGGATGGGGTCAGCTGTGGCAAAAGTAGGGAAAAACAGGCTGTGGCTCATCCAGCCTTTGCCGGTTACATGTGACCTGCATAGGTTTCATGGCAGTTGCTGTGGCAACCGATAGGAGATTGCAGCCTGTGAAGATCACTTCAGAAACAACAAGGAACATCACGACTTCACGACTTCTCACGTTTTTGACTCCACAACAGACATAACACAACGGCATTACACCTATCTTACACACGCATACTCCCCTCCACAAACACACTCCCGACAGCAATCAGGATGGTTCTCCTTGACGAGGAACCCCGTACGTTCACCCCCGCCGCCAACACCCCCAAAATCGACTAGGTACATAGCTGACCCTCCCACAGACAGTCTCATCAGCCACTGTATCGAGAACTTCAACATCTCCGGCGACATGGAGTGCCTCGCAAAGTGCAAGAGTGATCTCTCCAAGGTCGCCGACAAGCGCGGCAAGATCCTCGACGACTCCCGAAATACCCTACGAGCGCTTGCCCGCAAAATGGACATTGCAAAGCAGTCGATGGAGGCGTCTGTTGCCGCCGCTTCGAAGAAGGAGCATGGCGCCAAGATGATCAAGCTCGACCGCGAGAAGTTCTCGCTTGCGAAGAATATCAATGAGCTGGAGAGCAGCTCGCATCATCTAGAGAGCCAACTGGCGCGACTAAAGGAGGAGCTCGAACAGGTGGATGGGGAGGATGCGATGGCGAATGCTATGATGGAGGCGGAGGATGGGACATTGTATGTCGTTCTTTAACGTGTTAGATTTGTCAGTACTAACGGTTCTGGGAACAGGTTGAAACTTAAGGTTTATAGGAGCTTGGGAATCGATATCCAGGAAGACGGCGCCGGTGGCTATAATAAGGCGGTGATACGTAAGTTCCCCGGTTCTCCGATGAGCGTGGTTTTGACTAATAGTATTATTTATAGGGAACTCGGCAAAGGGCGACGTGCATGTTGTCAATATCGAGAAGAAGTTCTCGCAATACTTCTATGCCAATTATTTCTGGAACACCATGTGAGCTCAGCAAGCTACTCACTTTTCTTCACGCTTTCTGTTACTTAGGGACGGTTTTTGTTTGTCGTTTGGCTCGACAACCGGAGTTAATATGCATGGTTTCTCTTTAAAAGGCTTCGTTCATGATACTCATGGCACTTAATACAGCTTATGAATGTTTCTAATCTACGATTGAAATGTCAAACACAGAAATGATGCCTATCATGAAAGATATTCGATTCTTAACCCAATCAAAGTAGATTGTACAAGAACTGGGACCAGAGGCTAAAATGTTCCAATACACGCGAATGAAGTTCTCAGTGATCACCCCACAAAAGGTTTCGGCCGCTCAATAGCTCCGAAATATTGAGGACAGCTCGCCCAACCCAATTAGCCAGTCCTGAAATTCATCCCGTGCTCTATACATCCCCGAGAATCACCATCTATATACTCCGTAGAGCTAGATAGCAAAGGGCCTACTCTTCATCTTGTGCAATTAGAAACCCTTTTTTGCATACCAATCCCGGCATTCACTTCATGGATCATCACTCGGTGATCAATGGAAAAGGATTTCCGGTCTATTAATCCGAGACACTATCGCACACCCTGACCAATGATTTAGGAGGATATGCACCGATATTAGACGATATGAACCCAATGATAAAATTCCTCCTATATGTAGCTATCAAGCATCAATTATGCTAGAGATTGAGACTTTTGTAAGCTCAAAGTTTCGTAGAATAATGTTCTCAGCACTCTCAAGACCTTACTATCTATGCAAGGCTACATGCGTAGACACCTATATGCATGTACTTTAGCGTTTTGTGATACTTGGTGGGATTAGCAAACCGGAGGGGACACAGAATATATACTTTCACTAGAATTCTAAGGATTTCAAACATCCAAGTCAACAGCGGGCCCGAGCAGGAGAACAAGCTACAGGACTACTAAATCTCCCCAAGGAACTCATTCTACGCCTCCTAGGGTAGAAGGTCGCGGGGTCAGTTCTATAGCTATAATTGTGGACGTTAATTTGGTCATGAGGCCGTGGTCTGGTGGGTTTTTACGCTTAATTATAACATACGTTTCGAATTCGAGTTGTGTCATTTACAAATTGCAGCGGGATGCGGATATGATATTAATGTCCTGTACATGTGTCTAGAAGTGCTGGATATCTTTCGAGCTTGAGGGGGTAGGGGAGGGGGCTGTCCCATCTATCTCCTCTACAGACATAGCCGGACCTCCTCCCCAGAAAGAACAATCCACCAAAAACAATCTCCACCCACAGCAAGAAAGCCCACAAACCCACAACAAAACATCCAACCCCCCCCCCCCCAACGTCACACCAACCGAGTGACCACCCATGACCCTCTTGGCAGACGTCAACCCGCCGCCCCCAAAGCTTATCCCAGAGCCTCTGTCTCACCCATTCAATTAACCTCTGCCCCCCACCACCACCACCACCACCAAAGCAAACCCCCCGACCCACCCGCGCCCGCTCATCCCCCGCAACGATGAACCCCACGCTCAGGGCCCTCCGCACCTACACCGTCGAATTCGCGCTCTGGATCCCCGCGTTCATCTTCATCACCGAGCACGTCGCCTCCCTCGAGACCGTTCGCGGGCGCAGCATGAGCCCCACGCTCACAGACGACCTCATCCTCGTGCGGCGCTGGCGCGCCGCCGAGAACCTGCGCCGCGGCCAGGTGGTGCTGTATCGGTACGTTTCCCCCCAACCCTTCTCCGGGGGGTGAAGGGAGAGGAGGAGGAGGAAGAACTGTGGTGGGCTAATTGGTTTGGGCCGTTGGGGTCGGGAGGGAGAACAGGTCGCCGATGGAGCCGGAAAAGGTCGTGATCAAGCGCGTGGTGGGACTGGAGGGCGACGTGATCAGGACGAGGAAGTCGTGTGCCGAGCGGGTTGTGACGGTGCCGCAGGGGCAGGTGTGGGTTGAGGGGGATGAGGCATTTCATTCGGTGGATAGCAATAACTATGGGCCTGTCAGCATCTCTTTTCTCTTTTCTCTTGGTTTTATTTATTTGGTTCTCTTTTGCTGATTGTGGTCGATGTGGGTATAGATCCCGTCAGCATTGATAACAGCAAAGGCCACGCACGTGCTGTTCCCGCTGAGCAGGGCGGGCCGTGTGGCAGAGGACTTTAAGGGCCGCAGGGGCGCCCTGATACACAAAGCCCCCGACCATGATGGAGTTGAAGGGGCGTCCTGATACGCAAAGGTTCTGAACAAAGTGCTTTTTCAGCGTGGACCTAGCTTGGGATTATATGGTTGGTTGGTGGAGGGTTTGGTTTCAACTGTAGGTATTGAGAATTATGTATTATATATCCCCCCCTTCTCCTTCTCCTTCTCCTTCTCCTTCTCCTCCTCTCCCCCCACTACTACTCCTCTTACTACTTTCCCCTCCTTCCCAGAAACTGTATATACTGCTCATCCTCCTCCTCATTTCTTCTTAGTCGTGGCTTAGATTAATTACAGTGGGGCTGTCTACTACTTAATACCGCACGCAGGAAGTGAAAAGGGATATAATGGAAAAAAAAGGAAGAAAAAAACATATCGGTATGCTCGCCAAACACAGTTGCAATAAGAATAACAGATAAAAGAGACTCCAACCAACAGTAGAAGAACAAAAGGTCCGGACAGCCCCCCCCCCCCCCGGCGCCCCCCATGCCGTGCACGCTACAAGTAATAGGTTAAAATAAAAAAGGAGTAAAAAAACAAAAGAGAATAAAAAACCAACAGCAAAACAAAAGGTCAATGATAATATAAAAAGGAATAAAAACGCCCATTACCCAAAGATCCCCGGCGCCTCCGCCGTGATCCTAATATCCTCCGACGTATTAATATTCAACCTCTCAATCTCCATGCCAATACTCATAACCCACGCATCCCTCTCCAACCTACTCCTCGCCTTAAACACAATACACTTCCCCGCGGCGCCCAACTGCGTCACGCGATGCCTGACCGTGCGGCCATCATCATCCGTCGTCTTAAACAGCGACCTGCGCATGCCATGCCACAGCACAAAGCACGTCATGGTATCCTCATCATGGCTCGTCATGCCGTCCTGATACACCCGTGGCAGCGAGTGCCTGCCCGGCGTGTTTGAGTCGAACGTCTGGTTCTGGTACAGCAGATCGTTCTCCGTGATGAGGCCCGAGTAGATGTAGCAGTCGCGCAGCGACAGCGAGACGTGGCGCTCCTGGTGCACGTGCGGCAGCTCGACGCCCGTGCGGCTGCGGTACGTGTGGTGGAAGATGAGCATTTCGCCGTGGCAGAGAACGACGTTGTAGCGTTTGAAGGTGGCGTGCTTGCGTGGTTTGCGGTAGAGCACGCCCGAGATCTTGATAGAGGGGTTAGTAGGAGAAAATAGTGGATTGGAGGATGAAACTCACGGTGATGGCCCTGCAGGAGGACATGCCGCAGACATTGAATATCTCTGCGGAAGCAATTGACCTCGAGACCTCCCACTTTCTTGCAAACTGCCCAATAATGGACTCCATCTCCTCATCGATATTGAGCTCCCTGAGGTTCTCATTCCTCGTCTTCCTCAGGATCGCCAGATCGTCCTGGTCCCTCGCCTTCCAGTACCTTATCAGATCGCGCAGTCTCGTGACCCACTCGTCCCTCGTCCTCTGGCAGAAACACTATCCCACAAACCCTCAATTAGCATCAAATCCCCTCTCCACCACAAACCCTCCCTAATGCCCACAGTAGTCCTTACCTGCAGCCTCAGCACCAGCCCATTATCCAACACAATCTCAAACGCCCTCTCATCATTAAACTCCCCCGCCACGCCATCCTCCCTACTCGAATCCGGCACCGACCGATGAAAATCCGCCGACCCCCCATGCCCCACCCCCGCATCCTTCCCTTGCGGTTGCCTTCTCACAAGCCTCACCTCCACCGCCTTCACCAGATCCACATACCCATCCGCCCTCAGCAGCGTATTCACCTTCCGCTCCGCCTCATCATACGCGTCCTTATCCCTCCTATCAATCTCCTCCGCCGACCCGCTCAGCCACGGGATCGCGCCGTCGGGTCCCGGACAATACGGCGCCACGGCATATATGAGCGGGATCTCGTCGATGATCTCGCTCGTCTTTGGTATTGTGCCCCTGTGCACGGGCAGCTTTGGCGGCGGCGGCGGCAGTGCCCGCGCGGGCTTGCAGAAGCAGAGGAGGCTGTCATGCGTGTAGAAGTAGAGGCGCTTGAAGAAGAGCTTTCCCAGGCGCTCGTGGCGGCCCGTGCTGGAGGTGAGGCGCAGAAGGAAGCCCTCCACGGGCGGCGGCTCAACCATCTTTTCGCCCGTGGGCATCTTTGTGGTCGTGGGGTAGTGGGTCTTGGGGCGCAGCTCGAGCTGGTGTGTCCTTTGCATGGCGATGGAGCCGTACATGCGCTGCTCGTTCAACTGGTGGGTGTCAGCGGTTTTTTTTTTTTTTTTTTTTTTTTTTTTTTGCAAGGTTATGAAGCGGGGGGGGGGGTATACGCCGTGGACCCATTCTATGCGGTCGTATCGCCGCCAGGCGAGTCCCATGCGCTCGTTTGTCTTCCAGTGCTCAATGATATCTGCCCATTCCTTGATACCCTCCAGCATCTCCATACTCTGGTTCAACAAGTTCCTGGCAACGACCTTCTCCTCCCTTATGGGCGCTTCATCGTCCAGAGGCTCATCCCGCAGCTTCTCCTCAATCTTTCCAAACGGATCCTCGATCCTTAGCGAAAGCGAGAGGTCCGGGACCTGGATCTGGAGCAAATCCGGGCGCGCCCAGCCCAGCGCATTCCGGATGAATGTATACCACTCCACCGACGACGAGTAGCACCTGGGCCGCATGATGTATATGATGGTGCCCTGCTTAAACGGCAGCCACAGCACCAGCGTCTTATCCAGCGACGAGTACAGGTTCACCTTTGTCAGCTTCGGGTCCAGCGGGATCTCCCTCGTGCCGTAGGACGAGACATGCGGCCTGTCAATCGCGGGGATGACCCTGCTCTTGTACAGGCGCAGGCTGAACGGCGTCTCCTCCTCGCCCGTCTCGCGGCACACAACGACGTATTCGCGCCACTTCTCGGCCGTGCGCGTCTCGAATTGCATGCTCTCGTTCTCGTCGTACTCGTTGGGCAGCTTCTTCATTGTTACCTCCACCCGCACGAGCATGTTCTCCATCTTGATGATCTCGCCCTCGCGCTTCCGCACATGCGAGTAGTGGCGCCCCGCATGGCGGAACGACCTGCTCCTGCTCATATCCGCCAGCTTCAGCTGCATCAGCTTATCGCGCTCCCTTAGGTCGACAGCGGTGTTGAAGCGGACCAGGCCGCCGCTGACTCGGTCCTTGTTCGTCGATGCGTGCGTGAGGCGGGCGACTGGCGGCGGCTCGGACGCGGTGCGCACCTTCTTCTTCTTCGGCGACGACTTTCGGGTGATTGAAAGGATTGATGGCCGCAGCGATGGCTGAGAAACTAATTGAGGCCGCCCCCGACTAGAGTCACAACGCTTCAGCTTCTTCCGCCGCGCCAATTCATCATGCTTCAGGAGAGATGCTAACGAATTGGATGCCTCCACCGACGGCGGTACCGAGCCCCCCTCAGAATCACTGCCTCCATCCATCATCATCGGAATCGGCTCCGCCCTTGAAAGCTCGCCGGTGAACTCGGTGTTGGATCGCGACAGCGTCGGGTCCAGCTTCAACGGGCCCTCGCGCGAGCTCTCGCCTTCCTGCTGCTGCTGTTGCTTCTTCCTCCTCTCCTCGGTGGCCGCTGCCTTACTGCTGCTGCTGATACTATTCGCCGCTACTGCCTGTTGCTCCTGCCGCCGGCGCTCCTCCTCCGCAGAATCAAACGACTCGTATGCGGTTGCGTACGACTCACCTCGATTAAACGACCGCGGCTCCGTACCCCTCCGCGAGCCCCTCATAAACGGCCTCCCCGGATGTCTCTCTGGCGGCGACCCCGCCCCCGCCGCTGCCGCCCCGCCGCCCACCTCCTCCCGCCCCTTCTGCTTCAGATCCAGCTTCGTCGTCGCCGCAGCCCTCGGTATCGGCACGGGGCCCGAATTGCGCCCCACCGCCGTCTTCCCCGACAGCGGGATCGGCGTCTCTGCGTCCTCATCATCCTCCCCCCCTTCCTCCTCCTCCTCCTCCTCAAGATACTCCTCCTCTTCGTCATCCTCAAGCAGCACCTCCTCGGCCGTCCCCCCCGCCGGGCGCCACGACTCGACGACGCCCGCAGACTCGCCGAGCCCCGTGACCTTGCGGCGGAAGCCGACGTTGTCGTCCTTGGCGAAGGACGACTCCTTGGACGAGTAGTTGACGTGCAGGTGGTGCTTGTACCATTCTGAGCGGTGGTTCTTGAGCCAGCCGACTGGGATGGGCCCGACGAAGCTGCGCGGTCACCGTCAGCCCCCTACGAGAGAGAGAGGGAGAGGGGGGGAACTTACACGCGGCGGGTGGTGACGTGCAGGTGCTCAGGGGTGGCGTGGTGCTAGTAGGGGAGGGCGGTCAGTATGGATCTCTAGAGCTAGCTAGCTGGACAGCTAGGTGGGTATGATGTAGTAGATACATGTAGCTATGTACCGGGCCGGACGGGAGTGAGGGCGAGTGCAGTGAGGAGAGGGAGGGGGGTGAGGGTGAGGGTGAGGGTGGATGGGGGGGGGAACACTTGCAAGTCGATGGGCGGTGTACGAGTTTGGGTCTAGAGTGCCCTGTGGATCGTCGCCGTCATCGGGCTGCTGTTGGTGGTCGGCTGCTGCTGCTGCTGCTGCTTCGTCAACGGCGGCGGCGGCACTCATCCGTGCTGTATGGCCCGTAGTGATTGAGCTGCGTTCCTTTCCTTTCCTTACTTTGCTTCTTCTGCTATGTGTGTGGTCTGTGTTTCCCTGCTCTGCTCGCGTTCACTGTCGGTGGTCGTGATCGCGGTGTTTTGCCTCCTCTCTTCTCTCCCCCGGTAAGGTCAGGTCATGTAGGTACGTAGTTAGTTACAGACGTAGCACAGCACAGCACAGCACGTAACTATGCTGAACAGGAAAAAAAACGGTCAAGCAAGCAAGCGACCGAAGCAGATCTGCAGCGATGCAGCCAGCGGCCAAAACAGGCATGGCCAGCCAGCCCGGCCCGAATGGGTGTGTTTAGCGATCTGCAGCGCCAGACGTGGACTACAATATTATTATTTATTATTATTGCGGTCTGCAGCTAGCTGGGGGTACAGCGTCTAATGGGTCGAGTCGAGGTCGAGACTCGGTTCATTTCACGCCTTGTGTCTAGGCCGGTGGTGTAGGTATTCTAGTACTGTACTGTATACCTGTAGGCATTAATTGTACTCAGGTAGGTAGGAAGCAGGAATGTTGGATCACCACGAACGAAACCCAGACCGCGGTCCATGCAGAGAAGAGTGCTGTGCGAGGACCAGGTCAGCCAGATCAGAATTCAGTCAGTCAGTCGGTTGCTTGCCGACGGCCGGTCAGCAGCTAGTCCTCACAAGCGCTCACTCGGCCTCAGACCATGTCCATGCCCGTACGTCCATCCCCGGCCATGCCCCACCGGACCCATCCCATACGTACTCTACCTCCAGTCTAGACCCTCTTCTCCACATACAATATGAACACAATAACAATAATATCAACAGCCACAATTAACTCTGGTCTGGATATGGTAATAAATAAAAATATAATTGAAATTTTTGAATTAAAAACACACTCTCCACCTTATCGTACAGTACAAAATGGGCGTTCACCCCCCCCCCCCCCCCGCGGGCTCTCTCTCTCCCCCATCCCAGCCAGCCCCATGAAAAAAAATCATCAAAGAACCTGTTTTGGACACCCCCCCCCCCCCCTCGCCGGCCATAAACTACAGTTTTTTATATATATATATATAGGGATAATATAAAGGTGATATGATGGTAGGTAGGAAGGGCTCCTCCATATATATGCCAAGAATCCGGACGAGAAGACAAGGAGAATCTAGGGAAGGGACTAGATATGTACGGTAGCTAGTGGCTAGGAAGCAATAATATGTAGAAAGGAATATCAATCTGCAGCTTCCCTTCCCAATAACCTAGAACCTAGAACCTAAAACTTTTGAAGGAGCTCCATTCACCCCCCAAGCACCACCGCGCCAACCACGGAAAGAAAGAAAGAGAAGAAAAAGAAAAACCACGAAAAGCATAAGGCCCAGACTGCCAAAAATACAAAATCTTTTTTTTGGCATGCCCCCTCATAGGCTACGTGATTCCCTCCTTCCCCTAGCTTTCCTAGCCTTCCAAGCCCCACACTCAAGCTAGAATGTAGAAAAAAACAAAACAGTCTTTTGGGGGTATTGAACGAAAAAAGATATATGAAAAAAAAAATTCCAAAATGACCCCGATGTAAGAAGTAGCAATGCCATAATATGATGCCAAGGTATAATAAATCCATCCATCCATCCATATTTCCCCCTTTCCTTTCCTTTCCTTTCCCTTTTCCCTAGGCCCTCCGGATCCCCTCCCCTCCCTCCCTCCCTCTCAACCACCGCCGCCCCCCGCATCCCCCTTCCCAGCAGAAAAATAGAAAGAAAAAACCCGAAACGAAAAAATACAAAACCTCAATATCAAGGCTGTGACAAGAAATGAAGAAAATCAGAATAGCGCCGTTAGAAGAGAGAAAACACCAAACGTAAGAATGCGGCGACTATAAAAAAATGGAAAATAAAATGCAAATTTCCCCCCAATTGGTTTTCCCCCTTTCCAAAAAAAAAGATATTCAGGACAAAAGAAAAGATCATTCCCCATATATAAACACCATCAAAGAAAAAAAAAGAGAAAAAAGCCGTAAATATAAAAGAAAATTATAAAACGCAAAAAATTGGCCAATCAAACAAACATGACGTGGTACAATCTGCATTATACATAACGCTCGCCCTTGCGAACGCCGTGGAATGAATGCCTGCTCCCCAGCGACCTGAACGCATAAGGCGTAGCTGAGGGCGGCTTTGGTGCCTGCATAAACGGAGACGCGGGCAGTCTGCGCCCGCCCAGGAAGGATGTGCTCGGCAGCGATGAGGAATAGAGGTCATCATATGGCTCTGGTGGCAATTGTGGTAGTGGAATGGAGGGGGGCGGATGGAGCGGCGGTCCGTCTGCGGGACCAATGGCCGTCATCGATTTCCTCCTCAGAGACTTTGTCCGGGTTGTGAGTGCAATGCCGGCTTGCGAATGATGCTTCTTGATGAGCATTGGAAGTGTGGGTGCTTTAGTGATAGTCACCTCTGGTGTTGCTAAACGTGGATCAACCATCGATACGGGACGGGGTCGTGAAGGCCCTGACGCTACTCTTGGTGATGCGGGGGTGGAATGAGATGCTTGACGGTGGCGCTGCCGTGGAAGTGGATACGGTGGTGAATCCGGTAGGGAATCGACAATCGACAATGCAGACAAGCTCGGGCGATTTGACAATGGTGGGGTGGGATTGTGGGGTATAGCAATGGGCTGGGAAGCTACCATGGGGGACCTCCTTGCAGGCTGCTGCTGGATATGGGTGGTTGACAGGGCTGTGGGCAGTGAGAAATTGGGGGCGGATGGCGAAGGGGTCCGTGGAATCCAATACAGGTTTCCGTCACGATCAATTGCAGACAACGGACGGAGAGATGATGGTTTCAGTTCCATAGACGAACGGGACCTTGCAGACACAGAGGCTGTAGATTTCCGTTTATTCCTTGTGCTATTCGAACGATCAGGACTTGTATCTGGGGAGATTGTTGATACTTTCGTATCAGCAATAGACTGCATTGAAAGTCTTGACCCTCGGAGCTGGTCCAACACCAGCTGGTCACCAGAAACAACTGTCGTAAATGATCTACCAGCTTCTGTGGACGATCGACGATAATAAGTCGAGTTAGACAACCGCTTGGAAGCAGTTTCGTCTGATGATTCGTTCCTGGATGAATCCCCTTCGTTCTCCATGTATCTCCTGGCATGGATATATGTATTCTCATTATCCTCGACATCAGTCTCTTCTGCCTCCTCCTCGATATCCTCCGTATCTCCTCTCTCCTGGTCCGGAACTCCACCACCCAGCCTGATAGCCTCAGCTCTTATCGAGCTCATCCAGGCATCCATCTCCTCTGCACCATTAAATACCAACAAAAGCGAAGCCGTGGAATTCTTCGAGGTCTTGTGAGAAAATGTCGGCATTTTCGACAAGAACGAGCCTCTCCTTTCGGGCATCGGTAAGTTCCCGTCGGGTCCGGCACTCTGATATACCTGCAACACCCACGGTCTACCCGGGATTAGGTCACTCGCAAAAGCTACCGACGACTCTGTCAACTGTAGAACCTTCTCAGGTTCCCTGTCCTCAGACCCATCTCCTCCATACTGAAGCAGCGACCCTTCCACCAGGATAAACATCTTTGTCGTCCAGTCCAGATCCACCGATTTCGTCGAAGCATGAGACCTCTGTAGTATGCGGCCACGCCTACTCCTGGTACCTTCCTCCTTCTGCTCCTGGTTACGCCTCAAGATTGTCTCCATCGAAAGTGTGGTTGCAGCCAATGAGCCGGACCGGATTGCCCGTGTAGCTGCCATCCAGTAGGGAATGTGCTCCCATGTCCTCTGGGTTGGTGACAACGGTGAGTGGTCAATTGTGGTTGCAATCTGGGACGCAATATGGCGCGAGGAGAAAACCGGGAGCGACAGCGAGTGCTTGACGTGCGGATGGGGTGTCGTTGGTGCCATGGGCGTTATGGGCGTGCTGGGGACCGAATGGTTGCCGGATGCCTCGAACCTCGGAAAGTCGCTGGACTTTGTATTTATCCGGGAAAGTGAACGGTTCTTCACGCCGAATCGTGAGAAGAGTGAGAAAAAGCCCTTCTGCGGCCTGCTGCTACTGCTGCTGTGGTGATGGCTGCTGCTGCTATTGCTTGTGCTATTGCTTGTGCTATTGCTGTGATGGTGGTGGGGGTGGTGGTGGTTCTCCGCAGGCTCCATGCCTAGCGGTGCAAGCGGAGGAGTTGCCATGAAGGAAGTACGGTGGTTGTTACTGCTGCTGCTGCTATTGATATTGATATTGCTGCTACTGTTGTTGTAGTAGTAGCTAGATGTTGCGTTACCATCTAAGGGTATACCCGTATTTCTGTTGTATCCATGGCCACGTTCGAGCATCTGAGCGGATTAGAGGCATCCAACCAGGAACGGCCTCGAGGATTGTAAAAGAAAAAAAAAGAATTCAAGCGAGATAATCCGTCAGGATGTGGGGTGGGTAAAGGTAGGGGAGTAGGAAGGAGGGGGGGGGGGGGGGGGGGGGGGGATGAATTGGTTTTCAAGAAAACGATATAAGAGAGAGAGAGAAGAGACAGTCTTCAGCAGGAATGTAAAAAATAAAATTATAAAAAGATTCAAACTCAATATGAGTGATCAATAACAAGGAATGATATGAGGAAAGACTGGCAGGAACAAGAAGGAAAGAAACGAGGCAGGAACGAAAACGAATGAGGGCAGGCTCGATTCGAAGCGATAGAACGACAGGGAAGAGAATGGGGAAGGAGGGAAAAAGCGGAAAAGGGACGATGAGGAAGAGGGCCGGCTCGGAGGAGGTTGGATTCCTCGGAAGGAAAGGGGCTGGCTGACCACCACAATCAGCAGAAGTAGTAGTAGCAGCACCAGGAGCAGCAGCAGCACTACCACTACCATCATCATCACCAGAGGGGAGGGGCCCCCAGTCAAAGATCGGTAGGTTCCAGATTGCAAAACAAACAAAAAGAGCTCACCAACAGAGGTACGGTGAGGGTCTCTGGGGAGGAGGTGGAGATACATGCCCAACCCAGTAACTGTTATGATGCATCAACAACAAAGTATATAATACTATATATCATTTGAGTGCGCCCCGATTGCTCTGGATCTGTGAATTGTAGATTCTGGATTCGAATTCTCTACTAGTGGCCTCCATTCTGGACTCTCACTCTCACGAGTCTCGTTTCGCTAATTGAGCATGAGACTAGTCAATTCAGCCCTCTTCCCCCCAGCTGCACCTCTTCTCACATCCTCAGGCTGTATGCCCGTTACTAGCCTCACTGTCAATGCCAGGCTAGTAGTACTCTTAGCTACATACATACTAGACTCCAGAGCGCATGTCTTCAATTCCACACCCTTTCCCCCCCCGTATGTACTTTTAGAGTAGGTAGGAGGTGAAGTACCTCATGTCTGACGAGCGTTTGATAAACCCGTCTATTCTGCCACCCCTCCCCTCCCTCGCTCGCTTCAGTGCAAGTCTATCTCCCACGCGTGCAGCGCAGCTGTCCGCGCCCGCCGCCCCCAAGCAAGTCAATGCTCATCTCGTGCACGTACGCACACCGTGCATCCCTCCACCCCCCCCCCCCCCATAACTTCCCGGGATAAGGGCCAACTCCTGCCTGTTTCCCACTTCTTTTTTTTTCCTTGCCCACCACACCCCTGGCCTCTCTTTTTGGATGTGGGTTGTGCGGAACGGGAAACCATGCGGGAACCAGTCCGAGCCCGGCACTTTTTTTTACGCAGGCTAGTGAATTTTTTTTTTATATTTTTTTTATTTTTATTTTCTATTTTATCATACCCGAAGTGCGCGCAGCTTAAAGCTTAGGTTACGCTACTTAGGTCCAGTTAGGTAGAGAGTTCCTCGAGTCCATCCTAGCTAGAGAGCAGTGATCAAGCCTCACCATGTAGGGAAAAAAACAGACGATGTGCCTGCCTAGGGCGCCCATGGCTAAAACCTGGCCAATAAATAGCCTCACCTGCAACGCGGATTAACCACGGCGTCGACCCCCATCGCCGGGTCCGTATCACACCTCTTTTTTTCTCCTGGCATGGGCATGCCATGGGGGGCAGGCAGGGTCGGTAATAGTTAAACCGTAGGGATGCATGCGGTAGGGATGGGAAAAGCGATTTTTGATTTTACCGTTTCAACCTCCTACAATTTTTCTCTGCTGCTCCCTCATCCTTTCCCCAAAAAAACTTTTTTGGCACCACCACCACCCACCCCCAACATAGCCGTCGTGGAACCTCACCAGGGGAGGATCTTATATAATGTACCCCTCATGCTGTGTGTCGCGCGATTTAAAGAGCTCGCGCGCGTGCGTGCGTTCGATGCTCGATATATTGCTGCGAGTGGTATATGCAAACCTGGATTGATCTGGGAAGCGGAGAGGGAGGGTGGCCCCCGGGGGGGGGGGGGGGTGGAGGGGAATGTTATTTTTATATTTCCCGTGTTCTGCGCATATTATGTAGGGAGAGTACATGATGGGGAAGAGATACTTACGCTGCCGGTCGGTTATCAGAGAGAGAAAGAGTGGGGTGGTTTTTTCCGACTGCCCCGAGGAGGATTTGATTGTACCGGTCTCTTTTGTCCCTTTCTTGAATGGCTTGAATGGCGCTGGTCATGATATCATTACTCCACTTACTCGCCGGCCTCACATCCCTACAGCTCTACTACTAGTCTATATACATAGAAATAAGAAAAGAGCGCGCGCGCCGGTAGCTGTCAAATAGTCGGTTCGGTCAATAAAACAAAACAAATCTCCATCCGCGTGCCTACCTATTCCCTTCTCCTTCCTCGAGCTCCTCATAACCAACGCAAACCAACCCAACCCAACCGCGAAAGCCTTTTCTTTCCAATTTGCAAAATACCTACCGCCGTTCCACCTCACTCCACTACACCTCCACCAACCTCCACATATGTCCCTCCCCCAATCCCAATTGCAATATTCACACGTGCAATTCCACCCCGTACCAGTGCAATCCCCACCGCCAATCCCACTCCAAATCCCAAATACAAATACAAATAGCCCACAGACCCTATCCTTTTAGGTAATCAAAGCCCCCCACAACCACCATCATCATACCGGTTTTTTCCAGAAACGTGAGTCCGGATCCTCGGGATTGGGATTTTAGAGAGGAGGAGGTCCGGGCTACTACTAGCTAGCTAGGGCTAGGCCTAAATATAACCCGAATACGGCGCTTTGAACCTTTTTTCCCTCCTCTTTCATTACTTCTGTTGGTGGTGGTCACTGGTGACGACTCTAATCACGGGGAGAAGAGGGGAGAAACAAAATGGAAGATGGGAGGATGATGATGGGAGGAGGTTATGAGAGGTTCAAGTAAAAAAAATTTAATTGCGGGTGCAGTGCGTTAATATTAGAAGCCTTGCAAAGATGTGCGCCAATTGCAGCTCCGGACTCGAGAAGCTATCCTGGCTAGCTACATGTGAGTATCAATGTCATAGGCGGGAGTTTAAACACCCCGGCCATGGCAGCCAGCCAGCCAGATCAAACGAACGAACTTCACCGTACCTACTGGCATACCACTGACCACTGACCGCGTGTATGTGTACCGGGCCTCGAGCTCCCGAACGATCCAATCCTTAATTGCACAGCATATCTACTAGCTACCCGATCCCACTCACTCCCTTACTCGATCCCACTTACTCACACACTCCCCTCGCTCCTGGCCCAACCATAACCATAACCATAACCATAATAACCATAAACCATAAACCACAACCCCTAACCGCAGTCTGTGTGCTCCCCCTCCGGGCTGCACATCCGGATCGGGGAATACCAATTTTGCCAATTTTTATTCTGCCCGTTTTACAAAGCTTCGAGAGCACAGAAAAAAACAGAAACATTGCATCTCACCTCTCACCTCTCTTCGCCCTCACCGCCCGGTCCTCTGCGGAGATTTCCAACCGCCTGTGCTGACTTGACTCGGGAGGTTGCGGGAGATCGGGAAGGGAGGGAAAGGGAAGGGAGCGTGATTGGTGAGCGATGTTTTATGTTGTTTCTGCGCATTGTATTGTATTGTGTGTAGCTTAGCTGTGCCGAAGCTCCCCTCCGTCCTCCCTCATGCTACCTACATGCAGCTAGCTTTGCTACGGTAGGCGGCAGGGAGGTGTGATCTGAGGGATGGCATGATTAGACCCGGGTCCGGGGGGGGAGACATCACACACTATCACTCGACCGCACGCGCGCGGTCGGATGATATTTCGTGATTGCATCCGAATGTTTGCGTTTGCATGCGTTTTGTTTACACAATTGTAGTATAGATACATGTATAAAGAAGGCTGCAGTTCCCCAGGTTATGCAGTCTGTCTGCCCGGCCTCGCTAATCGTGCTTTCTGCCCTATGCATGCGTATGCAACCGCACTGCCTAACTGCTGCTGCGAGGAGAATGCTGCGCATGCTCGTGATCGTGATTATATTGCTCTACTCTTCTCTGGTATTCTATCGCCATTAAAGTACATACATACCCGTACATGCCATACCTGCCCACACACATTACCTAGAGTACACCTCCGCCTACATGCCTCCGCCTACACTCTAAAGCCCAACCCCAAGAGGTCCGGGACGGACATATCTGAATACTAATCCGTTACCATGGCAATCCAGATCAGGCCACGTGTCGCACCCAATCCAGGGGTTTTTTCTTCGGGAGTGACTGCTTTCTGGAGCGTTCTCTCTTGTTCGGGGAGCATCATGGGAATGACATCATGGCGAAGTGTGTGCCCAAGGTAAGGGTTTCTTGGCGGGGGGTTTGTGAAGTGTCTGATGCGGGTATAAGAGAGCATTGCCCCCGGCTTGCATAAGTAAGAGAAAGGGGTTACTTGCTTGTGTTGTAACTGCTACTTACCTGCTCTATACACATACAATACTGATATTTACTTGTCTACGGGGTGTTTATTGCTCTGCTGGTAACTTCCGTCCCCTGTGCCTAAAGAGGAACTAGAGTACATATCTTATCTTATCGGTGGATCAGATCAGATCAATCAGTGGTCCGCCAGCCAACCTCAACTGACCTCACCACCGGCTAATCCCGTTTGGAACTTCCAAGGTGTCCCCTCGTGCAATTGCTCTCCCTTCTCTCCCTTCTCTCCCTTCTCTCCCTTCTCTCCCTTCTCTCCCTTCTCTCCAACATCCCCTCCTCCTCCTCCTCCAACAACAACAACTACCATAACTACAAACCGTCAGCATAAACTAAAACCAAATCCCACAATGCCTGACGTCAATAAGCTCGACACCCCCCAGCCACGACGCTGGCCCCCTCCCACACCTCCCGCCCCACAACCCCCTCCCCCCGCACCTCAAACACAAACCTCCACGTCCGCCGCCCCTCCTCCTCCCTCTCCCTCTCCTCGGCCACCTCGCGCCGCACCCCGCCCGACCCCACGCTCCCGCAGCGCCTCCCGCGCCACCACTCCCCGCAGGAGGCCGCGGCCTTCACCGAGCTGCACCAGGAGCTCGAGACCGAGCAGGAGGCCCAGGTCAACCGCCTGCTCAACCTTATCCGGCTGCAGCACCTGCAGTCCGACGACGGCATGTCGACGGCCGCCACCATCGACTCTGCGTCCACCACCGCGCCAGCCAGTCGCCGCGGGTCCGGGAGGCTCTCGAGGGAGAATAGCGCCAGGAGGCCGAGTGGGTCGGGGGTTGTGGCGGCGAGCTTTATTGGGGATGAGGGTGCGGCCGGGGGCGGGAATGTGCCGTGGTTGGGGAGTGCGCACTCGGATATGGCGTTTTATGTGGCGGAGGCGCAGATGCTCGCGAGGGAGAATGAGATGCTGAAGAGGAGGATTAGGGAGCTGGAGAAGCAGGTTGCGGAGTTGGGGGCGAAGGCTAGTGGTGGTGGAGAGGGGGTTGGGTTGGGAGTGGGAGTGGCGGTCGGGGAGGGGAGGGTGCGGTAGTGGAGCAGCTGCCGGAGGATTTTGTGCATGCGTTGTAGATGGGGGGTGGATGGGTGGTGTGTGGAGGAGGAGATATCATTTTAATGGTAATGGGGTGAAGATGATAAAAATTGTGGAAATGGCGTTTCGGGCTTAGAGGTTATCTCTGTTATTCTTCTTTATCCTTTCGCTTCTTGTTTCTGTTATGCTTGTGTTTTCCTTTGACTTGACCTGACTTGACTGGTGCTGCTGTGGTGTATATCTTGTAGTGTTGTAGCTAGAGCTAAGTGCAGTACAATCATAATCTTTACATTTGCTATAAACTCGGTAGCTGCCTGTTCCTCTGTTAGCAATTGACTCTTCCTTGAGATGTTAGCTGGTGAACTCTGTCAATGCTTTATCTGACTTCCCAATCCTACTCTCTCCAACTCTCTCCCACAACCTTACTCTCACACTCTCTCTAACTCACTCTCTCCAATATATTCTCTCATAGATACTCTCTCCCTTCCTTCCTCCTTCTCTCCCCTTATGCACGCACCCCTGCCCCTGTCCCTGTCGCAGCCATTAATTGCCGCACGTCATATAACATCTATCGATAAGCGCCCCACTCCACACTCTTCACCATTCTCCACACCTCACCAACTTACCCACCTACCTGCATATCTCCACATTTCGCACCCCCACCACCAATAAAGCAGGTGCCCCACGTCTTGGCTACTATAAAACCCGCCCCCCCGCCCCCTTCCACCACCCCCCCCACCACCATCAGCGCACTCACAATGCACCGCATCCTCCGCACCACCCCCCGCCGCCTGCGTCAACCCTCTCCGGCTCCGGATCCGGCCAAAACGACTACACACACTGCGTACCCTCCCTCCCCCCCTCCTCCTTATATCCCGGGCTAACACTCGACCGGCATAGGTAATTGGCGGCGGTGTCGTCGGCCTCGCTGTCGCGCGCCAGCTGGCGGTGCGGCATCCGGGGACGAGTACGGTGCTGCTGGAGAGGCATGAGATGGTTGGGACTGAGACTTCGTCGAGGAACTCGGAGGTGTGTTTGTCTCTCTATTTGCCTAGGGGAGGTGGAGGTGGAGGTGGGGAGCTGAAAGAGAGAGAAATAGGTTATCCATGCGGGGCTGTACTATCCGGCGGGCTCGCTCAAGACGGAGCTGTGCGTGCGGGGCGCAGAGATGCTCTACGAGCTGTGTGAGAAGGCGCGGATTCCGTTCCAGAGGACGGGTAGGTGGCCCTGACACATATACCGATGGCCCCCCCTTCGCCGCCGCCGCCGGGGGGCCTCCAAGCCCCAGCTCTAACAGCCCCCACAGGCAAGCTCATCCTCGCACAAACCGAGCCCGAGCTCGAAACCCTCAACGCCCTCTACACCCACGCCCTCGACCACTCCATCCCGCTCCGCTTCCTCTCCGCACGCGAGGTCCGCGCCCGCGAACCCTCCGTCACCGCGCGCCACGGCGCCCTCGAGTCCCCGCGCACCGGCATCGTCGACTCGCACGCACTCATGCAGCACCTGCACGGCGCCTTCGAAGACGGCGGCGGCGACGTCGCCTTGCTCTCCCCGGTCACAGGCGCCACGCCACTCGCCAATGGCGGTGGCTACCGCATCGAGGTCCCCGGCGGGTCCGTCACCGCCGACGTGGTCGTCAACGCGGCGGGGCTGGGCGCCGTGGATATCGCAAACATGGTGCTGCCGCCGGAGCGGCACATGACGGCGTATTACTGCAAGGGTACGTATTTCGCGTACACTGGGCGGGCGCTGGGGGTGCGGACGCTGCTGTACCCCGCGCCTGTGAAGGGACATGGGGGGTTGGGGACGCATTTGACGCTGGATATTAGTGGGCGGGTGAGGTTTGGGCCGGATGTGGAGTGGGTTGGGGGCGCGGAGGATCTGGTGCCGGGGGTGGGGAGGGTGCGGGAGGCGGTGGCGGAGATTCGGAGGTATTTGCCGGGCGTGAGGGAGGAGGAGCTGGTGCCGGATTATTGTGGGGTGAGGCCGAAGATTGTGGGGCCGGAGGGGGGCGGGGTGGGGGGCGTGGACTTTGTGATTAGGGAGGAGGAGGGGAGGGAGGGGTGGGTGAATTTGTTGGGGATTGAGAGTCCTGGTGAGTGGTTCTTTATCCTGGGGGAATGGGGGTGAAGGGGGTGAAGGGGGAGAAGGGGAGAAGGGGAGAAGGGGAGAAGGGGAGAAGGGGAGAGAGGTGGACTGACTGACTGACTGGTGTGTGTTGTAGGGTTGACGAGCTCGTTGGCGATTGCGGAGAGGGTGGAGAGGTTGCTGTATGGATCAGGGCATGTCTAGGTAGGTCGATTTTCTTTAATTCTGGAGATTTGTAGATATACGGTTATGTATAGACCTTTTCTTTATTGCAGTAGGTACTTATGCACCTGGGAGCTTCACACCCACCCCGTAGATGTAGACACAACAATACGTGTTGGTGCAGGCTCATACTCATACATGTAGAGGACGAAACGTGGCGGGGGTCATGTCATCAAGTGAAGCCTAAGTCTTGTTGCCTAACACCGAAACTTGGAGTCGAGTGATATCCCATGAAGATAAAGGTGTGAAGATAAAGCACGCACGTTGGACTGAGGCATAGATAAAAGGCGATAGTCAATGAGCTATAAAACATACACGCCATGCATGGTGACTGCATGTGTGTAGTGATGTGGTGGGGGATGTTGGGTGCACAACGCACGGTTTCTGCGCGTGCATCTCGAGATATCACTCGTTGCCCCATGTACAAGCCCGGGTATATGATGCAGTCACCGGCCGCGTGCAGCGCGGAAAGAGAAAAAAAAAGAACCACACGCACAAGCCAAAGCCACAGCCACAGCAGAAAGCGGGGGGGAAGAAAAAAAGGGCGATAAAAACTCGTAAGGTATTTTGTTCAAAAAACTAACTAGACCTGTGGCGTCTCCTTGACACACCTCCTCAGCATGCCACAGAAGCTCTCAAACAGCACATGATCCGTTCCCCTCGTCCACCGCACCACAACCTCGCCGCCCATAACCTCGATTCGAAAGCCCATCTTCACCTCGCCGCCCTCGACATCCACGTCCATCTCCCCGCGAGCCTTCCGCCGCCGTGCCTTCCGGCTCCACACATCGCCCCTTGCCTCCCCGCGGCCCACCACCCGATCCCCCTCCCCCTCCCCTCCCCCTCTCCCTCCTTCCTCCCCTCGACCACTTCCCACTCCACCCCCAACCCCTCCACTTCCCACTCCAACCCCAACCCCTCCACAACCCCCACCACCACCCGCACACTCTCCTCCCCTCCTCCAACCGCCGCTACCGTCGGCCACGCCCCCTTCACCCCCACATCCCTCGGTCTCATCCCCCCCAACACCACGCAACCCCCCACCGCCTCGTCGCCCCCTGCCGGAACTCCGTCACCGCATAGTTCCCCGTCCGCGCTTTCACCATCTCCACCAGCGGCGCCAGCGACGCAAGCTTCCCAACCATACTACTATACCACGTCGCCCCCCCTCCTCCGCCGTGGACCCACGACTCCTCGATGATCCGCGCCACAAACCCCACCTCCCCGCCGCCAGAATACACCATCTCCCCCGCAGACCCCGTGCACGCCGACGACGGCGGCAGCGCCTTTGCGGCCGCCGAAGCGGCGTGTTCGGCGGCGGAGGCGTAGAATGGGGGGTTGCACATGGTGAAGTCGAGTCTTTGTCATCACATATCTGTCAGTATATTACTAACACCCATCTAGCCAGCCAGCCAGCTAGCTAGCCAGCTAGCTCGAGAGAGAGAGAGAGAAGGGGAGGTTACGTCTCGATCCCAGGCGGAAACAGCGGCCCGTCGGCCGTACTATCCAGCACCGTGATGCGGCCACCGACTTTATCGGCATTACGGTCAACGTTGGCGCGCGCGGCGCGGAGAGAGGCCGCGTCGATGTCGGTGCCGTACATGTGCCATTTGGGGCGCGAAGCGCAGGCGAGGAGCGGGTATATGCAGCTTGCTCCTGTACCACTGTGCCGCAGCTTACCGTCAGCGTTTTGTCGGAGGAGAGATGGGGCGGGGGGGAGAGAAGAGGGAGGGGAGCGGGGAGCGGGGAGCGGGGAGAAATACATATCGAGCCCGACGACCTTCCGACTGGGGTCGTAGTCGTCAGTGGGGCCGCCGCTGGTCGAGTCTATGAGGTCCTGCATCCAGAGGACGTAGTTGAGCCTGCCTCTCCATATTCAGCGCTGAAAGCCAATATGCAGCTACGGCCGCCGGGAAGGGGGGGTCTTGACATACCTATTCGGCACCGTCGGACACAGACGGTCCTCCGGAAGCTCCACAGTGAGGCCAAAGTGGCGCTTGAGCAAGCATTTCGTGAGTTCCCTGGTAAGAGACACAAACCACTTATTCTCAGTCTCTCTCTCTCTCTCTCTTTTACTTACAAAAAAAAAAAAAAACTCATAAAATGACGGGTATGGGTTTATATATATATAATACTACCCACCGTACAGCATCCGGATCCTTAAAGTTGATTGATTTGTTTTTTACAAGGCTGCATGTAGCTTAGGCCCGGTGTGGGAGGAGTGGGGGGAAGGTGATTAGTTACATGTATGTAAATATTAATCGTACCAATCACAAATAGTAGAATAGAGCAGCAAGGCCTACTGTTTAGCAAGAGACGGATAGCCCTGTGCGAGCTGGGCAAAGTCGGTGTACTCTGCGTACGGGCTGCGGGGATGCATTGCGGGGCCGTGGAGTAAGTATTTCTGCAGCAGAGTATAGGTAGTGGAGAGCTCTACTCTAGTAGAGTGGTAAATAGTAGATAAATAGTAGACTCTGGTAGTAGTAGTAGTGGTCGTGGTGGTGGTGGTAGTAGTGGTAGTAGTGGTAGTAGTAGTAGTAGTAGTAGTAGTAGTAGTAACCAGTGCCAGTAGACAGCACTTGGGCAGAACCCGGACGAGATATTTATGACGTTGCTTGCTCTTGCCAAGTGGGGCAGGATCAACCCTCAATCACGGTCTGTGAATCATTACCCGCGTGCATACAAATCTAGTGGCACCGGCCTGCGCGGCTCAAAATACCTTATTTAATTTACACACTCTAAAATTTCAATTCTTGAACAATTGCAATTGCCACACTCTCTTGCTCTACCCGCCCATTCATCTACGGATTGAACTCGGTACATACTACATACACATGAGCCTGCCACTAAAACTAATACAAAGAAGAGGACTAGGCGGGACTCTGCCACTATCCCGCGGCCGCCATTGCCGAAACCTACAAACCTCCACCTCCTCAGCCTCGAACCGAGGGGATCGTCCCTTTCGCCTCGCCGTGATCGGTGCAGGCCCCGCAGGATTCTACACAGCTTACCGGGTTCTCAGCAAGCTCTACAATGCCAAAGTCGACATGTACGAGTCTCTCCCAGTGCCATACGGGCTTGTGCGATTCGGCGTAGCTCCCGACCATCCAGAAGTCAAGGTTTGAGTGAGACCATCTGCCCCTACCATATATCATTGACACCCCCATAGAACTGTCAAGACAAATTTAACGAAGTCGCTCAAGATCCGCGCTTCACCTATATCGGTAACCTCCCCATCGGGACTTCGTGGCCGCATCCACCACACCGTTCACTCCCGCTCACCACGCTGGCCCCACACTATGACGCCCTCCTCCTTTCATATGGCGCCAGCAAGGACCGTGAGCTTGGTATCCCCGGTGAAAACTCGCTCTCGGGTGTCTTCTCGGCGCGCGCGTTCGTTGGCTGGTACAACGGCCTGCCAGAGTACCGGTCGTTGAACCCCCGGCTAGACTCCTTCGGCGACGAAGCCGTCATCATAGGGCAAGGGAATGTTGCGCTAGACGTAGCCCGTATTCTCGTCATGGGCCTTGAGGAGCTACGCAAGACGGACATCACTGAGTATGCGCTCGAGGCGCTGAGTAGAAGCCGAGTGCGGCGTGTACGGGTCGTGGGACGACGTGGGCCACTCCAGGCGTCGTTCACGGTGAAGGAGCTGCGGGAGTTACTCTTACTACCCGGTGTTGGATTCCCGCCTGTGAACTCAGAGTTGCTCCCAACGGACACGGCAGGGCTCCAAAGGGCACCGAAGCGCATGTTACAGGTGCTGCAGAAAGGTCCGCGTACCCCACTCGAGGCTGCTTCTAAGTCGTGGGAGCTGGGCTTTCTGCGCTCTCCAAAGGCGTTTCTATCATCGGTAGCGGACCCAACAAGGCTAGGAGAGGTTCTGTTTGATAAGATGCAGCTCGAAGAGCCTTTTAGTCCCACGAGCCGGGTGACACAGACGGGCGAAACAGAGACAATACAGACAGGGCTCGCATTCCGCAGTATCGGGTATCTGAGTGAGCCGATACCGGGTTTCGAAGACCTAGACATCCCATTCAATGGTGCACGTGGACTTGTGCCGAACGAAGACGGCCGTGTGGTGCACCCGCTGGATCCAGCGACGGGAGAACCTGGGGTCCCAGTTCCAGGCGTTTACACCAGCGGATGGGTGAAGCGCGGACCGACGGGCGTTATTGCTACCACCATGTATGATGCTTTCGACACGGGTGATGTTATGGTGAGTGATTGGGTTACGGGCGAAAAGGAATTCCTGCAATTCGGCGGGCTCGAGAAGAGGGCTGGCTGGGATGTAGTGAAGGGTGAGGTTGGGAGACTGGGGCTCAGACCGGTTAATTGGGAACAGTGGTGTAAGATCGATGAAGCGGAGAAGGAGAGGGGTAGGAAGATGGGAAAGGAGAGAGAGAAGTTTGCGAGTGAGGAAGAGATGTTGAGTGTGTTGAACTAATCAGTTTTAACTTCTTCTGTTTCTATTTCCTCCTTTTCCCCTCGTCTTTTCTATAGATTGTTAACTCATCTTCATCTCGTGTATATAATGGCTGTGGTTTTAGAATCAAAGGGAATGACACTAATGGGAAATGCGTGCAAAGAGACTGTAGAGTGTTTGGAGGATGTAAAATTATTCACAGAGGAGAGAAAGAGGGTAGTAATCGAGGGTCGAGGAACAAGGCTAGGGAGTGACAGGAGGAGGAGTTTGGTTGTTGACCAGCAGGCACGAGGACCCAGCCAGCTGTCTACATGACGTGTCTAGTCACTGTCATTTAGGAAGCCACATACACACCCATAAACTAAGTCCTGAGGACTTTTGGTAGCAACGACCTCACAAAACGTCTCAGGACTTAATTAACGTGGGAGTAGGTATCCAACTTTATGGTCGAGTGATAACTCATGAAGCATATATTAACATTGGTGTGAACACATGTTGTGATGTGCTTAGCCAGTGCAATATATCTACTACCCCAAAATATAGCCCACTTAGTCCGCTGGCTGGGTGTGCCATTTAGTTGGACGTGATATTCAAAACAAATCCATAGGAGTCTTTGGCCGTTGTGAAAAGGGTGGCTACGGCCGGTATTGATTCTGTAACTAATTGGCCGCATTGTAATGATTTAATCATGGTGAATTCTGTAATTAATATGCTGTTTGGATACCATGGGGTTGTAGGATGATAAGAATATAACATAATATCCTATAATTTACCATCTAGCAGTAGATTTGAAAGCATTGCAGCATGTTCAAGGAACCAAGAGATTAGGGTGACGGGTTAGTATTTTACGCTGGGTATTATGGTTTCATTATTGCATTTTATGATATCGGCGCCATATTTGAGGTCTGCCAAGATCAACTTTGTTGGTCGCCAACATACATGTACTCCCAAGAAACAATATGTGTTACAACAAAACGCGCTCTTACTCTAACATTAATTAACCATAAAGATCAAATTCTCGACGCTGGTGTGCACACAAATGCTCTGATGGATAGTGGAGTGATATGTTTTTACCGGTCTGGCCTATGCTCACTAGCTGAGGAAGCGGTCGTATTGGAATATTGAGATTGCAGGAAATAAGGTCGTGAGGTGGCAGAAAGTTGATTGCTGATTAGACACGGATATACGTACGTACGAGATTCTCCAGCTCTTACTCACGGAGAGTGTGTATACAACTACATATCATAACACCTTGGGGAGAGGTTGTAAGATACCGCTATCTCATCCTTTCGGGCTCATCAAGCTGCGTGCAGATCCAAGAGCGAAAGTTTGAGTGCATAAAATATTAAGTTTTGTCGACACGTCCCGGGACTGGGGCTAGATCCCCGGAATATGGGGCGAGAGGGGGCTGGGTCTAGGCGGGTGCTGGGATATCTCGAGCCTTCCTCTCTCGAGCCTTCCTCTCTCGTTCCGCGCGCTTCCACATGATTCTTTAATGACGGATATTGTTTCTAGCCTTCCCCCTGCCTCCCCACTCCCTCTTAACTTCTTTTCTCCTTCCAATTGAGAAGAGCTCCTCCACTTCTGGACCGCATCCTATCCAAATCACAGGTACATACACCCCCCCCGTTTCTTTTTCCACATATTTCCCTTTTCTTACTCCTTGACATTGGTCACGGTTTTTTTCTGCATGTTGCTACATAGTCTCGTGCCAATACCAGCTGGGAGCGAGCCTAGTGGCTACATATGTATATGTAGACAGGCCATTGACCAGCGATCGATCAGTCCCAAACACTATCCCTTACTTCTCGCTCAAGCGATATATCCAGAGTTGATGATACGCCAGTTACATGCAACTACTCTACCTCGTGGGAGGTTTTGGATGAAATAGGTTGCAATGTTGGAACTCTTCAGCCCCCCTTTCTGACAGCGAGGATTACGTTTGAATGATCCAACTACAGTGCTTACGGGAAGACACGCGTAGCTTGTTGAATTTTAGCTCACCCCGTCGTTTCGGTTTTCAATAGGCTTACGGACAACACTACGGGCCGAGAAGAAGTCCAAACCTCAAGTTATTTCAGCCGTACAAACGTGAGCGGAGCACTGCACGCGTATACATACCCAGTCCTATATGCAGAACTAAAATGTGTGAAGGTCCGCTCCAAAATCGACAGGGAGAGAGATCACGCAGCGCAGAATGGTCAAGACCTTAACACCTAGACCATTCTCACGAAGTGACACTCTAAACTTGGCCTATAAACATCCAAACCACTCATATGGATGGCGTCGAGGCGGAGATGCACCCCACCATCAACTCCAAATACTCGTGTGGATGACGTCGTTGCGGATGACTACATGATCTGGCTATGGGTTTGGATCCAGTAGGCTTTCAGAATCACTGACACCTCCAAACAGTGGCTAGGTTCGTTGGATTTAAAGTACAACATGTGGTCAAATCATGGAATATCACTCGAAAGGCGGCGGTTGGAGACGCCTTTATCGGAACTTGATTATTAGACCCAGCTTCTGGTATTGGCTCCGCCCCGTTATAACTCCCATATTATTTACCTTGCTATATATTGATTCTCTTTTTTTTTGCTCCACACCCATAGGCGGTCTTTCTTCCCGATAACATCCTGGGAACTATAGGCCATAGAGTATGGTTGTCTAGGTTTGATGAATAGATTATGAGAGGGCTTTTAGACTAAGTATATGAATTCACTTACACCAAGTACGGCGGTTAATAAATTCAACCAAAAGGAGATTACTATCATTTATGGATCAAGCTGATTGGTTTGTGTGTCCATAACTAGCAAATATTTTCCATTCGCCATTGATCCGGGCGTTGATCCGGGCGTTGATCCGGATTTGGTCATTGTCAACACTGAAAACAAATCCTTGGAAACAAATACGGGCCCAATAAATGCGCGAGTAGTTGCCCGGTTTAAACTGGCACCAGGGTGGTAAAATTATAGCGTCAATAATCTATTAAATGAATATCGCGATACTTTTGAATCTATATTCATTCATACATGATGAAAACTGGATGGTGCGGTAAGCTGCCAAGCCGTTTACTCCATGAACGACTGTATGTACAGGTGTCACTGACGTCTACATACCCAACATCGCAACTATGGCTTTACTTTGACGTTCCTTTTTACAACAATGCATTCGCGGGCACAACCATTACCATAGGCCCGCGCACATCGCCTTATCGGTTTCATAAGCATCATCGTCAACACATTTTAATGTTTCTCTTAGCGGCGAACCCCATATATCGTTCGTAAGAATCTACACTTGTGGTCTCTCTATATCAGTGCAAGGGCCATTACGAACACTTTTGCACCACATGTATCTAACTACTCTATATACAGCAAAGGCTAAATTTATGTAGGTACGTCGGAGCGCGGGAGTGGACCTATATATTTGATTGGTCTCTCATGCTCTAGGCAGCCGCGGAACCCTGCTCAAATATTCCTGCTTCTAGAGTACCCTTCTCGGTATTCCGCGGCATCCAGGCACGGTTTTCGTTGAATTCTCCACAGATATATCGACCCATCACCGCCTTATTTTACACCCAGGGAGGGGGGGGGGGGGGGCGAAGCTGAAAGCGTGGCAAGTTGGGTTGTCGTACCTGGAGGATAGACAAAACCATAAACCTAGACCCATAGCGGGATATATGAACTATTGGAGTTTCGGTATGAAGAAAAAATGGCGCCCCTCTTTGATAATTGCATTAAATGTGTCTTGTGATAGTACAAGAGTCCAACGAGGAAGCCCCAAGCCAATGAATTGTGCATGAATCAGAGGAACTTGACATGCACAGTCACTGGAGTACCAAAAGCCGTGAGCCGAGGGGTTGGGGACACTTGACACACACCACCCCTCATCATTTTCAAGCAAGACCTACCACGCACCGCAAGGGATGCCGATAGAGGGCGTAGCTTATCTGCCGATAGGCGACAGATGGTGCGCATGGAGATTAACGGCCCTCTAGTTCGCGACTTCTCGCGCCGTTTGGAGGCTCAAGATATATTGAGTCTTGCATTATTAGATTGTACTCGTCTATCAGGAAGGACCAATAGGGATAGCTTGAATGAGCGAATGGCGCTACCACTCCACACAAATAAATGTGATTTTCATTTTCTGGTTTACCCTGACTAACAATCGTAATTGCATCTATATGCAATACCCATGCACAATAGTCTTGGGCATTTTTGCGGTCTGTGAAGTGCTCTCATATGAGGCTGAGTGATAATTCATGATTCTTGCCCTCATGAACATTGATTATTAAGCAATAATAATAATCCAAACAACTCTAGCTACACGTGACTAATGTCTCAGGAACATGCAACATATATCGAAAACTATGAAAGTATAGGCATATGCATACTTTATATAACATTGAAATACAGAATGGTACCATGTATTGTTGGGAGGAATTTAGTCTTGGCTATCAGCTTTAAAAATTTGCCGCGCCCGGGCATTCATATGGCCACTAACGTTGGGATAAGGAATATTAAATCCTCAGAGATACTTTTCACCATCATAAAAATTTTCCGTCATAAAAAACAGTAGACACTTATTCATTGGTGCCTCAATGAGGCTGCATATCGATCATTGCCAGTGGTCATTGCAAATAGGGCTCACTAGAATGAGCATGGAAGCTAGAGATCGTGGAACTATATTGAACTTTTACATTTCACTTTGATAACACACAATCTTTCAACATTGTCTATCGTTTGCGGCCTTATGCCTGATACATATGTACTCGGCGGCTCCCTGAATCATTACGGATTTGTTAAAGGGCTTCGATTCCATGAGGGAGTAGAAGGTAACAGCTCACTGGTAGTGCAGGTTTCATTTGTAGATTTGTTCAGCTACATGTATCTGTGCTACTGGGCTGGCCGGCCCAAGTCTGCACGATGATGTCGTCTATATAGCTATGAGCACATCTTAAAAGCGGCATATATCACGGCAATTAATCACAGCATATAGTCACTGCATGTAGTAATATTCCCAAATAAACATATATTCCTAACTGTATGTCACGATGCCAACAGGCGTCTCTACTGCACGATCTAGAATCGAACACATGTACGTACAGAGATCTAGAGTAGAGACAAGCAACGTAGATAGTACCGTATACAATAGAGCTATATACTGAGCCGATCTCCGATAATGAGGAAAAATCGAGGTTGGCAACGCGAATCTCAATCATTGTCTCGAGTTCTGTGTCTCGGTCGAGTGGCCGGTCTTGATACTTGTCATTGTCCACCGTGAAATTATTGGGTCCCAGCGAAACCTTGAGATCAAGTGGAGCTTTACATCTACTGGCTACGTCTAGTTTTTTTTTTTTTTTTGGGGGGGGGGGCGCGCTCTCTTACCGCGCCAAGGGACAGGTTGATTCCTTTTGGTCCTCCTCCAAATTAGTAGTTACAGTCAATCGACAAGAAAATCATATATCTCCGTCTACTGACCGTGAGCGATGCCGTACACAGATATTATATCCATGCGGTGCAAACTGTGACACTCCCCCCTTTTTCTGGGGAAGTGGCAGGAGGTAGGTATGTAGGGAGTTTACCAGCGGGTAGATATACATGTGTGTCCAGGCAGGCAAAAAAAGTACCGGCAATGCACGTCCTGTCTCTGGAATTTTTTTAGCAGACGTTAACTCCTAGTACGCGTATCCATTGGTGGCAAGAAGCCTGCCTTGTTCGATGCTATTATCTGCCCCGAGTACGGTCGCGCAATGTTCGATTCTCCTCTTTGGGCTCCTTTTTTTTGTTTCTTTTTCTTTTGTGTGGGGGAATACTACAATACATTGTAGCGCCATGAAGGAGGCTCGGTCGATTGTTCCCGGATCCCACCCGCTGTTACATCTCACCAGTTTCGCGTTCCCACAAGGATCGCAGCTTAAGGAATACAGCCCCAGAATGTCGGCCGTTTAGTTAGAGTCAGTCATATCAGCGCATATGACGGAATAGATATAATGTGGACCAGGTTCTCTCATGAATATGTATGGCAGATGTTTCTCTTGCAGCAATAATGAGTATAAAGTATAGACAGGGACCCGGTGGCAGTTGCAAGTATCAAGTCGCAACCAAAGTGGATTTTGAAAGAACGCTTTGTGAGCTCGAGATTAAAGCATGCCACATTATGATTTCTCGTACGCAACGACGTAGCAACAATATGACAACTCATTCATTCAATTGCACCATCCCATTGACTCAAAGGTTCGTTCTAATTCTCAGCCCCGTTGGTTGGCTATTTGTTGTTTTCCGCATCTGTTCAAAATTCCCCGAAACCCTTAAGCCCAATGTTTCCAAGCACCCTCAATACCGCATACCGTCATCCCCCACTGGTTCAATTCCCGGACGATCTTCCACTACAGCCCATGCATAACCCTATATCACTAACAGACATCATTGACTCCATGATCAGCATCTTACTAGCACCCAATTTAGTCAGGATAGGAGCAAGACTTACGCACAAATGCCTTTTGTCTCGTGGCTTATGCCGTACTTTGTTCCTCGTTAGTCTCTACGATAACGAGCATCAGATAAAAGTGTCGCCTGAGTGTTCCCCTGATCGAGATAAGGCATATGGTCTTCCTCGATCTCTATTTCCTGTGCCGCCTCACCTTGATCCATCCAATTTTGGAACTGCAGCTGCAACTGGGACTGGGACTGGGACTCCGCTGCCACTTCCTGTTCGCGCAAAGCAAGCAATTGCTCCAGAATTTCCTCTATAATCTCACTTCTGCTTTTCCCAAGGCTCCATCGTGGGTCGTCGAACCTCTTTGTAAAGTCCGAGGAGCTTCTGCGAAAACATTCTGATATTAGAGGCCTCAACTCATCGGCCGTGAGGTTCTTAAAGTCGACAAAATCCCGGCCAGTGTGATTGGCTCCTGCAAGACGTCTTTCGAATTCTTCCCAAAAGATATCCTCACGGGATTTTGTGAAGCGTGAGTTTGGTCCTCCTACTCCGCTTCTTTCACAGTTTCTGCGCAGTTCTGCTTCTAGCCAAAGGGTTGGACACAATATCTTGTAGTTTGATTCAGCTGATTGGGTTCGTGTTTGACTGGTTTCCGGAAGGATTGACATGTTTGAATAGGATAAGGGGCGATAGAGGATAATTTTATGAATAAAAGGATATGCTCAACTTATAGTGGGGATTCGGAATGGAAGCTACACACTGTGAATTTGTAAGGAACCTTTGAGATATATATGCAGATTTCAGTATGGGTAGCAGTATGGCTACAAACTTTAACCTCATTGTATTTTGCCACAAAACTGCGGGAGACAGATTCAGAAAGGTTCTTTCTGGTCAATGAGGAAAACAAGCTCACAAATAGGATTAATTAACTAATCAAGCAGAACCCCTGCGTTTTCCTTTACACAAACCATATCGTAACGATTTCCTATGAATGATGAATGACATGGGAGTTATGAGGATTCCCTCCAACCATACTTCTACTATAGAACTACCGATGGTTGAACTTCATTCGCTAGTTAAGGTCAACAGGCGTGCTTTATGTAGGGGCTGCAACCATGCTTACCGGTTAGATTTTATCCTCAGTTTTATATTCGTCCTTATCGATCAGAATAAAGTCACCTGGCCCATCACTCTCCGTAAAGTTTACTGGCACAGAGGTGGATTGCTTCAGATTATTTTTCACCGTAGAAGGGGGTACCGCTTCCTTGGGATCTCCCTTCGAACAAGGGGCCTCGGTGGGTCTGGTTTCCATGGGTCCAGGAAGAGTATTGCCAATCGACTCGATAAGCTTTGCCTCGGAATCTTTGGTGACACCAACGGTTCCTGTCTTCTCAACCTCACCTTTCTTTTCTGGTCCCGCAGGTGGGAAGTAGATTCTTCAGGTACGTTAGAATGATACTAGACTGGAGACTCCTTCAAAATTATATTACTTACGAGATAAGCTCCGAGTAAGCATCTTCATCTTTTTTCTCAAAATTACAAAAGATGACGAGCTCTAGCTTTTGACCATCCTCAGATTCAAGAAAGCTCCTTACAGCCGAAATAGCCGTGCCCGCAGCCTCGTATGAAGGATAGCCATAGATTCCTGTTGATAAAGCGCAGAAAGCGACAGCAGTTAAGCCATTGCCAACAGCCAATTTCAGGGTCTCTGTATAGCAACTAGACAGCTTTGTTTCATGCTCATTCATTTCTTTTGCTAGCCAGTATATAGGCCCGACAGCATGAATGATTTTCTTGCAAGGTAACCTATAAGCTCTAGTTGCCTTTGCATAACCGGTCTTGCAGCCATTAAGACGGCGGCATTCCTCTGCGAGCTCTGGGCCAGCTGCAGAATGGATTGCTCCGCAAACGCCCCCTCCGGGAGTAAGATTTTCATTGGCAGCGTTGACAATTGCACCATTTGGGAGGTGGAGCTTGGTGATATCAGTTCGAATCAAGCCAATTTTAGCATTGAGGGTTGCAGAAGGGGCCGCTAGGGCTTTCTCATTGACCGAGATACGTTTGATGCGGTATAGGAGAGGAAGAGTGGGTATGTCGACTTGGTTTAACACAGGCGGCATCTTTGTAAACTCCGGAACCTCGTTGAGATATCCGTCTATTTTTTGTTTGAATCTGAACCAGTCCATTAGAAACAAGAATTTAGAGAGCTACCAAATCAAACACCTAAGGGCATACCTGTCGCGCCTCTCGATCTATCTTTAATAGTTTTTTAGTAGCGTGCGGTTAAGGTATGCTGAGAATGCTGAAATGTGTCCTCGTTCGGTGACTCTTGCTACATGTGAGCATGTATGGATCCTAGGGAGTAGGGACAGCCTTGTCAGTTAACGTGGGGCAGTTGTGATATGGTATGATACCCCCTCCTCTGTGTTCAAGGTACGAATGGTTAACCATAGTGGGCAGTAGTATTACTACATCAAGATTTCATTTGCTGCTAATGCCGCTCTGGGTATCACCAGCACCTCTCTAGATCTAGCCGTGAAGCGTTGTGGCCTGTATCAACCTCTTCCGGGAGTCCTAGTTTCCTGCTTGGGGCGATCGTCAGCGCTAAAAAGCAGTGAAAATTCCGACAGTTTAAGGGTCTGTTCGGTTGACACAAAAATCCATAGATTGGTTGCAATCTATGGATTGGGCTCGATAAAATAATCACCTCCGGAGGTGTTTTTTTTTATTCAATCCATGGATTGCAACCAATTCAACGTCAACCGAACGGAGCCTAAGGGATTGTGTCAGACTGGGAAACGGGACATTAGCAGAACATAGTGATTATTGCCGAGCCTTTTCGACCCAAAGTTTTTGGTCTGACACAATACGTATATACGTTACTGGTACATGTACTATGACATATGTGTGTATCTACATGTAGGTATTTACATGTACTACAAGAATAATCAAAAAGGACGGTAGATCACGTGCAAAGAATTATGCTCAGGTCTTCTTGTCAAAGGAACCTAAATTATCGATAAGGGAATTATTTGATATTTCATCTGAATATAGAAAGTGTCTAACTGTATTTAATACAATGGAAACAGATTAGTCATACTATCACGTTAGGCTGATCGCAGGTAGTTACTGATAAGCTGGGTATGTATGGCCGGGTAACGAAAGAGAGATAGAGTCACTTAGCTAGGCCCTGTCATACTTAGACAACGTACGCGTACTACTTTAAACGCGTGATGGCTACAATAAAGCCTATTGAGCAGAAGTCTGTATGTGGCCACATATCCAAATATTAGTGGGTAAAAATGCATCTACTAACCATGTTTAAACCTCTCAGGTTCATCATATACAGTCTGGCCAGGTCATTGGTGACGGATTGACTTCTGTGGTTAAGGAATTGGTAGAGAACAGCTTTGATGCTAGCGCAACCTCTATCGGTAGATTATAAAACTCGTGTAACTCAATTACAACAATCAATATATCTGACAAGTTATTAGAGATACGATTCAAGAATTATGGTCTCGATTCCGTCGAAGTTGTCGATAATGGTGTTGGCATCACCTCTGACAACTATGAGTCTATAGCTCTAAAACACTGGACATCTAAGCTTACGTCGTACGATGACCTCGATAGCGTAAAAACTTTTGGATTCCGTGGTGAAGCTCTTTCCTCGCTCTGTGCTCTTGCGGATCTTCAGATTACCACAGCAACTTCCGAAGAAGCCCCAAAAGGCACCCGTCTTGAATTCGAGACTTCTGGAAAACTGAAGTCCCGTTCAGTTGCAGCTGCGCAGCGCGGTACCACGGTACTGGTAGAAAATATATTCAAAACTTTACCCGTAAGGAGAAGTGAGCTAGAAAGGAATATCAAGAGAGAATATACCAAAGTACTAGGTATACTACAAGCATATGCGGGTATTTATGTAGGGGTGAAATTTTCGGTTTTTAATCAACCACCAAAGGGTAGAAAAACTCCAGTATTTGCTACAAAAGGCAATCCAACAACTCGAGAGAATATTGCGAATGTATTTGGCGCAAAAACTCTCACTGCATTGGTGGCGTTAGATCTACAATTTGAGATGACATGTACCCGCAAAGGTATCGGCATGACTCGAATAGGCGGCGGATCAGAGTAAGTCATACCACCATAGGTTGTTTCACTCGAATTATGGTTTCTCACATATTCTTGGAATTTTCAGAAGTAAAGGGGTTAAGATAGTTGGCCATATCTCGCGTCCTACCGTTGGAGAAGGCCGCCAAGCTCCTGACCGACAGATGTTCTTCGTCAATGGTAGACCCTGTGTTCTTCCTCAAGTAAGTCATAGAGTCACAAGTTATTGATAATGAAATGCTGACTTTTAAAGATATCAAAGGCCTTTAACGAAGTTTACAAGAACTTCAATGTTACGCAATCCCCATTTATATTTGCTGATATACATATGGATACAAGTATATACCCTCTGGCCGTTTCATCTTGGGCAAATACAGATTCTCATGTGAAATAGATGCATATGATGTGAATATTTCCCCTGATAAGCGGTCCATCTTGCTCCATGATCAAGCAAAACTATTGGAATCATTAAAGGTACTACAGCTGTTAAGAATCTATCAGATGGTACTAAAGCAAATATTTTCTTGATTAGGCCTCACTTATGGAAATGTTCACGAATCATGAACAAACCGTACCCCATACTCAAACTGGAATCAAAGCAAAATTACCAAATTACAAACAGAATACCCTCAACCTACCTGACCCGCCCCCCGGTTCAACGGATTCACCGTCATCAGAGGGTTCAAAGGCTGATGACCCGTCCATGACGCCGGAAAACCATGCCAATATCACCGGTCTTAAAGCCACGGAACCCCTAAATGAGCAGATGATTCCTCATTCTCAAATTAACGAAGCCCCTACCTCCCACAAAAAATGCCAACCACTGAAATATGCCATGGATCTGCCCCAAAAGCCTCGAGAATCTAACTCCACGCCACTAATGGTTCAAGAGCGCGAGGAAATTCCAGAAGGATCAAACTCGTTTAGTTTCACGACAACGGCAGATGAAATCTCAGATGAAGTCCTCATTGAAGAAGCCGAAGAGTATGAGGCACAACTCCCTAGCTTAATAACTGTCCCAAATATTCGTTCGCATTCTTATATACCTACTACAATGACAAGTCCCCTCTCAAAACTATCATGTTACGCCAGAGGATCGCGGGCAAACAAAACTACTATCACAATTGGCGACCGAGATTCTATCACAACCGGAAACAGTCCACCGAGCTCACCGAGTAAACGAAGAAAAATCATTGCACCTGAAACCGGAAGGTCAAAGGTTGTAAAGTTAGGAAGGTTAGGACAGCCAAAATTCTCTTCGGGCGTTTTGAGTCGATTTGCAGCGCCAAAGGCTCAGACGCAATCCAGAGAGGAGCGGCAGGGGGAGCCGGAGGAGGAAGCCGATGATTTTGAACCAGGATTACTTAAGGGTCACGAGGGTATTGACGGGGAAATGGAGATTCAAGGGCCGGACGAGATGGTTTTAGATGGGAATCAGTACATTGATAAGGATCCAGATGAGCTATCTATAGACGATAGCGAGCTAGGGGAAACCATAGTTGTTCCAGACCAGGTTGGTTCAAACCAACCATTTATCCCTAACGTAGAATTCAGCGCAATTGGTGGCGATGAAATCATGGACGGCGAGCGGGACTCGAGCGTAGAAAATGATGAAGAGATGGAACCCGCCGAGGATCCCGAGGACGACGATTTTATGGATCAATATGAATTCCTCAAACAATCATCAATACGTGCGCAGAAGCTTTTTGAGCAAGCAGAGGATTCAGTGGGTAAACCTACTTCGAAAAACCTAGAGAGAGCATTCGAGATCCTAGAAGGCTCGCCAGCGTATACTACAAGGAGGGTCCTTGGAAGATGTTCCACTTCAGTGGCCCAATTGAAAAAACAGTTGGGATCACCTGGAAAACTCTCCACAAGAACTACTGCTAACAACACCTCTTCATCTAATTCTACTTTAACGGAGGACGATTTTTCTGCCGAGGAACGTTTAAATTTGACGATTTCTAAGAAGGACTTCTTCGAAATGCAAATAAAAGGGCAGTTCAACAAAGGATTTATTTTGACAACCAGAAGAGACGATCTTTTCATCATTGACCAGCATGCGTCTGACGAAAAATACAATTTCGAAACATTGCAACAAGATACTGTGGTTCAAAACCAACGGCTTGTTGTTCCAAAAACACTAGAATTAATGGCGATGGACGAAGTTATTGTGACAGAACATCTGGACGTTTTCAAAAAGAATGGCTTTATTATCGAAGTGGATCCAGAAGCACCTACGGGAGCAAGGTGCAGAATAATTAGCTTACCCTTAAGCAAAGAGACTGTGTTCGGTATAAAAGACCTGGAGGAGCTTATACACCTAGTTCATGAAGACCAAGGTAATTCTTCAGTTCGATGTTCCAAGGTTCGGAGTATGTTTGCAATGCGAGCTTGCAAGAAGAGCACCAAAGTAGGCCGAGCGCTCACAATAAAGGGGATGCAGAAAATTGTCCGGCATATGGTATATAACTTTCTTCCGGGTGGTCTGGAGGGTTGAGGCTGATCGCGTATTTTTACCTAGGGTGAATTGGATAAACCTTGGAATTGCCCGCATGGGCGTCCGACTATGAGACATCTGATAGAGTTAGGCCAGGTAACATCTTGGAATGAGTATAGTTCTGAAAATGTGAACTCGAGAGGTTTACAGTGGGGAAGTCAGAATTGGGCAGATACCTGGCGTGAATTTAATATCGGAGAGTTCGAGCAGAAGTAGGAGTAAACCCAGGCGATAACGTATGAATGCGTTAAACTAAGGAAGGAAAATTATCAAAACTATAAACCACATACACATTGAGCCTCTTTACTTAACATCCATCATCACCGAGAGTGATGTCCATTACGAGCCTGGTGTCCTATGGAACTCTATATGATGTAGGCCGTACGTCATGCAAATGAGCATTCAATCATGGGCGATCACTCGCCAGCACGGGTCCACGTGACCAGGATCTTCTATGGGAATAGGAGATAGACTGAGATGGCTAAGTAAGACTACTCTTGATTCTTCTCATTCCGACTAGGATAGAGATTGCACCTCGAAATGGTATCCCGGTTTTGTTGGTCGTAGTACAGTATGCTGATTCTCTAAATTTAAAACCGACCAAGGATCATGATGTCATAGATTTTAAAATGAGACAATGTCTTCTCAATCTGCTTTGCGAATAGTACGCATCGAGCCCCTACGTACATATTCGAGTATGAGTTATCTTTGAGCTAGTATTACTTTTAAGATTCTATCAAGCGGCGGGTATCATGAACAAATAGTATTGATTAAGACTCAGTCAACAGGCGTATTCTAATCGAGCTAGGTGCATGGACTCAGTCGTGTCACTGGTAAGAAACCATACGGTTTGCCCAGTTTAGCTTAAAACCAATCAAGACGGTACTCGATCTCAATATTGGTAGCCGCCCTTAGGTTCTAAATATGTGAAATGAAACTTTGGGTTGACTCTATGGCTTATTCCTGCATGCATGGCAAAACAAAGAAAATTTGGTACGACCAAAAAACCGTGGTGTAATCGAACTGATAACGATTGAGCTGCATTCGATCCGAGATCGCCACAGTCCCCAATATGTACAATGCCTTCTTGCGTGCGAATTGGCCTGTCGGAGCCATCCTTAGATCTATAGAATGCTTGATGCTCATTCCCTTGGAATAGGGGGGTGTCCAAGCTATAAGTATTCACTTGATCTTAAGAGAGCCAATTACTACTAGTACTGGGTATGTTATTACTTTCATAGCTATCTAGCACCAAAGCCAAGACGCGCCAGCTCATAAACTCGGGGTCCAGGTTTAAATTGGTTACATGTGCATACGCCGCTAGAGAATACAATTGGCCATTAGAGAGTTTGCGACGCCGGGTTATTCTTTGGTCGGTGGAGTTAATTGCACTTGGACGTACTTATACGAAAGACATGTCGGCAATGGTAATACAAGCTTGCTTGGTTGATTGATCGTGATGCGCCCTTGATCCGAATAGCTATGATATCAGGTAAAATAAGCAAATACCCCCACATTATTAATGTTACTTGAGTACAAGCATTCATCGTGCAGGAAACACAAGCTACATGTACTTTAGTCCCTTGTTCAGCCGACTGGGCCTACGACTAAGACTTGATTGATCGGTTGATCATGGCAATAAGTTACGACTATTAAGACTAGCTGTAGAGTTAACCTCGATTATCTACGTGTTCGCCCAATCTAGAGAGCATACAGATCATATGCATTTTTTACGTACATTAATTAATACTATGATATATGGCAGCTCATTTTAACGTAATATATATCATAAACATCAATTGCAAGGGGATAAATACATGTATGATCGATATGAATACATGTACTCAGGGCGCTGGAAAGTGATGTACATAGTGTGGTCCATGAGCCGGCTCGAGCCGGCATATAAGCTCGAGCTGGCTCGGCTCGTGAGAGGCAGAGGCTCGCAAGGCTCGAGCTTTGGTGACAGGTTCATAAATTGGCTCGAGCCGGTGGTCAATGATGAAAAAAACAGGTTATTCTTACACTAAGTGTACTAAAATGGCAGATATAAGTTTCATTTCATGGAGTAATACCGTGAGAAAGGATTTATTATTTAACTCAGCATTCTAGTGGGCATAAATCTCCTACTGGCTTCCTTGATGGCTTCTAGAGCCTAGTTCAGAGCGAGTAAACTGAGCTTGAGATCAAGCTCGAGCCTGAGCTCGAGCCGAAAGTTCGAGCCGAAAGTTCGAGCCGGATCGGCTCATGAACCACACTAGATGTACATTTTGGCCTGACAATGCCCAAATACCCTCAAATATCTACATTTTGGCACAACACAACACACCCCTAAATTCAGAATTTGGGTACTAAACGTCTCTACTATATCTAAGAATACATTAGACAGTATTTGAAAAATTAAGTATCCACTTTCAAGACAGAAAGTCGCTGTACTGAGGTAGCGAAAATATATATATATAGTAAAGAACTAAAAAGCACTTATGACAGAAATTTTTCTTCATTTTTTATCACCAAAAGAATCTACAAACTCAAATTAACCTTTGTATACCCGCACTTAAATATTTATTCTCTTGGTTAGGATATCAGTACCCAGGGTGCCGGAAAGTGATTGGCTTGACAACCCAAATACCTATATTTTGGCACAATGCAACACCCTTTTCTATTTTTATTTTCATTATGAAAGGAATCTAAACACTTATACCGACCTCAAGGTAGACTTGTATGAAGATCGATTCTCTCACGGTTCAGATATCACAAAATGTGCATCATTTTCCGACACCCTGGGTACATTTTCCCACACCCTAGGTATTATCGGGTATCAAAAATAACCGATCACTGGCACCCTCGTGAGACTCATAGCAACCAAAACCGACCTGCGAAGAAACCTCACATCGAGACTTTCGAGGTCAGAAGGGTAATTCCATTCCCTCCAAGCATCTAACTCCGTTTAAGAGACTTAAAATTACTCAATTGCTCCCCTGGTTGTTGAGTTATTCTGACCTGAAGTGATTTCGACGTTGTCGTGAGTGATCGGTTATTTTTGATACCCGACAATACATACATATTAAGTACCTACATGTACCCTTATACATAACGCTTATTTTGTCCTTAACTAGAGCCTTGTTATATACATGTACATACTATATTATCAATTTACAGAGCTCGAGGCGTACTTTATAGGCCAGATATATATACATTGTTTAAGGGGTCGACTCATGAAATATCACTCGCCGGTTAGCATTTCAAATACGGGCAGCAATCTGGGAAAACTTGGCTTAATTGTAAGGTAGTAGATGTCGTTACCAAAGTTTTATTCTCTACAATGAGAGTAAGAGTTTGAAGCCGACGCCTCTAATTTGGTAATCTAATTCTTGTGACAATCTCCATGTACACGTACAGTACTACAATACCCAAAAAGGGTATGGACTCGCTGCGTTATTTCCGTTAATGTGCTAGTAATGCAGTAATACAGCGCGGCATTACTACGGTATTATTTTTGTAATGCCAGTTTAACTCCGTACTCTTCACTGAATCCCGTATTCATATAGTACTAATTTCACCCCATTTTTTCGTACTGTAGTATACCTGAATAATGAAAGCTAACACAATCATACAAAGTACTGTGTTCAAAAGTCGAAATACTCAAATAAACAAAGTTTCTTGAACCGTTAATCATATATAGTATACCCCCTATATGCGTATTTTTATTCTCGTTCTCATTATAACTCATGTGGATCGCGAGAGAGCCCCAGGTGATGTGAATATAAAGAGCTCTCACCTTAAGCTGTTAGTTTTTTAGAGCGTATATTATCCTAGTCTAGCATACCAGATATACTTGTATGTATCTAATTCCTTAACAGTAGAAATTAATTTTTCTTCATGTTCTCGAAACATTCACTCACCTAACTTGGTCATGCGATTCATATTGTTCACTTAAGTTAGTCCTTGATATCTATCTACTATACTATAAAAGAATATGTTCCCAAAATGTTGTACTTTTCAAGCTTGAGTAGATGTACATATATTCACGTAGCAATAAAAGGCCCTTTGGGCATTTGAGTATGATTTCTTGAGCATCTAGCTAGGCTCTTACTTAATATCTCGAAGATTATCTATAAAGTAACTAAAATTTAATTGTGTTCATTGTGAACTTTTGTTGCGCAAAGAAAGCTTCGATTTTTGTTCGCTGGATAGATTGAATCATAAGATATCACTCGGTAAATAGTAATGACCGCCGAAAATAGAACGAGTAAGGAAAACCAAAACCAAAGACAGGGGATATAGAATTAAATACGAGTATTTTAGAGATTTGTTAGTATATAGTACATACGCTGGCATGCAGTATGGTCCAAGAGGGATCAAGGGAGAAGATAGGATCGATATATTGATAAAGAGAACGAGGTCAGTTTTTAGTACAATGCCGGAAATAGGGTGTGATGAGAGTAGTAGTAGTCTTGTGGTGATGCGGCTTTTATGAGCACTAAGCTTACTCATTCGTCTCGGTTTAATTCGATATTCATATGAATATTAATATAATTGCAAACAAAGGTTATTTCATGCAAATACGCTATCCCAAAAGAACTGTATGCCCCAAAAAGCCATAGTCATACCACACCAATACTACTAGCCAACTAGTCACATAATTGAGTTCCTGTGACCGCGCTAGTATAAGGTTCATGTAGGAGATACATGTAGGTACGGGACTAGGCTAGACCTACATACGAGATGCACTCGTACCAATTAACAAGGCTCGTCCCTCTACCCCTTTGATTCCATCCCTCCAGCGGGTAGCACTAGATCATGGAATCAATGCCATTGATGGAATAATTCTATCTCGAAATCCATCCCAACATGCACATGTACAAGAGAAATCTTCAGAACACCTACTCCCTAGGGTACCAACTTTGTTAGGAATCGGGATAGCACATCCCGGGGGTCGGGATAGGTTATCCTGTGGGAGGATAAGTTTGAGTCACGGTCATTTGGGCGTTTTGGGATCCCCAAGCATCAAGTAGCTAAAATAGGAGCTTTCGCTCTTATTTGGATACACTATCCCCACAAAGGAATATAGTATCTTTACCATAGGGTACTGTATTCGGGGATAGCTTATCTTTTCCCGTGTATATATATCCTTTCATATGGATATAATCTAATATCCTCTGATAAGGATACGGATTTTCACATAGAATAAAGTGTTCTCCTGCTTGTAGTATTTCGCATCCCTAGCAATTTTAGACTTAGACAAATTCGGTTTTCTTTTTTTGGCTGTCAAATTTTAAAACTAAGGTTGATATTGGCAATTTGTACTAGTTTCGTATCTAAACCACTAGCATAGTTGGTAACATCTGCTAGATCCAATCGCCAATGCCTAAGTTCGATTCCCCTGTATTTTTTTTAAATCTAGGTTCTTGATGATATCCCCTACGAAGGGTAAGGTATCCCCTACCAGTCAGAACATCCCCACCCCCGGGCCCATGAAATATCTCTCCTTAACTGGGGATATCTTATCATATCCCGGTAAAAAAGGATAACCTATCTAGCAAATCGATGGGTAGCACCCAATAGTTAAGATATCACATCCTACCTGAGAGGATTGGGCATCTCTCTATAGGAGGATATCATATCCCACTTCGGAGATGAAAACAGTATGATCCTGCCTCCGGGGATGAGTTATCCAGTACTTTGTCCTCTAGAGTACTACATGTATTAGTTTTTAATTGTATATCGGAGACCTGCTAGTTTCTAGACTCCTACTATGATTTGGAATATTTTTGTATTTGAATGGTATTTTAAAGGCGTACGCGTACTAGTACGCTTTTTTCTAAGAAATAGCGGTAGCTTGTGACTAAAATGACCCTTTTTGAAGAACACCGGCCCTATACTATATACTCAAAACGGCGCTTCTATTAAAAGATATTTTTTGCAAAGTCGGTCGCTTTATTAGTGTGGTATCGCTACACTATTTTTCATCTAGTAAAATTTGTACCGCTTTGATTTCCGGTATTTTAGTTAGCCGGGATGATGACCGGGTAAATAGATGACCTATACATACATGTACAGTACCAGAAAAGCGGGTGGATCTAGTACTACACCTAGTAGAATACTGCAAGGCTACGGTATTGCTACAGTATAGTACATGTACCTTACCGTCGAAACGCATACAATTTTGAGCCTTATTCAGTCGGCTTATCCAGATCGTAGGCTCATAATAGCCTTATGAATCCAATAAGGTTCAAATAAGTATTATTTAAGCATGTTTTAAGGATGAAATAAGGCTTAAAAAAGGATTTTTGTACTGATAAAGCTATTGTGAGCCTACGTTCTGGATAAGCCGACTGAATAAGGCTCAAAATTGTATGCGTTTCGACGGTAAGGTAGTTAGGATTCCGATTTAATTCGGAGGTTTTGCACAATCCCGTATTGGTACGTACCTATTATATTACATCCCCTTTGCTGGTACTGTATATATACATGTATATAATCAATTAATTAATTACTGTAGTCAATTCAATCAATGGGGTACGTAACTATATGCACATAAGTAAGGGTTGGCTAGGGGCCTGTGATCAAGAGTGATAGCATATGATCGACGTATACTACATGTACATACTACAGCGAAAGCTTGCTATAACGGTACTTTCTATAAGGGTAATCTCTCTATAACGGTAGCACTTCTCGGTCCTTTTTGCCTGGCTTTCAGCACCGGCACCTCCTATATAAGGGCAATCTCTCTATAACGGTACCAAATTCCGGTCCCGAGCGTACCGTTATAGCAAGCTTTCGCTGTAGTAGTAGAAGCCAACAAGGGAAAAAAAACATATATCCGTCCATCTATGGTCTAACTAATAAGTATCTAGTAATTTTAGGCTTGATCAGCTGCGTTTGTTGCCTTACTTTTCATAATTTAACAATTGCAAGAATCCTTTTTCTTTCTCTTTTTTTCTCTCTTTTTTCTCCCTTTTTTTTTTGATCGGCAGTTAGTCTAAAACCATGTACAGCGGTAGCACTCTGGAGAATGAGCCATCGGACGGGATCCTATATATATGTACCTTTATATACATGTACCTTTATATATAGTACAAGTCATGTGGTTAACGCGATAACCTGGCCATGGAGGAAACCAGCCTGAGTACGTGCGAAGAAAAACAAAGACTAGAAACCGATGCCGTTAGCAGTGTATATACATAGCACTATTGAGATTATCGTTATATATAGAACAGCCGATACTGCCAAAATTAAAGGAAACATGGATTAATCACTCATGAATTATCAGACAGCCGCGAGAGCTTAGTAGGTTTATAATTTAACAGATGAAGAGTTAGGTGAATTTTTACCGGTATTTGCTATACCCCCCCCCCCCCGTAATCGCTCCTGGTATATATATTTCCTGGGGATTGTCAAAAAAAAAAAAAAAAAAAAAACACCAGCGGCAGCAGTGGTTCTTTAATTCGGCACGTAAGCTGTACATATAAATATTTTTCATCTAGATTTGTCATGCGTGCAGTTTCATCTTTTATTATTGGATAAAAAACTAAGCAGCACCAAACTTCTGTAGACACATAGATAGGTACTTAGCTAAGTACGCTTCTCTCTGCTTTGTTTAATTCGTTAGTTGCAAGTACGCTTCTTGATATTACAACTGATTAGAGTAGGTATGAGCTATCATTACATGATTTCATCTATCCACTCGTCCATTCGTCGTTCTTTTTATACAGTTATCTTACAATGATTTGGAGTTGCTTGCTAATTGTGTCGGTGCTTTCACCTGTTCTTAATGGCTACCGGTTCTTTTCCTTCTCTGACCTCCTTTCCTCCTCGGACTGAAATTTCTCGTCTGATATAGTTTTCAGTGACTCTCTAACCTGTGCACATGCACGTTCACATTCGACGGCTAGTGCTGGAACTTCAATCGACGCTGCGATCTATGGCGGTTGTCAGATAAGTCAAAATAAGGACTGAGGGGTATTAATGGTACCTCCTTAGCGTTCCTCGAGTTGATGAGCATGACTTCTTCGGAGTCGTTGTGTAATATCTTCTCTTTGAATTCTGCCTCGGTCTCGAGCTTGTTGCGGTAAAGTGAGTCGAGCTCTGTTATTGGAGTAGGCTGGAGGAGCTGGTGATTGACGAGGAATTCAAGGTGTTTTGCGCCGGCGAGGGCTTTCCAGTGGGAGAATGCTAGACGGGGCGTCAATATATGAGGGGATCCTACTTGTAAGTTTATTTTAGGGCACCCGGGAGTTTACCTCGGTACAGAAGATAGAAAAACGGGATCTAGAGCAGTATCCAAATCAGCGCCCCATAACAGAACCAACAGATTCCAGAGATATATACGTTGGGAATAATGGGAACCAAAGCAAATGGCGCTACTATAGGCATCCCAACTATTGACCAAATCAACCGACTACGGTGGATATCATTACGCTCCGTTGCAAGCGTTTTTATTATTTCCGGAATTCTTTTTTCTTTGATGACGGATGGTGGGTATATGACTTCTACTCTTTGGAGGTCTATTTCATCCTGTTTTCGACGCGCTGATAATGGGGGAATTGATTTGAGACCCCTAAAATGAATGCAGTCAGAACCTTCAGATGATAAGAATTTTGATGGTACGGTTGACAAACCATTCTTCATAGGGTATCCTGTTGAAAAGCTTATTCCCCGCATCAGTGAGTGAGCGCTGCCAGCTAGCCTTTCCGTTTTCCTAATTTTGCAGAATGTATCAGCGATTGAATCCTCAAAGGGACTGCGGAGTAGAGAGAACATCGCATACCCATGACAACCATACTTTGGCAGCTCGTCTGTATCATTATTAGCAAGTACACAACACCCCAAGAAAGGCTGCTCGCATAAACCTACGCCGACGCCTTATCCGCAAGTGATGGATGGGGGTGTGTGATTTTATTCAACCTCTGGCCGTAGATGAGCGTACGCCGTGTAGAGATCGGGATGAGATAGAGTCGCATCTTGGCGAATATGCAAGTCAAGAGAGAACCAGGAGATGCTTCTAAAAAAAAAAAAAAAAAAAAAAAAAAGCAGTTGAGGGAGAAGACGAAGCTGGCCGCGACAGACACAAACCTCTAGCTATATTTAATTTGAACCGAATATCACCACCAGTACATGGCTGCTTCTTATACAGGCCGAGAATAGAGGGGCAAATATACCTACAGTGACTCGCGGTATTTGATACCGTCCCTTTCCTTTTTTCCTGCCCCTTGCCAATTACTAACCTTATCGCTTTCTGGCTCTTGGAAATACAGCGGAGGTGAGGTACGAATAAAGTTGAGCGGGCAAAAGAAAGAGTAACGTCATCCAAGTACATGTGTACCTGGTTTGTGTGTGGCTGTGGCTGTGCGGCGTGGGAAAAATGTTTTGACTGGCCACCAGACCCAGAACAGATCAGTTCAAGGCTGTGGGTGTGTAACGCAGCTGAACCAGAGGTGTGGCAACTGGCAAGGCCCGTAAGGGCGTCACTTATCAGGGATAGATGATGTGTACCCATACCTACTTGTTTACCACGAAAAGAACCAGAAAATGCAGTTGCTCAGGGCAAGGATTATTTGTATAGAGTGGCGGTGATCTCTCATACAAACTATCCCTGTTTCCGTCACTTGCATTTTCTAGTTCTTTTCGTGGTAAACGAGTACATGATGGCCCAGCTAAGGTGCCATGCCGTCTAAGCCACGTTCATTTCTTAACTACATGTAGCTTATGTAGTTACGTACCAACTGCATGTAGTATTTTCCTATGTCGCTTCCAAGGCTCCTAGCACGGCTCGAGCCACACTGATTTGAACTCGGAACGCGTTCCTTCAATCCTGTTTCAACTTGGGACCCATCCCTTCTATTCTGTTCCTTGGAAAACCAGAGAAAATCAGCAGGAGGAGAAAAGATTGTCAGGATTCATTGTGTTCAGAATTTCTCTAGCCGCCGATCGTTCTTCTTGTGCGCCAACTCTACACCTACCCCTAGGGTACTTGCTTGCAAGTTGCCTGTGCAGCTTGCAAGTTGCTCGCTTTGCTGACTGTCGGAATCACTCGGCAATGCTCACCAGCATCCAATCGACTACCTTCTACCCGTATGCAAACCGGAGGCTTACTACCTTCTAGCAACCTTCGTTTCTTCCGACTTTCGAATGAAAGTTGTGAATCATTGCTCCGGCACACGTAATTGCCCCCTCCACTCAACCCCAGTTCACTCAGTGCTCCCACAACAAAAAAATATCTAGGTAGTGTATGTACATAGAGTAGGCACAAGAAAAAACAGAAGCGGAGTACATACATAACGTATCATACAAATTACAGCACACAATCCGCAGACTCTTCCCTTCCTTCTCTCGCCACAAGAAAAAGAAAGAAGCCTTCCCGGCGTCTCATCCCCCATTAGCAGACAGTTGCTTCGCCTTATTGCTAGTATCGGTCGGTCGTTGTCCAATCCACTCCTTCCACCACCCCATTACATACATCCCACGCACCTTGCGCACATGGCTGGCATCCAGTCATCTGCCAGTAATGAGCAGCTACACACCCAAGATGTAGTGGCCTCGTCTTCGCTGAACAATAACCTGCACCTACAACATCGTCCTTCTTCGTCCCAACGTCAGGATGGTCCGTCAGCTCCTCCTCCTCTTACTATCGGAATAGGCGGAGGAACATCTACAGCCCGGCCTACCTCGTCCGTAAATTCAATATCTTCGCGATCTATCAGCTCTCCTGTAAACACCATACCAGACAGGGGCATGGGTGACTCTCAGCAATGGAAAAACGTCCGGACGCTACCAAGTTGGCTCCCCTCTCGTTGTAAGATTGTTTTTTAATGCGTTTATAGGACGGACATCCTGATGCTAACGGGGGCTGTGTAGCATGGGTACAGAGCCGAGAGGAAGATGAACACGATTTAATAGAAGCTCCTCCCTTGGCTCACCGACGGCCGCCGGAGCGCTCGCAATACGATGCCGTTCGGGAAACGACACCCATAACTATGGGCCGGCTGCCCGAGCACGCAAGCCGATGGAGGAATTTTGTCGAAGCTAGTACAGGCCACCCGCCGGCAACATCACATTCGGAAAAGGATGAACCGGAACAGTGGTTAGCCAAACAGGGCGATTTTGATAAACCATGGAATCATAAAGCCGATACCGAAAATCAAGGCGACGGTTCCGCAGATGACACTGATGATGGCTTATTGATTAGTGCAAAGAGAAGAAGGATTTGGTACAAACGAATCTATGTATGTCCCGCCATACATGTAATGTTATTTTTGTTAGAAATTGGTACTAATGGGCGCCAAGACTATGTTATTAAACAACCCGGCAGTACCTTTAACTTTCCGGGCACTTATCTGGGTATTATCATTGCTAGCACTTGCTCTCGCCTCTAGTGTTTTCCAGCTTAGCAACCAATATGGATTCGACCAAAAGCCCTCTACAGTTATGGCAATTGTAGTTGACGTCATTGCTTTAATATACCTAATTTACATTACATACGATGAATATTCAGGAAAGCCTTTGGGCCTACGGTCGCCTAAAGCAAAAATGAGACTGAGTACGCTAATATTTTTATGTCGATTGATCATTACCAGGTATTCTAACCTGCTTGTGTATGTGTAGTCATGCTCGATCTTCTATTTATCATTTTTGATTCCGCAAACCTCTCCCTTGCTTTCGACACTCTCTTTGATGTGCGATGGAGTTGTAGAAGCGCGACAACGGGCGCTGATTTCGGTGGTAATGACAATGTAAGTTTCCCTCGAAACTAGCTGTGACCTTTGGGTATTAATGCGATCAAAGGAACTCCGAACTGTCTCTCCGATATGTGATCGGCAACGAGCTCTTGCGGCATTCATTTTTCTTGCCCTATGTGCATGGGTCTCTACGTTCACAGTTAGTGTGTTCAGGTTTGAAGCCCGCATAAGACATTCCTAAAAGGATGCTTGCTTACCATAGCCGTAGACTTGTCGAGCGAGTATCAAAGGGAAATAATACCCGCCCGTAATAGTTGTACCAATATGACTCACTGTTTTTCTTTTTTTTCTTCTTTACTTTCCTTTTCGAAACCTGGGGTTTTATATTTTCAATTTCTTCTGTAGCGCATGGGGACTATAAAAAAATTTGTACAAGATATTTCTTTCTTTATCTTTTTCCGTTCTGATAGGATGGATGTTATGTATGGGAAGGTAGTCTGGTCTAGGCGTTTTTCTTTCTTCTCTCTCCCTAGTCTTCTCCCCCCCCTCCCCCTTCTCTCTCTCGTTATGTTATTTTGCTTTGTATGTTGCTTTGAATATTCACTTGGTATTCCCCCCCCCCCCCCTCTGGTTTTTGGCATTGCGGTCTTGCGAGTTCTCATCTGTTTCTTGTGTTGTTCCTAATTAGTCCAATCTGGTAATCAGACCAATGCTGTTTCTTATGTTTCTAACCCCATTTATATCTTGTTCATTTCACCTCTCGCTCTACATACCTTCTATAACCCCACTGGCCTGTCCGTTCGTTTTACTGTGGAATGTTTTAGAAGGTTCAATTAGCATGCATATGCCAGTCTCGCTCCTGGGAAGTTACATCGTGGCTTAGGGCTTCGTCCGCAGTGCGTGCATGTAGGGGATAGATGTAATTGACTACATTATACGCTGTTCTCTGTGATATGGCTCAGACAATTAAATGAAAGTGTTCATAACTATGTTTTCTAACTTAGGCCTACGCTTCTGTTCCACGCCTGGCGGCTATTTTTTAGTTGGGTATCTCCATGTGTATTTAGAATGACTAATACACACATGTACTCTATGTAGGTAAAAGATACATGACCGGCACGTATGCACATTAACCCCAATACATGTATGGTGCCGGTCGTGATCATAAACCTACGCGCAGCCACCACCATTGGTCAAGACTAAAAACCGATTTATCTACGCGTATATCGTGGTTTTAGGAGCAGAATAATCCCTTTTTCACTTAATTTATGTGTTCCCGAATAAATCACTCTAACCGTAGTTTTTAAGATGGTTTTGGCACCCATGCATCATTAGACCTAAAGTGCCCATTTTTACAAACCTATCAGTGCTTCGAGGTCTTGAAATAGGCATAAATTGGAGTGACAATTCTGTAGCTCTTGTGATTCTCTACAGATTGGTCATTTTAATTACTTTTCTGTCTTAGGTGCTGGGGTACGTCTGATATATAGGTTTGGCGTTCGGTATTTTGGAGCACGGTTTTTGTTATAGGTTTATTAGGGCCGGCACCATAGTCTCTATATGTACATATATGTAGTTGTATGAGCAAGGTAAATGTGAATATTTCATTGATACTACTCTAAATTTATGTAAAAAATTATACCCTTTTATAGCTAAAGTACCAATGTCTAGCCACCCTAACCAACCACACAACCATGGCCAAAAGCAAAAAAAAAAAAAAAAAAAAAAAAAAAGATGGGCCGAGTCGAGCCGGCCGTGTCAAGAACAGACTAAAATTTTCATAGATTTGATAGCGTCCCATACATTCAAATCTTTGAATGGCAGCGGGCTGCAAAATTTTGAAAACTTATGTCCTAGTACTATTCCCGAGAACAATGTCTTTCCAAGCAATTATGGTGCTTATTTATTTGTTTTTACTGGGGGACCTTGCTTTTATCGACGTACAAAATAAGAATCAAGATAAGCTTGATTACATGTAGGAGAGATCCTAAGAACTCGATGGCGGTGGTGTTTTAAGCTTCTCTTTGTGTAACCCGACTCCTCTACCACGTCGTAAGTAGACCCTGAGTTGTGATGTAGGTGGATTTTTGCATAACGCAACTTGCAGCTTGTGGGGTAAGAATGGTAACCGGGATATATTGATATCATCACTAATATTACATACGGGATTTCGGGTGGACCTTGAGCTCGGGCCGGGAGTTGGAGTGCAACACAGAATCTGATTCGGAGGGGAGCTTACAATAGTATGTAGGTACTGTAGTTGAGCCGCCCCGGGATATGAGTGGGTGGGGCAGATACCTAGAAATTCACAGCGAGCAAACCACCGCCGCATAAGCGTCTGTCTGTTGCGTTGCCCAGCCTCACTCACACCTCCACTGGAACTGCTCCACCACACACCTCCCTTGGAAAGTTCCCCTCTACCGTCACCTTTTCTCCCCATCCTCCCCTCCTCAACTCAAGACTCACCATCTATCAACTTCAACCCCTCTCCACGGTTACCCCACCGCCTCTATCTTTAGCTCACTGTCATCGGATCAAAAGCTTCACCTTTCTAGAGGTACGCTCCCGACCGTTCAGCCTAGCCCATCTCCGCAGTACGGACTTATTTCCTAAAATCAGCTCTGGTACCTTGAAACTATAACACGCTACCAGTTTACGGCTTGGTGCCCATCTCATCATAATGCAACCAAAGACACCCAATAGAGAAGATTTGGTGCAGACGTGAGTTTTTGAGAGTTTGTCCAGCCTAGATCTGTTTCGCGGAAGCTAAATACTATCATACTCTCAGATGGGCTTATCTGGAAGAGGGTGTCGAAAAGATCATGAAAGATCTCAATAGTGGAGTAGACATGAACACCGTAAGCTTTACCTCTTTTCCGTCTATTTGCATTATCGTTATCAGCTGTGCCCTATGCTAACAGTTTTACCAGTACATGGGCGTTTACACGTACGAAAACCCCAGATACAATCTTCACATGGCGCTTAGTCGCTGACAGTAATATCTAGTGCTGTTCACAACTTTTGTACATCTCAGAAAGCTGTCAACTCAAGTCCGCAGACTCTGCAAAACAACGGAGCTGTTCATCGAGGTGGTCTGTCGTCATCTAGTTTGTTATTCTGCAGATTATACTGATATATTTACCATGGATTTTTAGCCCACCTACTTGGAGAGGACCTTTACAACAACTTGATTGGGTACCTAAGCAGGCATCTTGGGACTCTAAAAACTGTGGGTATAGGACTTGTTACATGCGCAGAATTACAGCCTTGCTAATCTATAGGTCTAGGATTCGGAAAGCCATGCAGACGAGGCCCTTCTGGCATTTTACATTCGAGAATGGGACCGATACACGACCGCCGCCAAGTATATTAACCATCTATTCCGATACTTAAACCGACACTGGGTGAAAAGAGAGATGGACGAGGGCAAGAAGAATATTTATGACGTTTACACAGTATGATTCACTCTACCGATGGATTATCCATGTATAGCTGACAATCATTCGATAGCTGCACCTTGTCCGTTGGAGATGCGATCTTTTCGACCACGTTCAGAAGCATGTAATGGACGGTGTACTGAAGCTTGTTGAGAAGCAGCGGAATGGGGAAACCATTGAAACAGCAATGGTCAAGAGCATTGTAGATTCATTTGTTTCTCTTGGATTGGACGAAAGCGATTCCTCGAAATCGACTCTCGATGTTTACAGGAAATTCTTTGAGAAACCCTTCCTCGAGGCTACAACCTTATATTATCAGATGGAATCAAAACAATTCGTTGCGGAAAACAGCGTTGTTGAGTATATGAAAAAGGTCAGTATTATAGTGATCTAAAAAAATGGGCTTATTGCTAATTTAGTGCACAAATAGGCGGAAACGAGATTAAATGAGGAAGAAGGGCGTGTGCAAATGTATCTTCATCCTGATATCTTCCAACCACTGATGAAAACATGCCAGAAGGTGCTCATTCAAGAGCATGCTTCATTATTACGGGAAGAGTTCCAAGTACTTTTGGACAATGATCGACAGAGCGACCTCCAGCGCATGTACAATCTTCTTTCTCGGATACCAGATGGTCTAGATCCTTTACGTACAAAATTCGAAGCACATGTTCGGAGAGCTGGCCTGTCAGCAGTTGACAAGATTGCTGATGAAGGTGGGGATAATCTTGAGCCTAAAATTTATGTGGACGCGCTTTTGGAAGTGCATGCACAATACAAAAACCTTGTCGATGTTGCATTCAAAAGCGAGGCGGAGTTTGTTCGTTCGTTGGATAATGCATGTCGCGAGTTTGTCAACCGCAATAAGGTCTGCAAGTCAGCGTCCACAAAGTCGCCCGAGCTTCTGGCAAAATATGCAGATTCTCTCCTACGCAAAAGCGCTAAGAGTGCGGAAGAGGCGGACCTTGAGAATAAACTTACTGCTATCATGACCGTCTTCAAATATGTTGAGGATAAGGATGTGTTTCAGAAGTTTTATTCCAAGATGTTAGCGAAACGTTTGGTCAACTTTACTTCTGCGTCAGATGATGCCGAAACTAGCATGATCGGTAAATTGAAAGAGGCCTGCGGCTTCGAGTATACTAACAAACTCCAGCGAATGTTCCAAGACATGCAAATCTCTAAAGATCTGAATGATTCGTACAAGGCATGGCTCGAAGGGAAAGGCGAGAGTGCGGCGGGTGGTGTGGATTTCACATGCCAAGTTTTGGGAACATCATTCTGGCCCTTGAATCCTCCTACTACTCCTTTCAATATCCCGGAAGTCATCGTGCAAACATACACCCGATTTGTCAATTTCTATAACGAGAAGCACAATGGGAGGAAATTGACGTGGTTATGGCATTTGTGCAAGGGTGAATTGAAGGCCAGCTATTGCAAGGCGACTAAGATACCCTACACTTTTCAAGTCTCAACATATCAAATGGCCATGCTTCTTTTGTTCAATGATGCTACGACGGTCTCACACGAGGAAATAGAAAAATCTACTGGTTTATCGAAGGAATACTTAGAGCCAGCTTTGATGGTCTTTCTAAAGGCGAAGGTTCTGACGCTTGTAGCTCCTGCAAAAAAGGTTGAGCCAGGAAGCTCTTATGCGCTCAACTTTGACTTCAAGAGCAAGAAGATTCGTGTGAACCTAAACATGGCAGTTAGAGCAGAGCAAAAGCAGGAAGTTGAAGAGACACACAAGACTATTGAAGAAGACCGAAAACTACTGATGCAGGTGAGGAAACTCCAATTTCTAGAAATTCAAAGCAGGCGCTGATAAGAACAAAATATAGTCCGCGATCGTCCGCATCATGAAGGCCCGAAAAGTCCTCAAGCATGTTGTATTGGTCCAGGAAACAATTGCGCAGATCAAGTCCCGTTTCACACCCAAGATTCCTGATATCAAGAAATGTATAGACATTCTTTTGGAGAAAGAGTACTTGGAGCGGTTGGATGGTGAACGTCTAGGTATGTTTGTATTAAAGGTTTACACTTCTTAACTTCGAATTACTAACTTTCATGACAGGTTACTTGGCCTAATCAGTGCACTGCATGATGCGAAAGGGAGTGTGTGTGTGGCGGGGGGAGGGGTGATGCTAGTTACGAAGTATAATTTTGTCATGAAAAAGAGCAAGAAATTGACCCTCTTACAACTATTCGAATAGCCAAAACATGAGTTGATGAGGATGGTTTGTTTTGTGAGCTTGAGAATTTGGGGCTTGGTCCTTTATACAGCTGTCATTGATCTTTGATCTCCTTTCCTATCGTACCTTCTGCTGTAAGGAGGAGATATTTTTCTTTATGATCTCGTTTTCTGCTCGTTGTTGTGTCTCATTTTCGGGAATGAATGGATATCATCCTGGTGTGTCCTTAGGCAGTGAGGTCCGGAATTAGGAGTTCAGAAATTTGGTTTTGAAGCAGACTTAAAATCATATGGATTCACCTGTACATTAGATCGTGAAAGTTGAGCAATGTTTATGTAGAACACCGCTGTTCGAGAAGGAGCTCCTCGGGTACCGGTGGATGGGGCTTGCTCTAGCTGCGTCATGTACATGATGAGTGACAGGAGCGAGCGACAGGAGCGAGCGACAGGGACTAAAGAAAAATTTGAAATTGGCCTAGCATTTTTTTTTTAAAAAAAAAAGTTTTTATTTAGGTTGTGGCTTCCTACACTTGCCCCGCCCCCTCCTCCGTCAAAAGACCCCTCCGAACCACCTCGCTGAGCGCATTGATTTTGATTCAGATACCCAACATCGGTACCATACAAATAACAATGGCAGGAAAAACTGTTCTTCATCTTAGGGCTGAGTGTACACATTATTTCCTCCTTTATATTTCGAGATTCTCGCATTCAGTGAGTCATAGCTTTGAGCTTACAATAGGGTGTTGTTATCTATAGCTAAACCTCTTGAGCACCGCTCTGCTCGTAAGACCCGACCCCTCCTTTTTTACAAACTATAATAAATATCCAAAGAGCATCAGTTGATAAATATGAATAGTAACCCCCACTACCGCGAAAGCATTGTTGGATGCTGGCTATGAAGTCAATGTTGAGCGCAGCGTGCAGAGGATCTTCGAGGACGAGGAGTTCGAGAAGTATGACCCCGCGTAGTAGATTTCATTCAAATAGTAGGACTAATTGAGCATAGGGTCGGGTGCACGCTACTTCCGGAGGGCTCATGGACTGGTAATATCCAAATGTTCTGAACTTCTTTTTCACCGGGAGTGAGTAGCTAACAAATGAGTAGAGGCACCGGCGGATCACATCATCATTGGATTGAAGGAGTTGCCTGAGGATGATTGTAAGCTATTTCATTTACTCACTTCGTTCTTTTAAGTTTCCTTGATCAATATTCTCATAACCGTACAGTCCCTCTCAAGCACACCCATGTCCAGTTCGCGCACTGCTACAAGAACCAGGGTGGCTGGAGGGATGTTCTCTCCCGTTTCCCTGCCGGTAACGGGACCTTGCTCGACCTGGAGTTCCTCCAGGATGAGTCGGGCCGCCGTGTCGCAGCCTTTGGATATCATGCTGGTTTCGCCGGAGCTGCTCTCGGAGTTGAAGTTTGGGCCAAGCAGTTGTTGAACCCTAGTGAGGAGGTTAGGGATGTTAAACCATACCCTAACGAGGATGCATTGATCAAATATGTCAAGGAACTTGTAGCCGAGGGTGGTGAGTCGATTTTTCTTCATTCTAATACTTTCAAATGGAAGCGTTATTGACAAAAGCTGTAAAATAGCCAAGAAGAGCGGAAGGCAACCCAGAGTGTTAGTCATTGGCGCGCTCGGAAGATGTGGGAGAGGTGCCGTCGATTTATGCCTTAAGGCTGGTATCCCTACTGAGAATGTCTTGAAGTGGGACATGGCCGAAACTGCTAAGGGAGGTCCTTTCGTGGAGATTGTTGAGTGTAAGTCAACGCCTCTTTCAATATATGTTATAACAGAAGTCTGATTTTGGAAAGCCGACATTTTCGTGAACTGCATCTACCTCAACACACCGATCCCTCACTTTGTCAACAAGGAGTCCCTAGAAAACCCCAGCCGTAAGCTGTCAGTTGTTGTTGACGTCAGTTGTGACACCACCAATCCTCACAACCCTATCCCGATCTACTCTATCAACACAACCTTCGACAAGCCTACCGTACCAGTCGAAGTTAACGGAGAGCCTCCACTTTCTGTCATCTCAATTGATCACTTGCCAACTCTCCTCCCTCGTGAGGCAAGTGAGGCATTTAGTAATGACTTACTCCCAAGCTTGTTGACTCTGAAAGATAGGAGCACTACTAGAGTGTGGCAGGAAGCTGAAAAGCTTTTCGACGAAAAGGTTGCTAGTTTGTCCAAGCTCTAGAGCATGATATGAACACAGGCAGCAGCCCTTTGTATGTTACATGAAACAGATAAATTCATTCCATTTCTGGGCTTGGAGCTTTAGTAGTTTTGATCATTAGCTATCACTCGTGCATAAAATCTAAGATGCCCAGAACTGGAATCCTCTAAACCATTTACAATATCAATATTCGAAAGCGATTTTAGTAATCTAATAAATGATTTGGTAATAATATCAATTAGTATCAATATTAATGCGTCTACGGCGGGAGCCTCCACAGCCACATATAAGCTCTGGTGTGCTGCGCCACAACTCAATCCTCAAAGTGAGCGATCTGGCCTAAATTGCAGCCACATCCCTCCTCCACACCTTCATCCCATTCTCTTGTCACTTCCCCCCCACTACACTACAGTATCACCGCTGCTACTGCTCCAGGCGGTGTCGAATCTTTCACAAATACAGCCCTTCAATCTGCGAGATTATCTATCTCGCCCTTACCTAACTATAAAAACTGCGCCAGTTACCTACTAAAGGTCTGAAATCATGGACATGGAACAGTTGAAAGATGCCTGGGTAACGGAGGAAGAAAAGGATGGCGTTCGTTTGAGGTATACAACTTGTTTATACTAATCTGTGATGACAACGTTAAACTGACATCTATGATTATAGTTGGAACGTCTTTCCCAGTAACCGCCTGGAATCGAGTCGACTTGTTGTTCCAATCGGTGTTCTCTACACTCCTCTGAAGGTGAAAGAACAACCTCCGGTCCAGTATGAACCAGTAACCTGCAAGAACCCTTGCCGGGCTGTTCTCAACCCTTACTGGTATAGTTCTTTATATCCAACGCAAAGTTTAGATCAAGCTAAATATATCGTAATAGTCAAGTTGATGCTCGCGCAAAGCTTTGGATCTGTCCTTTCTGTCTGCAGAGGAACCAGCTTCCGCCCCATTACAAGGATATTGGACCCAACTCATGGCCACTTGAGCTTTCTCCTGCGTTCTCCACCATTGAGTATAAGCTTGCTCGTCCAGCATCAGCACCACCAATCTTCTTGTTTGTTGTTGACACCTGCCAAGAGGAGGATTCTCTGAAGACTCTCAAGGAATCACTGATTGTGAGCTTGAGTTTGTTGCCTCCGCATGCGTTGGTGGGATTGATTACTTATGGAACTATGGTAACACATTATTAAAATTCTTTGATAATCTATTTAAAACTAAGTCCTATTAGACTCACGTCCACGAACTTGGCTACACCGAATGCGCCAAGTCCTATGTGTTCCGTGGAAATAAGGACTACACCGCAAAGCAGGTCCAGGAAATGCTTGGACTTCTTGCTGCTGGTCTTCGCCCCCAACAACAACCTATGGCACCAGGCCGTCCAGTGCCACCTCACATGCCACCATCCTCGAGATTCCTGCTACCCGTCCAGCAATGCGAGTTCCAATTGACCAATGTCCTTGAGCAGCTCCAAAAAGACCCTTGGCCAGTCGCCAATGACAAGCGTCCCCTGAGATGTACAGGCGTGGCCTTGAGTGTTGCTGTAGGTTTGTTGGAGACCTCGTTTGGAAATACCGGTGCAAGGATTATGCTGTTTGCTGGTGGACCTGGAACAGAGGGTCCAGGTCTTGTAGTTGGGCCCGAACTTAGGGAACCCATCCGGTCCCATCATGATATTGAAAGAGATAACATCAAGTACTATAAGAAGGCTACAAAGGTGCGTGTTTCTCTAGGATAAGATTGGCTAATATGGATACTAACATGTTTCGATCTAGTTTTATGAGAACATGGCTAAAAGGGTTGCGCATAATGGGCATATTGTGGATATCTTCGCGGGCTGTTTGGATCAAGTTGGTTTATTAGAAATGAAGTCACTCGCTAATAACACTGGCGGCCACATGATCCTTACCGACAGTTTTACTTCGTCTATGTTTAGGCAAAGTTTTGTCAAGATATTTGACAAGGACGCCAACGACAATCTCCTCATGGGATTCAACGCTTCGATGGAAGTTTTGACTACGAAAGAGCTTAAGGTTACAGGGTTGATCGGCCATGCTGTCTCTATGAATAAGAAATCAACTTCCGTTGGTGAAACTGAAGTTGGAATCGGTAACACTTGCTCATGGAAGATGTGCGGCATCAATCCCAGCACCTCCGTCGCAACTTACTACGAAATTGCCTCTCAAGCAGGGCCTGCCCAGCAACAGCAGGGTTCTCAAAAGGGTCTTATTCAGTTTCTTACCTACTATCAACATTCATCCGGACAATTCCACCTCCGAGTGACCACTATTGGCCGTGACTTCAGCGGCTCCACAGGCGACCCATCCCTCGCACAATCTTTCGATCAGGAGACGGCCGCAGTCCTCATGGCTCGTATTGCGGTTTTCAAAGCCGATGTTGACGACGGCCCAGACGTTCTCCGGTGGGTAGACAGAATGCTCATCAGACTGTGTTCCCGATTCGCGGATTACCGTAAAGACGACCCTACCTCGTTCAGACTAGAGAAAAACTTTACTTTATACCCACAGTTCATGTTCCATCTAAGACGCTCCCAATTTTTGCAAGTTTTCAATAACAGTCCTGACGAAACTGCATTTTACCGACATGTTATCGACCGCGAGGATGTCGGCAATTCATTGATCATGATACAACCTACGTTGGATTCATATACATTTGACGAGCCGCCAAGGCCAGTTCTATTGGACTCTACATCCATTCAACCCAACACTATCTTATTACTGGACACGTACTTTCATATTCTCATTTTCCACGGGGAAACTATTGCCGAGTGGAAGAAGATTGGTTATCAAGATCAGGAGGGATATGAGAACTTTAGGGAGCTTTTGGAGCTTCCGAAAGAAGATGCCCGTGAACTCATTGCAGATCGTTTCCCATTGCCTCGATTTATCGTCTGCGATGCTGGTGGTTCCCAAGCGCGTTTTCTGCTTTCAAAGCTTAACCCCTCAACTACACACACTTCGGGCGGGTATGGCGGTGTCCCACAGAATGCACAGACTATATTTACGGACGATGTGTCGTTGCAAACTTTTATGGAGCATTTGATGAAGTCGGTACCCAATTTAATAAACCCTTTCAAAATAACATTACTGACGTTTTTTTTTTTTTTTTGCTATAGGCTTGCTGTCACAGGTACAAACTAGTGCAACTGGTTAAGGTAGTAAACTAAATCTTGTGTTGTTTCTATATCTTATCTTTGCTTTCAATTTCTCGGCGATTTGGATGCGGGAGGCGGTTATGTCATTCGTAATCAAAAACATCAGGCTGCTAGGATGACCTTGAGGATTTTTGCTTTTTGCGTCTACTTTTTTGCGTCTTGACCAATAGGAGGAGTGTCGGTATGACCCAGAATGCTTTCTTTTCTTTCCTCCGCGAAAAGATAAAGGAAAAGGAATGAAAGTGTGGTGGACCTGGTGAATTGCTGTCTAGAGTGATATATTAATTATGAATTTCTATCGTTCACGAAGATATATGAGTACAAGTGTCTACTATGTGACCTTTTTGTTCAATAACGCGATGTATCCAGCTTCGATCCAATAGTTGTGAAGGCAGAAATAGCTTATGTCGCCAACTAATCGACTTAATTTACCCTAACCAACCGCCCTGTCTATATTACATAAGAATTTTATCGCCTAAAGTAGGTACACTCGCTCACGCGGTGATGGCGGTCCTCCTGTGATGGTGGACGGGGATGGCCAAATTTCAAGTTATTTAGGGGTGCCAAGAGCGTCTGGTGTGTTATTTTATCTTAGGCCCTACGGTAACGGTCTCTATTAATTCTTGTTAATTCACTCTGATCACCTCCTTCATAGGTGATTATTTTCGAGATTTGATAATATTGATTCAAGATGCAACTTTCTTTTACCCACTTCCACAATCATGTGCTTCACTTATGGATGGTGCCAGACAAACTAAAGCTGGAGCGAGTGATAAGCTGTGATTGACCGCAACGCCCGAATCCAACTAAGGATTGGTCCCAATTAGATTGCCTCTCAGCCCAAGTAATCCCATGATCCGAATACATCCGAACCTTTGAGGGGGGTGGGTGTGCGGGGGGAGGGCCCGAACAAGGGACACCGACAGTGGAAGCACCTGCCGAGTGATTTGCTATGACTCGCATGCAAAGATTACAGTTTCGATTGAGCCACCATGAAAATATTTCAAATATCAAATTTCCTGGGTATTAACCACTAGATGAAACTAACTATACCAAATCTATATCCACTCCGTCCAACATACCAACCCCTATTAAAAGCAGTACAATATCAATATCAAACGCAAACCCGCATTACATAATTCCGCCCACTCACCGCCCCCGAAAGTAAAGTGAAGACCAAACCAGACCAAACCAACCAAACAACAAAGGAGAAGGGCACTGTACCATACGCTGGGAAAGGATAGACAGGCAAGCGCGGGGTTCAAATGACAACTTCACTCGCTAGAAAGGGCGGCGAGTTTCAACTACAGGAGGAATGACCATCGAACTCAGTGAAGGATAAAAGGTAGAAACAGAAATAAAAATAAAATAAAAACCCAACCCTTTTGTTAACCATCCGACAGTCCGCTGAAACACAAACAGATTAAATAGATTTCTTTCCCTCCGCGGCAGCTTCTTCCTCGCTAGCACTAGTGCTCTCCATTTCCATCACCTCCTCTTCCTCTTCCCCCTCACCTTCACCTTCCACTATCCAGCCCCGTGACCCACTTCTTCTGCGGCTCCTTTCCCTTCGGCGTTCAGCCATTGCCGTGCTAATTCTTCGACTAACCTCCTCAAACTCCGCCTGGCCGGCACTCTCGTCTACTTGACTAAATGCCTTGATAGGAAAGCCTCCGCTGTTGCTTCGACTTCTAGCTCGACTAGCCGGTCGACTAGCGAATAAACCAATACTTCCCAAATTAGCGAAACTCTCGTTTCGCGGCAAGTTATTACCAGACCATCCAAATCCCGAGCTTTGCCCGTGTTCGGATACAGGCGAGAATCCATCTGAGGAAACTTCTGAATCGCGACGTCCAATAGTGATTGGTGGTATATTGCTATCCTTGTGGAAGGGATCTTCGACAATACGTGCAGAGTTGAAGTCAGGGAAAAGCTCAGGGCCAAGGGTATTGATTAAGTCTGTAACTTCAATCGAAAGCTTTGCGCGCCTTTGGCGGAGTTTAACAATGGTGTTGGCAGATGTAGGGTTCAGAGATAAGACTAGCGGTCGAAGAGACTTAAAGATGTCCATCCCAATCTCACCAAATCTTAGTGCGGCAAAGGTGATTGTAGGGAATAGAATCCACCCAAATATCGCAACAAAAATAATCGGCACCCAATCCGGCATTAAACCAAATACTCTATGGCTGTAGGTCCAATAGCAAAGGATAACAACGTAAAAGTTGTATAGAACCGGGGCAAAAGCCAAGGCAACAAGAAGCTTCCAAGAAGCCATGACATCTTTTCCTTGGACCTTAACAGTAGAAGCCTTAAGAGCTTCTACTGCCTTCCTTCGGGAGATAATCTTTGTAGCTATAAAAACCGGCCCGAAGAGAATAAATCCTGGGAGAGCGCCAAGAGCGAGTACTACTAGTTTACCAATGCGGTAGATTAAAGTAAAAACCACCCGGAATACCGAGAACTTGGCATACTCCACTTGGTGATCTCGAAGACCAAGAAGGCGGAGTTGGCGATTGTACTCGGTAACCGATTCTCGGAGATGTATTATACGGGGGTCATCCTTGTAGTGAGTGTATCCAGTTACCAATCTTCTATTCAATTCAACTACCATTGGAAGGGGCAATTTCTTGTTGGTAGGCTTATACAGTCTCCTTGCAGCTTGGATAGCCTAGAAAAATCAGCACAAAAAATGAAATAGAATTAGGAGCTCATAAGCACGCACCATGAGTGTATCGTAATCCGGTGAGGGGACAGTAACTGATACCAATCCGTTGTAAATCATTTCCAAAAGGGCCCTGACAGCCTCACGTTTCTCTCCTCTCGAATATTGTTCCACAAGCTCTTTCGGGACATCGATAGGTGCTCCAAATTCGATAACGGCTCGTGACCGAAATTTATGCGCATGGAAATAATTCATTCCTGTTGGCACGATTTTAAGGCCACAGTTTGGATTTGCAGAAAGAGCACCGAGAGCCATGATAGCCACACCAGCTAAAGGTATGTTAGCCGGTTTACTTAAATCGGATAGAAGCGGATCGCCACCAAATAATGACCAACCCAAATGCAACATAAAAACGTACCTTTCAGAGGCAACAATTCCGTTCTGTCGTGACTACCACCCTCCGGAAAGATGCCTACGCAACCCCCAGAGTTCAATCTGTGAAATACAGCATCGTATACCTCAGTCTGATCGACCTTCGGTGCAACCTTATATTTAGTTCCCTTCCCCTCATCAGACTCCTGCTGCAATTGTCGTAAAGCCACATCACCCTTGAAAGGTTTCTTAAGTATTATCTCGGTATCACTTAAGATTTCTGCAACATCGGTGCTAGCGCCTGCCTGCCCCGGGACGGACGGCAATGTCAATGAACCGCCGGGGGTAACTTCCGTAGTAAACTTTGTCCCAACACCACGAATCTTAAGAGGCTGGCCTTCAGCATCCGGGAGATAAATGCGACCCTGCCCGGCCTTCGCTAAGTCCTGAGAGCGTGATACGGGAACAGCGCCGACACAACGAGAAAGCCAACCGATAAACTTGCGGCGCATGGATTTTTCGGCAACAAGAAAAGCGATACGGCGTCGTGATTCGAGCCGGACAGCTCGCATAAGAATGAGAGGATCAACAAACTATGGGACGAATTAGTATCGAGGGGTAAGGCAATCGGTCCTGGAGATAAGTACCTGGTTTGCATGGGGAGCGGCGACAAATATTATAGGACCTCTCTTCGGAATCCGAAAAGCACCCCGAGGGTGTACTTCTCTGAAGAATAGGTCAACAAGAACTAGTAAAACGGATCAAATATCAGTATCTTGCTGTTTGGACTTTTATCGTCACCTCCTTTCAAAAGGCACCAAAACACATCACATACCCGAAAAGGACCATAACACAACATCGTAGACCCAGTTGACCATAGGCGCGAACTCTTCCTTCTTCTTGGGCGCCATTTTGAATAACTCTGTTATGGTCAACTCCTTGAAGGTCAAGAGCGAGAGGTGTGGATGTAGGTGTAGAAACGAATGGTAGGGTGTTTAGGCGGAGTTGCTGTCTTCCTCTTAATAAGGCAGAAACCACGTTATGCTTGTGGTTTCCGTGAGGTGTGGTCTCTCTAAGTTTTCAGGCAGAGGCAGCAGTATGTAGTATTTTTGAAAGCGTCGGCATGCGGAGCTCTGGATGGCGATACTCGGCTATAGATATTAGAATATGAAGGAAACTCATAATCCTGGATGCAATCAATCTCCGTGGCAATATTTCACCGCCACATGCTGTGGCTAGGAGACGTTCATTCATATGGTATCCCAACAACACGTGTGAGATGAAACCTTTCATTGCGACCCGGGCCATGCACATCCACTAAAAAGGGAATTCTCATCTCTACCTGACAGGAGAAATTTTACCTCTCCTTGCCCCTTATTTCATAAATGCAGTGAGGGGCTTCATTCAGAAGGATCTATACGGACAAAGACATCTAGCTTGTATCGATGTGCTTTAGAGCACCTGTAAGTACCATGTTTCTGTCCCCGCTTCCTGATGATAGGAGATTAGGAGTAGATGGCCGCTCCCGAAAATAGAACATGGTGATTACCGAGGATCCAAACGCAGTCCTCAGTGGCACTACATACACAGCCACCGAACCTAAATGGCCCAACGGTCAAAAAGAAAAAGGACACCTATCGGCCCAAAGCTTAAGTTCACTTAACAACTCTGATAGGTTATAGAGGGAGGTCCAAGCCAAAAGACAATGATCGCTGGCACTTACCTATCACAGTTCGGGATGCACAGGCGGTTATCTGCACGCATTTCTTGGTAGCCTACATGTACTCGCGATCAGCAACAAGAACCCGAATATGCAGCTGCAAGTCTTTGGTGTATTTTTGACTTCTACTCCAATGGAAATTGCAGATTAGGACGTGCATTTTCGGGTTCTTGTTGCTGGTCGCGAGTAAGTAGTCAACTCGTAGCTTTATAGCGTTTCCGAACACGACCAATATTGCATGACATACAAAAAGGTGGATTTGGCGCTTTTTCGTATGTCATGCAATATTGGTCGTGTTCGGAAACGCTATAAAGCTACGAGTACCTAGATACTCTTACTTTAAATACAGATAAGAATTGGTGCATATATACGTGACTGATGCTCAAAATATGATATGTTATCTGTTTATGAACTTGTGGAGTTCGCAATAATTACTAGGATGTTTTCGCAGCTATCCGGCATGCTGTTTCTAATCAACAAATATCGGATACCGTGGCCACAAGCGGATTCGGATTCTTCGGAATCCCGGCAGCCTCTTTCGAAAAAATGATGTGCTTAAGCCAAAACGCCCTTGCACGATATAACAAGAAGCAGCTGCAGAGAAAAGTAAAATGTTTTCCAGAAAAATCCTAATAATCATTCAAAAACCTAGATCTCACGTGGTCGGGAGTCAGAAGGTGTTATATATCTATGCTTATAGAGGATATCTCTTTTAAAAATCTACCGTCTGTTGGGCATCACAGCTCCGTTGAGATTCACATATATGAGATGTACCTACATTATGCATACTTCACACACTATCACTCGTTAAAACCCTAGTGTTTGTACAAGCCACAAATTTACTGACTATGCCCGGTTAGTCCAAATCATTTCCCCGAAAACCGCGCTTTGTGTCATTTTGTACAAATCAAGATTTAAACTAAATTTAGGAGAAACCCCCAACTGAACTGGAGAAACAGTACACGTTCCATATGTTCTGCTTAGTTGACGACCTGGCCACCAAAGTAGGTATACACGTGCCGCTAGCACGTACCACATCCTAGAGGCTTCATTCTGGGTATTAACCCCTTTGGGGAGGGGGGCTTCAAAACCCACCTGTTGGAAGCCCGCCGGAAGTCAATCGTTGCCCATGACTCTTTGTTTCAGACAAAGGTTCGAGATGGAGTACAAGGTTTGGATAAGACTCATACGGCGATATACGGTAAAGCACAGGTATTCCTTGATGATTGCATTTCACCTACATAAGCAGCCGGAACACTCATAATACGATTGAATCATGCAATATCCCAAGGCCGACGGAAAATTGTTGGGGATCCATAGTTGTCTTTTATATATTCAATACTTGGGTATTTGTGGTTGCTTGATGGATATCTGCAGGGGGTGCTCTAGAATACAAGGGCAATAAGACATTGCGAGTCCAGTGATTCACTACTCTAATTGATTGTAGTCGGTTCTCTTAATTCAATAGCTTCCAAGGGTCTACTAGTAGCTGATGCTGTACCTACATGTACCATCATGGGGTAGGTATTTCAGCTCTCCACCCTCACGCATCCCTGGCTAACCAAAATCCAATGCAGTTGCAGACAGCCAATGGGTCAAGCATTGCACGCAGTCCAGTTACTGACCCGCCTCCGCGGGCCATAACGGGCAACAACGCACGCACCAGACAACAAGATTTCTCTTCTTGCGTCAACATGGTCCAGTTCGAAGCGAGAGAAGAAGAGAAGGCGGGCAGGGATATCACCCACGCCCCGGGAGCAGCAGTTGTGGGGAGAGAAGTTGAACGTTCGCGCCGATCGCCAGCTGTAGTGCGGGATAAGTCGCGTGTCCAGAGTAGCTACCTATCTCGATGTGTGCCCAAAACTGTTGAGAGGGAAGGGGGGTACAGTACAAGGTGGGATGATACCAACTACGGGTACAAATGGGCCCTACTGCCCCCCTTCTTGCTCCGAGCTTTCCTGAATTATCCGCAGTATCCCTTTACTAGCATCCTGATATTTTCGATATTTCACAAATAAGAAATGCTTACCCGCGCATTCACGTTTGTTTTCCCAATCCCAACTTTCTTTAAACATCCCCGAGGCTCATCCGGCTAACTCGGTAACTACAATAGCACAAAAAGTACCCTCGCCACTGTAGTTGCCCTCACGGCCCTCGGAGTGGCGGCATTGAACTTGAATGCCAAATCGGAGGCCGCAAAGAAAGCTCAAGCAGCTGCTGGAACTGGTCAGAGTTTTGCTCTCGGAGGCTGTGAACGCTCTGGTGAGACCGATCCCCTTTACTTACTCTTGTATTTCCAGGAACACGACATTGAAATTTCTTTGTGATACAGGTGGCGGGGTCTAAATGGACTCATCGAATTAATGAGAGCCACGTTTATTGTGTTCCCAAGCTCTCACTCTTTGCTAGTTATACGGTTTATCCGTACGCATACGCATGTTGAGTGATGACGAATGGAGATAGTTATAAAGTACCCGTAATGGGCAAGGTATCATGGAGTTAATTATGGATTTTTGTTTTTGTTTTTGTACCTCTGTATTATTTTTGAATTCAACAGAATACCGATATCTTGCAGTTCACTAGGCAGCACATGAAACATGGTTATGGGTAACTACGGTTCTGTACCTCAAGATTAATTCGGTTGACTGCTAAACCGAGGATCCAAAACTGAAGTTACTCCAGGATAACGAACGGATTTGTGTCCGTGCGCGTGTTACCATGCACCAAACTTGGCAAGGGTGCCTCATGTGGTCAGTCACTTGTCAGAATCAATAGGTCAATTGGACTCTTGCATGGTTTGAGAGAGTCATTGTGCGTGCATGTTTGGCCCAAAAATGGGCTGCATATGTGCGTACGCACATGATACTTGAACGTTGGATGACTGATGAGTTATAGCATTGGCTTAGAGATAGGCCGCGGGTACTGTAACCTCCACAGAATATGTCGGCAAATATACATACATCTATCAAAACTTCAGAAGCCTACAGAGAGCTGGTTTCTAACCCTAACTTTCTTTATTGAAGGCACATATATACAAGTGTTTGTGCAAGGGGGGGTTTAGGGTAATCATCCATGATTAGGGGTATCAATGATAATACAGAACCCGAGCCATTTATGATCAATCACAACATATCACACGGATGCCTTAGTTTTTTGAAGTCTGAATTGCCAAGAGTGGCCCATGGCTCAGATAGTTTTAGAACTCTACCAGCATTTGGTCTAAGTTTTCCTCCGGTATTGGGGTAGTCTCGTTCATGCCTAATTACGTATTATGAGCTATAGCACTAACAAATATTGTGAACATAGCTAAAGCGGGCCTGGTCTCGATCGAGTTTACGGGCAATGAAGTCGAGCCCTACGAATCCACCATCAATAGGTCTAGAGAGATCAGCTAAACTATAGCTTGAAGTGATCCTCAGTTGGTGTGAATATATCTGTGCTCACATGTACATTGTTTGCCCGAATCATATATCCACATACGATGGCCCTGACTTCTTACAAAGTTTGTTATATAACTAAAATTTCTACAAAAGATCAGTGATCCTGTATGATGCAAGTTTCCCTTGCTCAATCATTGGCCCCGCTCCCTCCCATTTCGTCCAATACTGTGGATATTTTTTGGTATTTTCTACAGCAGTGGCGAAACTGCATGAGTTCAAAGAACAATCAATGGAATCCGATCGATTACAATACTTGGTATAACACTATTTAGATGGTCTAGTTGCACTATTAGGTTGACGGGATTCCATCAACCCCGGTCATTCCCAAACCTATTCACCCCGACTATATATCAATGATCCAAAAATCCATATTCTCAATCACCGCGCTCGATAAATTAAAGGAGTTGTTCTGTACTAGAGTCTCTAAAGTTGGACATGTTCGCTACTTGTATTCGTCCACATCTCTGTTGTCGACTAGTTTACCTGTCTTACGATTCAATCGGCCTCCCAGCGGTAAAAATTTAAAGCGGCTCAAGGAGATAGAGATGTTTTTAAGGGAGATCGAAAAGACTCTAGTTTTGTATAATCTCAACCAAAAGGTAAACACATTGAGTTCCACGTTCTGTTTTTATATAAGTGCCAGCTTATCAGTTGCTACACAGAGGTTCATGGCAGCAGAAAGTGGTACAAATGAATACCTTGCCCGCAATGCTATCTCGATGGGAACTATTTCGGTCTTTGAGAATCTTCGGCAGATCGGGAAGAATAATCTAAGAGCAAGCACATACGAAAAACTTAGGGAGCAGCGCAACCACCTGGCCCATGCTAAGGGGGATCAGTGGAAAGCTGTGTGGGAGACCATTTCCGTCGTATACCCTGACCTAATGACCGAGGTCGAGAAAGCGATTGATCTCTACAGGAGGTAATTCCAATCTTCCTAGTTGCTCCGGGGTGCGATTGTTTCTTAATCTAATACATTCTGCAAGCTTAAGACCTCCTCCTATTTTGAACGAAACGTTGGGAGGCCAGGTAGGACCAAAGAAAAAGCGAAGGAAAGGGAAGAAGAGGCTAAGACCTCAATGACCATATGACCTAGTAATCTAGCGTACAGTTCAGGATTCGGATAAGGTACTTGGTTGGCCATGGGATTTCGAATCTAGAAATAAATTTGAGCTTTTCAACTGATCTGTACTGACACCACCTAGACCTATATATATAACTAGGGGTTAAATCGCTTTTGTCGATGTGGAGATAGTTATGTATTACCCACGCATTGCAATTTATTTCCTCATATTGGTATTTAAATCCAGCTCTTTAAAGTTTGTGGCCCATAAGGCTCAACCATACATTCAACTTAATGACTTGTAACCTGACCTGGTTTTGGATTCTAATGATCAGATGCTCGACGTGCTGCCCCTCGAGTACCGGCCATTCCCGGAAAATACTGTAAATCATGGGCGAGTAGTAGTAATAGCTATATAAACTACTTGTTAGGTTAGACGCCATGTGCTAGTCACCGGTAGCTGAAGGCCCTGGGTTGAAAATAGGGGCGGGTGGTAGTTGTAATACTTTCACCCATATATATACGTAACATGTATTTGCGGTGAAATTAAGTATTGTCCCAATTAATGCCTTGCAATGGCAACCATTCAACCCCACCAAACTTGAGACCCTACAAAACCACAACCAATATATAGCTAAAACTAAGTGTATTAAAGTCATAGTTATTTATATACTCAAAGGTAATTCCTCCTGGCTTTTCCCATGGTTATGGTGGTGGTTGGTTGGTTTAAGGAAATGATGAGGTTGATGGTTGCTATCGCGAGAGACAACACTTAGGGCCCGCTCGGACAACCCAATAATCTAGATTATTGGCGATAATACGACGGATTATCAACTTTTGGATTATAACAATAATCTATGCTGTTCGTGCAAATGAATAATCCAACATTTGGAACTCCTGATTATCCTAATAATCCGCCAAGAAAACAATCACCTTCAGAGGTAATTATTCCCACACAACACAGATATTCTGAGAGCTAACGTTATCCCGACATGTAGATTATCCATTTTTATGAGTATTATGATTATCTTTTCCGCTACCTGATAATCCAGTCTGCCCAATAATCCGAAGAAATAATCTAAGGTTGTCCGAACGGGCCCTTAATTTCACCGTAAGTATGCATGGCCACAGTACTTAATTAGTTCCGTTTTTAAGTAAAATAGATACATATGCTTTAGAGTTACAATTATATCAAAAACTCTGTATCAAGATCTGGAGGTGTTGACAGATACATGTACGTATATGTTAATTATAAGTTTTCTAGAAGAAATATCATGATCATGGTCATTAACGTATATACGTATTGAATTTCCCTCCCCCACTAGATTCGGTCACAGGCTCTCACTCGTCATCGTTAGTTCCTTGATTCTGTGCGACTACTGTAGATGGATATTATTGGAAGGTAAATTTGAGGTATGAACCTTTGAAGACACTATTCTTAATTAACTTCATATCATCGTTAGCTAGGCTATAGGCATGCATGCGATCGATCATTGACCACCGCTCAAGGTCCCCAGATCAGGCCGGGTAACACAACCCTCTCGCCCCGCAAAGATGTTCCACGAGTCTAAAGGAGTGCCAAGACGGAAGCTCTAACCTGAGCCTCAACACCGCGAATCTCCATTCAGTGTTCACGCACCACAACGGCACCCATTTCCACAACCACCACCCATAATGCCAGTAAGCACCCATTTATCTTCCCTCCAAATACCTCGATCAGGAGCGTATGGAACTAACAAAATCAACCGCTTGCCAGGCCTACCACTCCGCGTTCCTGCAAGATACTGACGTCCGCGTCGTCGGTAAGCACCGATACCCCTCGTTACCTCCTAGGTTACATCAACTCTGATAGATATTTCTCCAATTAGGAAACTTTGGCCTTCTCCCACTCCGTACGAGGACCAGGGGGCCAGCATATACCCTCCCGGCACTGCCACCAAACACGAGTGACCTCGATGTCGACCCAGATAGCGAGCATTACGATGTGCTCGACGAGACCCTTACGTTGTTCCGGGCCAACACTTTCTTCCGTAACTTTGAAATCAAGGGCCCGGCTGATCGGACGTTGATCTATGGTATTTTGTGGATCTCGGACTGCTTGAGTAAAATCAAGCCGACCATGAGTCTGAGGGATTCCGAGAAGGTAGCTTATCCAGGGTTGCTACGTTGGAGTATCGTTTTGCTTATAAGGATTCAATCCAGGCACTCCAAACCTCCGCACTCGACCACTTTGCCCTCCCCGGCGATCCTGCATTCCCCCTGAACGCGCTTTACCAACCCCCGAAGGATAGAGCAGACGCTGAGGCCTTGAGAGGGTATATCAGTCAAATGAGGCAGGAGTTAGTTATTAGACTTCTCAGCAGGATCTACGCGGATGGAACTGGAAAGCCGAGCAAGGTATGTGAAGCTTTATGAAGCTATCATTAATGTACTGGGCTAACTTGCGTAGTGGTGGTTGAGCTTCACCAAGAGACGGTTCATGAACAAAAGCTTGTGAGTAAAGACTGGGGCGGTATAGACTATAGGAGGCTCGATTAGCACGAGGAAGAACAAGAAGTACATACCATGCATAGTTTAGTGATGAGTTGAGCATTTTATAATCCAGTGAATTCTGCATTGTTTGTTGTTCCGAGAAAGTTTGCTAGCAGTAGTCTGGAGTTGGGTCTTTTCTTTGCCGTGAATTCCATGTACCTTTATGGGTGCCCCTACATATTATACGGTTTACCGTTGCCGAGTGACCGGCCATGGCGACACAGGCGGGTGCTCGCTACCGGGTAAGGCTGTATCGGTTACCCGGCTCTTTACGTCACGCCCCACCACTGCCCCACCAGGTATCCCGGCCGTTTTTTTTCAAAAGATGTCGCTCGAGAGTCACATCTTGCCAATTGACTGACAACAGCTGCCAAAATGCCACCAAAAGCCGTGATAGCGCGCCTCTCAAAAGGCGACCACAATCCTCACCTCTTTACCATGTAAATGCCCCCTCTATACCACACTAGTAGTTAGTTGTAGTTCATGCCGAAATTAATACCTACCGTGTTTTCAGTCGCCCATTCCCAACTCCAGTCTCCCATAAGACATTTCTACGTATCAACCTGAACCGCGGCTCTCTGAACAATCTCGACATCAAATCTGGCGACCTATGCCACATCACCACTGCCGAGATCTCGGAGACCGCCAAAACACCCATTATACCCGCTATTGCATGGCTCGCCTCCGACGCGCATCTGCAAAAAGGAATCGCCCTTATTTCTGATAATGTTCGCACAGCTTTGAGTGTAGGCTTCGAAGATAAAGTCCTAATCGGAAAGTACACCGAGAAGGTTGAGGACGCCGTGAGCGTGTTTGTCAAGGAAATTGAGTACGAGGAGCCGCTACCGACTGCTGCTAGGCCTGGGACGACAGTACCAAAGAAAAGTAGGGTTGGGATTGAGAAAAACCAAATTGAGGGCTGGCGATGGTTTCTGGAACATGTCCTTGGTATGTTGGATGTTGCTGGGAGAGTTGTAGCTAGTTGTGGAGGTGCTTGTGCTGAGGTTTTTCATGTGTATGTAGTGGAGACAAAATATATCTCGGAGGGCCTGATTCTCAACGCAATCGAATACAAGGGCGTGAAACGAGCCTTCCGGATCGAAAAGATCGTTGCAAAAAACTTGCCCCGGGAGATTAATGACGAGCACTCGGTACCTGCATATAAGATGACTGAGTCCACGATCATTGAGCTCACCACCGACTCTGCTGACCCTTGCAGCTCTAGACCTAGTCCCGCTAGATCAAAACTTACTCGAGCTCCCCGAGCTTCAGTAGTGGAAGAAAATCCACCTGTCACGATCGCCCTACCCTCCCGTACCACCTTTGCCTCTATCGGAGGCCTCTCGAAGCAGATAGATGCCCTTAAGACCCTTCTCTTGTCGACACTATATCAATCCCACCACTTCACACGCTTCAATTTAACACCACCGCGTGGAATCCTCCTCTATGGCCCTCCCGGTACGGGAAAGACGCTCCTCCTCAAAGCTATTGCATCTGAGCTCTCCGCAAACTGCTTCGTTCTCAACGGCAGCATTGTCGGGAAATACATGGGCGAGTCAGAAGCTGCTGTTCGCCGTGTCTTTGCTGAAGCTCGTGCACACCAGCCCGCAATTGTGTTCGTCGACGAGGTCGATAGTCTTGCACCGAAGCGTACGGCGGGTGACAGTGGCGAAGGTAGAGTGGTGACGACACTGCTAACAGAGATGGACGGGCTTGACTATAGTGGCGGCGGTGAAGTAGTGAAGGTTGTTGTTGTTGCAGCCACAAACAGGCCGAATGCGGTTGATGGGGCGTTGAGGAGACCCGGAAGGTTTGACAGAGAGATTGAGGTCGGGATTCCGGATGTGGATTCGAGGAGGGAGATATTAGAGGTGCTGATGAAGGAGCTGCCATTTGAAGGGCGGGAGGGGAAGGGGAAGGAAGAATTTGTAAAGGAGTTGGCGGCGCGGACGCACGGGTTTGTGGGAGCGGATTTGGAGTCGTTGGTTAGGACTGGGTTTACAGTCGGACTCAAGAGACTTGAGCTGGTTGAGGGACAGAAAGAGGAAAAGATGGAGGAGGAAGTGGTTATTCGAGAGAACGACATTGAGGCGGCCTTGAAAGACGTGCGGCCCACAGCAATGAGGGAGATATTTCTGGAGCCACCGAAGGTCCGATGGTCCGATATCGGCGGCCAGGAAGAAGTCAAGCAGCGCCTCCGAGAAGCTGTAGAATGGCCATTGACTGTGAGTGAAGCATTCTTTAACCTCTTTCCAAATACCCATAATTTCTCAAGATATTGACCGATGTTTTCCACAGCACCCTGAAGTGTTTTCCCGCCTCGGTGGTACCCCTCGCAAAGGTCTTCTCCTTTACGGCCCTCCGGGGTGCTCCAAAACTCTCACCGCTAAGGCCCTCGCCACCGAAGCCGGCCTTAACTTCATGGCTGTCAAAGGACCTGAGCTCTTCAGCATGTATGTTGGCGAGTCAGAACGTGCCGTCCGCGAAATCTTCCGGAAAGCCCGTGCGGCAAGTCCTAGTATTATTTTTTTTGATGAGATCGATGCCCTCAGCGCATCACGGGAGGGTAGACAGGGCAAGAGTGGTGGTGGCGGCGTTGGGGCGAGTGTACTGACGGCCTTGTTGAATGAGATGGACGGCATCGAGAGCTTGAAGAACGTCACTATCCTTGCGGCGACGAATAGGCCCGAGATTATTGTAGGGCATCTTCTTCCTTTGATTACATTGTTTTCGTCTTGAGGAAGACGGTGATGCTGACTATTTTTAGGATCCGGCACTCCTTCGCCCCGGGCGCCTCGACACTATTCTGTATGTCGGCCCGCCAGATCTCGATGCGCGTAAACAGATCCTTCAAATAAAAACAAAGAAGATGTCGATTTCGCCAGACGTAGACTTGGATATTCTAGCAAAGAAGATGGACGGATACTCCGGCGCGGAGATTGTAAATATTTGCGACGAGGCCATTCATTATGCCATGCGCGAATCGTTTGATATCGACGCTGTTGGTAAAACGCATTTTGATCAAGCTATGGAGAAGGCAGTGCCACAGATCACGCGCGATATGAGGATGAGGTATGAGAGGTGGTCTGTGGGCGGGGTGAAAAAGATATAGTGTACTTGCTGTGTATCGAAGCATATTGGTGTAAATAATTGACAAGTAATGGTGCAGTGTGTCGGAGCGTTGATGTGCGGGCATTGAGGTGAATTTATCGAGAGAGTGATATCTTATGATTGTCACTGGTTATGAACTGGGACTTGGCATTGGGCACCCCGGTCAAACCAATCAATTCAATCCGCATTATCTAGGTCCGGCCGCGGCATTCTTGAGTACTCGAGCGCAATAGCCCCCCTACTGGAAGCATTGTGCTGGTGGTGGGTGTAATAATGCAGACAATACACATCTCCATGATGCATTAAGATCCGTAGTAGACGCTGCAGAAGGGTCATTTGGTTTAGTCAATAGAGATACGTATTATCTGATAGAAATCTTGGAAGAATTAACTGTTAGAGGGCGAGTCGTTTTTACAAAATGACATCACTCTACTCTCAAGCTCACAGTGCATTTGCCACTTGATATTACATGGTATATTAGAGCTCTAGGATAAAATTTGTGAGACGCATGTACCTACAAATCCCCACAGACCAGATATCCTTATAGACAAACCCGTTTGACAATATATCCATATCGATGTTGCGTGTATTTGACGGCAAGGCTGTCGAGATAAAATTAAGATTGTAGAGCGAGGAAATAGCCCTCATTAGGCCAACATCCTGTTTTGGTATCGTCGTCACCCTCATTACTGTACTTGACAGATCCCCGGGAAGCTAGCCAATTTACAATCTCTTCAACCTCAACTAAGGTCAATCCGGGCCACAAAACTCTCATGATTTCTTTCATGTGAATTCCTGGCCGGCTAGTGATCAATGCGAGAACTGCAGTTGTGACTTTAAGCCACATGCCTGTGATGAGTTTCCCGTTGATATCCACCCATAGGCGGATGGGCTCAGTCCTACTTTCTGGGTTTCCTCTTGGAAATGGAGGCGCCGGGAGGGTTCTTGATTTGGATTCATATCGTGGTCCTGGTTTAATCTGGACCTTGAAATTGACGATATCTTTGTCCATTCCTCGCGTTTTATACCCATCGATCAAGCCAAGCTTATCAGCGAAATATCCGCTTTTACACAGAATAATCTGTAAATTGTTAGTTGGGGCTTTAGTATGTGAATAGATCGTTTTTCATACCCGTCTCGAAGTCATCATATCAAACAAACAAGCCATTGAACCATCATTTGTCAATGGTGACACTTCAATTGCTTTGTATCTCTTGAAATTTTCACGAATGTATGTCTCATAAGATACGGCTTGGGCGAAAAGACCTTCGTCCATTGGTGTGCGAAGTGAGTGATGGAACTTGTCAGTAAACTCGTAGTTCCGTCCTGGTGTGAACCGTGTTTTATCTTTCTTATGCGCAATTGTTTTACTGATTATGAGCGTGTAAAATGCCTCATCCACAAGGCGCTCCGGATACGAGTGCAGAATCTCAAATGCTTTCTTAGGATTATACTCAGAGGCATCAGTGATAATATTGGCCTGGAATCACTATTAGTTAAAGCGATGAATTTTTTTTTTTTTTTTTTTTTGGGGGGGGGTTTCAAGGCTACCTTAATTACTGACTTGATATATTCTAGAGTTTCTTCATCCTCGGCAGGGCGTTCTCTTTCATGTAAAGGTATCTCATAAGGATGGCATACAAAATGATTTCCTCTATTCCCCATTGTAAGAACAGGGCTGTGGAACTCGTTCCTCCAAGTTGAAGGTCCATCGGCACGTAGTTCATAAATTTTATCGAAAGCCTCACGCGTTACCGGAAGTTCGGGTACCGATTGACTCCTAAAAGGTAAATGTTAACTAATCGATCAATCTATAGGAGGGAAAGGCGCCAAGCTTACTCCGGAAGTTCTAGATTCTCACGGAACCATGTAACGACAAATGGCAAGTCAAAAGTTGACGAATCTGCAGGGTTGAAAGCCGGCAATTCACCCTTTTCGTAGGCCTCAAGAAACATCTGCTCGAATTCCGCTTGAAGTTTCTTCATGTGTGTCTTATGAATCTCGCGCACACGTGGCCACCGTTTCTGTAGTGTTAACGAATTATGCTTGGGGATGGCAGTCTGTACAAGGTTCCAGTCGATCTTACGATCCCAACCTCCAAAGATAGTTCTGACAATTATTATAGCGATGAGTAGAGAATCTTCATCCTCTTTAGGTATTATGTACTGATTCCTAAACTGAAATCTGCGAGGAGGGACTTATCTAAGGTCAGCATTGATGTAAGAAAGAGGATCACAGACTCAGATACCCACGTTCTTCAAGGGGAAGTGTGTCGGATGCCCTGAGTGTGTTTTTGCGAATTGCAGTCATAGCACGCTCACGACGAGAAGGAATCTTTTCGAATGAACCCGGAGCTCTACGCTTTCTTTTCGGTGTTTCTCCCATCAGTATATCAACTGTCCGAGTAGGTTTTGATACTGGCTTCCTCCTAGCACTCCCGGGTTTCGGCCCAGGCTTTCGGGGACCCATATGTCGAGTCTCAGAGAAATCCGGTGCCCTAATGCGCTGGTCCATATTTAATATAGGAACTTGTGTAAAGTTTTCGCCGACTTGGGTATCAGGTGCAAAATGATTTATCATAATGAAAGTTTTTTCACTTTGTTCAGCCAGGGGAGCCTTATCCATCCTTTTTTCCCACTTTTCGACCTCCTCAATTTCTTGATAAAATCTCCTTTCGTCTCTTGGCTCATTAAGATCCCTTTCCACAAAGTCATTCCACCAAACTCGCCTTGGTAAATTTTCTTCTGTGGGCGGCGGGTCGTAAGGGTCAAATGGTTCGTTACGGTATTGCTGATTTAACTTCAGCAGTACCTTTTCAGCTTTAATCTCAGCCTTTCTTCGGCGAGCGGCCTCCTCTTTTTGCTCATCTGTAAATTTTTTACGTCTACCTGTTGAGGTAGACGGCATGAGAGTCTCGGTGTATATACGCGGGCGGCCTCGGGGTTTAGTTGGTGTGGCTATTCTTGCAGCCCTCGCGGCCAAGCGATCAGCCGCCATAGCAGCGCGCTTCATCTTCAACTGCATGACAGAATTTGGATGTATTCGCTCAAATTCAACACCCTCGACCTCCCTTGGTTTGGGTAATGACCAGTGTGGTGGTTTAGCGAATCTATCCTGGATATCCTGCTGGAGGTCTGTGTTAGGTGGAAACCAAAGGTTTCCTTCCACAGACATCATTTCCCTAACCATGGCATCAACCTTTGGCGAGTCAGTGCTGATACTAGCATCTACCAATATCTTTTTCGTGATTGCACTCCCACTACCACTGGTAAAAGTAAACGTAAGCGCCTGGATTTTTTTCTTGTACTGGAGCGATTGAACTATGCCTCGGATTAGACGCCGATCACAGAGTCCGGCCTTTGGATTCTTCTGACGATATTTCTTATCAAACGCGAAACGAAGCTCATTGCCCCCGGGGAAAACTCCGCCATGTTCCTTTATGAGATCAAGAACAACTTGTTGGCGAGCCAGTGCTAGCATACCACCAATGGAGCCGTAGGATTCGTTCCCCTCAACATCTAGCTTTTCTTCCTGAACGGCCACCCCATTGATGACGTGAACCGGCTTTGATGAATTTTCAGAAGCTGAGCCGCCAGGGGCAGAACCAACAGGAGTTATGCCATCAGAGGCGACTATCTCCATGCTATTTTTCTCTATACCGCGTTCATCGTTAACTGCGAAAATGTCGCGAGGTTCTGTAGTAAATCTGGCAATTTCCATAGATTTCTCAAGGCGAGCGTTTTCTTGGTAATCACTTGATATCACCTGCTTATTCTCGAGTTCGGCACTTGCGACAGCGCCTGGTTCTGTTGGTACTGTAACTACCTCGATATCGCCCCCACCAACATTAGGCGCTGCATTACCTTCATCAGGCGCTGCTTGTTTCATACGTTTCGATTTACGGGTTTGTGTTTGTTTAACTGGGGCCTTCCGCTTATTTGTCACGACCACATTGGAAGTATTCACAGGTATAGAACCTGCAGGAACTAGCTGGTCGGTATGTTGCTTATCCAGAGACATGATTTGCGTGGGCTGGCCTTGGTTCCCGGTTATGTCAGGTGCAGCAGTACTCTGAGTTTTTTTTGTATAACGTCGTTTTACGGATGGTTCACCATTGTCTGTTTTTTGTTTCTTCGGCGGACGTCCACGACGCTTGGGGACTGGTGGTTCTTGTGTAATAGATAGGCCTTCGGTGACCTCTAATTCGGTTAAACCCAATATTCTTTGCTCGCTAGCTTCGAGTGGCAGTTGCTCCTCAAGTTCTGGTCCCATATGTTCACCGTTAGAGACAGAATAAGATCCTTGGCCAAGCCTACTTTTGGCGAATGTACCCCCACGTTTAGTGGCTGTACGCCGTTTTGTTTCTAGGTACGGTTCCCCCCTTTGTCATTTTTACGTGGCCTTCCTGCTCCTATGCGATCTATTTTATATTAGACAAATTGTGAACGGCATAGCTTTGAATGTTTACACTTACTACTCTTCCAGTCAATACTTCTACCACCCTTATTATCATTGACGATATTGAATTGCGATGTGAGTATTTTTAGATTCTCCTTTTTTTTACCTTGTAACTGGCTTTCCCTCAGAGTTCCAGACCCATCCTTCTTTATAAATCGAGAGGTATCTAGAACAGGAAACCCGAAGTCATCTCTCTCAATATCAACATCATCTGCCTTCTGCAAAGAGGTTCCGACAGAACCCTGTTTCACCCCCTTCTTTTTGGGGGTGGGCTCATAAGGCTCGGTTGCCAACCCTTCGGAGACTAGCTGTTGGTGCCATTGATAGCTGAAGTATCTATAGTGTGTTGATCGGCCAGTAATACCAGTTTCCCGAATTATAGCAAGGTGCATGTACTGAGGAGGCTGTGACTGCCTGGGGAAGTCGGTCATTCGGTGAAGAATCTGATCCATCGGACGATAATATAAAGGTCCAACGGTTCTGGACATTAGATCCTTAATAAAGATGGGGCTATTAGTATATATGCATATAATAAATATTCATGAATCCATAAGTATTACCATGCTTGTAATCCCGTCCTTTCCTGCCTTGTCTACTATGTCAAAGATTATGCTTGTCAAGGGCTTATCTATCCGCCACTGAGGTGTATCCCTATCGATCTCCCCTACCGCATCAACGTCCACGTTCTCTAGCTCTTTCACCGCATCAGCATCTAACTCATCGCCATCTTTATCCTTGGCGATATCATCATCAGATGCCTCAGCCGCGCCTCCTCCTTCTTCCCCTTCTTCATCTTCCATATTTACTTCACGTTTTGAAAAAGCAGTGAGAACTTTGCGCCAATCACAAGCATCCATATCACGCAAATATCTTACGCATCGGGCATGGCATTGTTCTGATATCGCTATCTCTTTGTTTGCCTCCCTCTTTGTGTACTTCCGATTGAGCTTGAGAGGGACTCGGATCCGCTTGAGTACGCCCAATGACTCCAATTTTCGAAGGATTCTTGAGAATGAACGCCAATGAAATCGAGATTTATCCATGCCCTGTTTCCCGAAAAACGTTAATACATACCATTGAATATTATGTTGTCACATACCAATTTTCTTTTTAGATCACTATGCATTAAGACTCGATTTTTTGCCAATTTTAACTCGAAGAGGATAGCTTTGATAAGCTTTTCGGTGTCGATGGTAGGCCCAGTCCAAGCGAAATTCGGGCCCTCGTCTTCTCTGTCAAGCTGCCGCCTGCCTTTCTTTCTAGCATCTTTTTCTGGTGGAGTCTGCACACTCCGTCTTATATCCCGTTGAAATGCGAACCGTGCCAAGGTGAGCTTGCTGGTGTTGAGGTTCTTTACTAGAACGCTCTTCTTCTCAATATATCCTTGATTTTTGAGCATCGTAGTTCGCACAGGAACAGATTTCTTGTCCTGCCCGGTCACTCTGGTCAATTCTGGTTGAATTATCCCCATTTCACGATGTTTGCCGATGACCTCGAGGCATTTGAAAATCGCATTTGGAACCTAATAATTTAATTAGCTCATGAATCCTCTCATCATTGTCGGGTGATGGTACCTTCTTAGGATCCACTCCATGTCCTGTAAGTGCTCGCCAACGTCTTTCTTCGGAAGCATAAACCCTCCATTTCTCCTGGCCTATCTCGCACCTTTCTTGGTCTTTTGAAGTGGAATCCCCAAGGTCTGACTCTCCGCCACTTTTCTTGGGGATTTTGTCTTTCCTAAGATCATCTACGATATCCTTCAAGGTCAAATTGCGGCCTTCATTATTCTTTCCAATAATGAAGTCTTTCTCCATCCTTAAAAGATCCCAGACATAATCCTGAAATTCTTCTTCTAAGTTAGGTAAATTCCACATTGTAACCCCGACTGGGTCGGGCCTCTGAAGGCTTGGCATATCATCAACTGGCGCACCATCGGACGTCAATGAGCAGATGTCGGTTTTAGGCTGAGGATTTTTGGCATAAAAGGTGGTAACATATGCAAACAACTGATGAATTGTTGTCCCTATTTTTATGACATATTAGCGAACTTCTCTTTTGAGATCTCGGGCAAAAAGGAAAAAAAAATGAAATGACGATGACGAGGATCGAACGAGGTGAGCTCCGCACACATATGCAGTCAAATAACGTAGAGAATCAAAAAGGGTATTGAGGCTCAAATTTTTGGAGTCAGCTCCCCAAAATAATTTTGGCTTCAAGATGCTGGGGAAGTAAATTTTTTGTGTTATTCAAACGCCACATACGATTCAACAGAAATGCAAAGACGTTATAAATGAATTATAGCAACAGGATGAAATTACCGTCTTCTCCATCTAAGGAAACTTCTTCCAGAACGTAATCGAGAAGAGCTGGGATACTCATTGTGCAAAATTGATCCTACAATAGCATGAGTGGGCCTGTAGGAGAGAAGCTTATCTTAAGTAGCGTGGGATGGACGTCAATGGGTAACACAGAACACAGAACACGCGGGTAACTTCTGAAGATTACCCGGCCTGCTAAATAGCAGAGGTCATTTTGAACCTCTTCATATACATGTACCTACATATTAGGGGCCCGTGACGAACTCGGGAGTTACTAACAGACAGTTTTAAACTAGTTAAAAACTGGCTTGAGGAAAGCTAGGTGTCATGGTTATGAACTAATCACTAGTGTAAACCGAATTTTTTGTATGGGTTAGGGTAATTCGAGGTGTATAATCGGATTAGAAAATGAAATTTGGGGTGGATTAGGGCAATCTTGGGGTGGAAATCAAGGTTAGTTCATGACATCTGACAGTTAAAAACTGCTGTTTATGACAGGCTGAGTTCGTTACGGGGCACTACTACATATCCTTTCGTTCGTCGCAGCAAACACGGAGATATATTAGGCCCATCACGGTGTGGTGATATTCAATCAATCTAGCTACCCTACCTACAGACTGTGGAGACACCAGCAAAAGGTATATGAGGGGTCCTAGAAGGTGACTTTACAGCAAAGGGTTTACGGAATAAGGGTTAGGTTTATTACCGAGTAAAAGTTTCCTACTAGCTCACAGTCGTGAAGGGATATGTATATTAAAGGTATGAACTCCTCAGTCTAAGGTATCACTGGAAAATAAATTTTCAAAAATTACTTCACGTTTACATGTCGAGCAAGAATAAACTTTATTTACCGGTATCTATTGACCTCAACTCATCACTTCACTTAATAAAAAGAAGAAAAAGAAAAAGGAAAAGGAAAAGCAATAAAAAGAAACTCCTGGATGTACGCTCGCTTTGAATTCCAATGTGTCAATCCTGCCGACAAGGGCAATGGTAGTGACAACACTTCATAAGCTACTGATGCTAATACTAATGAACACCGTATCTAGCCCTTTATTTCTTTTGTGGGGTTGGCTCAACATTCCAGATTGTATCGGCATACCTAGGTTTAATAAAGTCAGTAAAAGAAAGGCTTCTACCACATCAAGACAGAATAGGAGGCGCTTACTCGTTGATAGCACGATCGGCACTGAAAAATCCCATGTTTGCGACGCTCATGATCGACTTTGTAGCCCAGTCCTCCTTATCCTTAAAGGTTGTGTCGACCAAATCTTGAGTGGCAAGATAACTGGAGAAATCGTCGCTGACAAGGTAGTAATCACATCCTGTTGTAAGAGCCGAGATTAAGCCGTTGTAGATGTTCGGGTCACCGAATTGTCCAGCTTCAATCGCATCGCAGACTAATCGGAGTTTGGGGTCCATCTCGACTTTTCCGAAGCGGTGTTGATGACGAAGCTCTTCGACATCCTAGAAATCAATTAGTAAAAATTCAATATATTAATGTCAACATTTTCGGAGTACAGACCTCCGCTAAGTGACCAAGCAAGAAGATATTGTCCTCTCCAATCTCGCGTGTGATTTCAATCTGTGTGAGAGATGTGTCAATGATTGGTTATGGTATTATTCAAATCACCACTAGCGATGACTCACGTTGGCACCATCGCAAGTTCCGATGATCAAACCACCATTCAGCACAAACTTCATGTTACCTATAAATTATTAGAAATAATCAAGTGACAATTTTAAAGGATTGAGTCATACTTGTTCCACTGGCTTCGGTTCCGGCGGTAGAGATGTGTTCACTGATGTCGGAGGCGGGAATAATGATCTCTGCCTTACTAACATTATAATCCTCAATGAAAACAACCTTTAGAAGGTCACCGATATCCTTATCGGTGTTCACAACTTCGCCAACAGCAGTGATAAGACGAATGATGGTTTTTGCCTGCTTAGTGTTAATTTAAGCTTTTTCGAAGAAAGGTAAAACGCAATGATTACCATCCAGTAACCCGGAGCAGCCTTTCCTCCAAAGATAGAGGCTCTGGGTACTTGTTTCTTGAGCTCCTCAGGCTTCATCTGCTTGAGCCTCAGGTATCGATAAATGACACCGAAAATGTTCATTTGTTGACGTTTGTACTAAATAAATTAGATAAGTTCAAAACGATCTCACGATAAAATTTACCTCGTGTATCCTCTTGACCTGAATATCAAACAATGAATGTGGGTTCACTGCTATCTGAGTAGTGTCCCTAATGTACTTCGCAAGTCTTATCTTTGCGGCTAGCTTGATTTCCATCCACTAATTTGTGTCAGTATATCGTACTTTGGGATTTTAAGAAGAAATCTCACCTCCTTGCGGAATTCCTTGTCGTCGACCCACCGTTCAAGCCCTTTGAGGAGGTTTAAATCCTTCAAAAAATCGTATCCGCCCAACTTGCTCGCGATGAGATCCGAAAGTTTGGGGTTTGCTTGATGAAGCCAGCGGCGAGGAGTAATACCGTTTGTAACGTTCGTAAACTTATCAGGACCGAACACGGCAATAAAATCTTTAAAGATTGTAGCCTTAATAAGATCGGAGTGTAGTTCGGCAACACCGTTGACTTTGTGGGAGCCAATGATCGCGAGGTAAGCCATTCGGATTACTTGAGGCTGGCTCTCCTCGATGATAGAAACTCGTTGCAACATGTCACGATCCTTTGAAATCGGTTAGAGTTGATATAAAATTTAAGGAAAGGGTATACTAAGAGACTTTTCTCACTAACCTTGGGAAACTTCTTCTCGACGCCCTGAAGGAAGTAAAGATTGATCTCGTAGATGATCTGGAGATGACGTGGGAGGAGGCTCTGGAAAAGAGGGACCGACCATTTCTCAAGTGCTTCCGGAAGAACGGTGTGGTTGGTGTAGCCGAAAGTACGGGTGACGATATCCCAACTTTGATCCCATGTAAGACCCTCAATATCGATGAAGATTCTCTGTAACTCAACAATCGCCAGCGTTGGATGGGTATCGTTGAGCTGGATCGCAACTTGGTCTGGGAACTCCTTCCATGGGCGGTGCGACTTCTTGAATCGTCTTACGATATCGTGCAATGAAGCCGCAACCCAGAAATACTGTTGTTTGAGTCTGAGCTCTTTACCGGCGGAGATGTTATCATTGGGGTACAGGACTGCAGAGATGGTCTCGGCTTTCTGTTGTTCACGGATAGACCCTTCGTAGTCACCGGAGTTGAACTTTTGGAAGTCAAACTCGCCACTCGACGGCTTTGAGGACCATAGACGAAGATTGTTGGTTGTAGAAGTCTCGTAGCCGGGAATAGGGACATCGTACGCAATTGCTTGAACTATCTCACCTCCCTCCCAGAGGTGGGAAATCTTGCCATCATTGTCGCTGAGGAAGGTGTCAATGATCAATCCTGGAAGAAAGTAAGGGCCTCGTAATAGACTTACCTAACCTTGGTTACATAACCATAGAACATGATATCAACGCAGACATCATGACGCGGGAATTCCCAGGGGTTGAAATCCAGCCAGTAATCTGGAACCTCAACTTGATAACCATCTACAATTTCCTGCTTGAAGATTCCATAGCGATATCTCAAACCGTAGCCCCATGCTGGGTAGTTCAAGGTCGCAAGAGAATCCAAGAAACAAGCCGCTAATCTTCCAAGACCACCATTTCCAAGAGCAGCATCATGTTCTTTGTCAATAACATCTTCAATTCTGAAACCAAGTTCACCAACACCCTCTCTGGCGGTGTCCTTGATTCCCGTGTTCAACAAGGAGTTGTCAAGAGTTCTTCCCATAAGAAACTCAAGCGAAAGGTAATAGATTCGCTTCTGGTCCTGGAGCGTTTGGTGTTGCTGGGTTTTATTCCAGGAAACTACAAGCTTATCACGGACAGCAAGAGCTGTACCGGAATATGCTGCCAAGTCATCGCAGTTGTACATTGAACGAGCCAAAGTGGTCTCGACATGGCGAACAACCTCTCGCTGTGGTGAAAAACAAAGATCAGTATATATTATGATGAGTTTACTAAAGAAGAGGCACAAACCTGGAATTCCTCCTTCCCCTTGAATTCAGTAGCAGCCTACTCAAGTTAGAATGTATTTAATATTATATGGCCGGTTGGGAGTATATTCGGAGGTAAGATCTCACAAGTTTGCGCCAACTAAAGATAAAGGTTAGTCAAAACATAAGATTACTCAGTGGACTATGTATGAATAGCGTACGTTTCTCTCAAGGGTTGCGGGATGCTGGCTTCAATGGCCTTGATCTCACGAACGCCAAATCCAGTATGGGTCCTTCGATGCTTAGGACGTAAATGGGGTTCGACAACACCGGGAGCCGGAGGGCTCGAGATTGGAGGTGCAGACATTGCAATTGCTTCAACTACGAAGGTAATATTACAATGGGAGTAGCAATGGATAGAAGATCGATGATGGATAGATGGTGGATGATAAGAAGCGGGATGGAAGGGCCAACTCTATAAGTAATGGCTGAGGAGAAGGGCCTGGTTCAGAAGAGGGGACAATGAGAGAGCTGAACTATAACGCGAGGGGAACGGGCAGCAGCTTTATTCATGTACTATTTGCTGGCCAGAGCTTGATCTCTGCACGGACAACACCCCCAAGCCCTCCCCACCATCGAGTGAGGGGAAGAGACCGAGCAATACTTGACACTCACGCAGGCAACCAGCACGTAAACTCGGACGAGACACCAGTGATGCACACACCGATCCCAAAAGCAAGTAACAATGTTTCGTATGTGTTGTGTCGATGGAGATGGTGGGGTGCAGTACTGGTGGGGTGGAAACAACCTTGAGCACAAACAACCGGTGGGGTAAAGAGTCCAAAAAAAGAAATCAAGGCAGTTTCTGGGGTTTGATACGTTTACTAGCGATAAGGACCGCACAAGTACGCAACCTAAAATAATACGCGGGGTAACACGGTGCAAGAGGGGTCAGAATCTGTTACATACCTTCTCCTATAGAAAGCTGTCATATCGATATTCTGCACCCACCACCACGTAGCTATTCCAACTGCAACGGGAAAAAAAAAAAAAATTGCATCGGAAGAATAAGGAAACAGCATCGCACTTTATGCCCATGCCATCGATTCTGCCTCCATCCCTCTGCATACAAGAGCTGCAAATCCCACCTTTTCCTCATCCAATCTTTTCGGTGCATCGGCAGTGCGGGATCTGCCCGAGTATATGTAGTTCTATGTAATCCCGGCAGCGGAAAAAGTGGGATCAGGAGAAGATACACCCCTCCCCGCGAGATTTGATGGGAAAGTGAAAGATAATTCATGACGATGCAAGAAAAGATAACACGCACAATTGCCGCACCGGAGAAAGCAATATCGGGAGACGAAGTAACCGGTTCCAATTACATCTTCACACCCATCATCCCTTATACGTCAAAAGAAAGGATAAAAGCAATAAATAGAAGAAGGAGGGCCAAGAAACGAAAGATGGGAAAGGAACAAAAAGACTACGAAAGGACTATACACAATTGCGAGTGCTGAAAGACTCTCGCCTGAACTCCGATGCTTGACAAACCACGCGAACCAATTCACACAAGATGCTCCCGTGCTTTGTACCCATACCGAAAAAAGAAAGAGAAGAAAGTAAGAAAGAAATAAGAAAAAGAGAGAGAGAGACCAAGCAATACAGCAGCTACCCACCAAAAAGTAGCCATGTCCTTAAGGAAATAAAAGCAATCCCTTTTTCGAGATGTGACACGATGCCTCCCCTTTTTCAAACTAAACTATCCCCACGCTACCCGGAACAGTCGATTCCAAGTAAGAAGCCGAAACAAAAAGCCAGAAAAGCAAAAACAAAAGAAATAAAAGCAATACCGGTAACTAATAAGCAAAGTATTTTGTACAAGGGACCATCGGGTTTATTAATGATCGCCACTTATCGCGCATGCAGGTCATAATATGCCTGATTCCTTTAGTGCGTTCTGTAATATCGTCTCCTTGACTGCAGCAAATACTAGACGGATATTCGATGTATCGGTTGCTTGGGTAAGGCTGCATGATATGTTAGTAAATTAGCCATATCTAAAACAAGGAAAAGATGGTTCGTACTGAGGATATAAATTGAGATGAGCACGGTTGACTTGATTAAATCGCCAAAGTAGATATTTAGCGGCTCTGGTCACATCATTGCCTCCAGAGTAATCAGGAAAGTAATTTGAAAGCGGACTCCGAGCTAGCTTTTGCTTGAATAAATCCACCTTATTTAGGAATAAGATGATACTTGTACGGACGAACCATCGACTATTCACGACGGAATCAAAGAGAACCAGACTTTCCATCATCCGGTTCTGTATGTAGTTAGGACACGCAACTCCTCATGGTATTCTTGGTGTTGGCATTTTACCTGGTTTGATTCTTCTAGCAATACTTGATCGTACTCACTCAGCGCAACGCAAAAGATAATTGACGTGACGGTTTCAAAGCAATGTATCCATTTTTTCCGCTCACTTCTTTGGCCGCCAACATCGAACATGCTGCGAGAAACTATTAGCTTCAAGGTTCAATCTAGTGGTTAACGATTATAAGGGTTGACATACTGTATGCTTAATTGACCCATCGAAAATCTGGTCTCGTAGATACCAGTTGTTTTAGTTCGTGCTCGGAGGACATCCGGTTCTGTTGGTATGTACTCTCTGTGACCTATTCTAAGGGCCTCATCAAAGAAGCTAATGCATCCGGTAAGTACCAATTTTGATATCATATAAGGATTATATTAAGTGACCTACTAGGGTGCAGAATCCATTAGGTAGAACTCGTTCTGATGTGCCATTACCTTGGGTATGCAAGGGTCTTTCCATAATGAAACAACAGCAGCAGCAAGCCTAGGATCTAGGGGGTGTTTGGATCGGGATCAACTTGGAACTCGACGATGAAGTCGGCATATTCCTAGACCAAATAATCAGCAGTTTTTTCACTTTAGTGTTAGGATAGCAATCCAACCTTATTAGTAGGTGATTCGGGATCGATTTCGAATTGCCGTAAAGCCATAACCAAAGCTTTTGCACAGTCAACCAAGTTCTTATATATCGTAAGCCGATACATCGCAAGTTCTTCAAGGGTGTAGCCATTCTGATGGATAATCTTCATCTGTTTGACGATTGTAGATTTCCCGCTCTCCCCGGAGCCTAGGCATAATGTTAGAGAAAGCTCTCAACTAGATAATTCTATCAATAATTACCTAGCAAAAGGATCTTGCATTCTCTCCTTAACCTCCGTGAATCCTCTTCAATCTTCTTATCAATCTGAGCGCTAACACGACTTTCGTCGCTTTCACTTGAAAAACATATGCCCATCGTTGTTGTATGTATTATAGGAACAGTATTAAATGCTGAGAATATGGATAGCACAGGCGTTTGGTACACAACTGAAATAGAGGGCAAGTCGTGTAAACTATATTAAATAAAGGTTATTTGGGGTCGTGAAATTATGTCGTAGCAAGAGCAAAATGATATCGATTTAAAGGTGATAGCGATTATTGATAACACGGTCCAGCCGGAAGAGAGCCGAGGGCCGAAAAGAAGTTGATAAAAACGATGATTCTGATTTGAAGCCCCCACAGTAAACCGAGAGCTGATGTTCAACAGATATCCCCCACAGCACTAGGAAACAAAGTTGTTGAGGTGATGCCGAGCTGACCGGGTGAAAACGAAAAACTGAGGATAGTGTATTTCGTTGCGGTCGTAGAGTTGAAGCCAAATACCAGACTGTAGAAGATGAATACTTGCTGGGTATAGGAACGCGGTTGAGCGTTGTTAGTACAGGTTGGTGAAACAGGACCAGTTGATGAGAGGAGAAGGGTCGACGTTTGAGCAAAGCCTGGGTCCACGACGTGATTCGGAGTTTTGTTCTGAGTTAGCAGGGATGCTGTAAATGTCCAAGTGAATCCAGTCGTGTCGTCCTATCTCGATGTTTTCCCGCCCAACAACAGTTGTCGAAGGTGATTGCCGGAAGATTCAAGACCATCCACGATCGATGCCAACACCACACGAAGGGAGGATAGGGGCAGTCTGGCAATCAATAAGTAAGGTGCGAGGTGTAAGGTTGATAGTCAGCCGCGAGGTTTTCGGCGTGCGGAGGAGTCTGTGCGCCCTATGCTGTGAATAACGACAAGCGAGGGATATCGACTGTGGTTGGCAAGTCGCAGGGCTGAAAGTTAGGTGGTGGGGTGCCAGACGGCGGGCGGCGCGGAGAATTCGATTGGGTTCGAATTGCTTGCGATGCCGCCGTTGCTGGCTAACAAGTGGACGAGTATGAGTGTGGGTGATGGATGGGAGAGGTGGAGGGGAGAAGAAAGGGAAAGGCAAGGGGTCTAGGCAACAGGAGCAGGAGCAAAGAAGAGTGGAGGATGATCACCCTCTAGTGTTCTCAAAGTCACTCAGTCACTCAACCAATCACTAGCTCGCTCCTCGTTGATAACTCACTCGGTCACTTACTCACCCACTCCTTCAGCCTGGCCGCTGAGTACTGGCGAGGAGAGGAGGAGGGTATGTATGACGGTGGGTGTCGTGGGCTTTAGGGAAGGTGTTCAGCAGAGAGACCACGGAACGAGGTACTCAATGTGAAGGATGTTGTCGTTAGTGACGAGGTTGAGGTTTGGGAGAAGAGGCTCTCGGCAAGGTCCTGGGGGGGTTGCAAGTAGAGTTCAAGTTGCGTGAAAGGTGATTTTACCGGTACGGTACTCTACCGTGCTCTTGCTTGATTTGATCAACTATGAAAACTGTGGGGGGCGGGGCGACGGGGCGAGATGCCCAGGAACACGGAGCTTGTGGGGGGGAAGAGAAAATAGGAAAAGGGAGAATGGGGATATGAAGTAAGTGATAGAAACACATGCACTGTCGCTGTTCGTGTCGCGGGCAGAGTCAGTATATGGTGACAACCAAACAAAAAACGTATCCACGGCCGGCACATACAATGATTTTTTGAACCGAACGAAATGCTCCAGCACAACCCACACTTCCTCAGCCTCAGGTTTGTTTGCAGTAGCAGCAGCTTAACGATTCAAATTACTGTAAGCACTTGACTGATTTAAGGGTAAAGCGTTGGGGGAGTTACCTACTGTACTACGCGTGCTCATAGAGAGTACCTTAGAGTCCATAGAGCAGGCCACTGCCACTGCCAGTAAGTACATAAGCCCAAAATTCCATTTTCTGGTCTACGCAAGGACCAGCCGGCTGCCTGCCAGCCCCCTGGAGTTGGGTGTGGCAGCGAAAGGAGGAAAGATCGACATTAGCACACATAAAATTGACAGCCGTCTTCGCGCCGCACGCCGACTATCGTTACTGTAAACTCATATGAAAGTAGCTTTTTTTGTCCCAGAGGCGTTCTCACCTATTGGCCTGCGAGCGATCTTCGCGCAAAGGAGACTGGAGACTTGGGACTCGTAACATCGTGAGGGTAATGTTTCTAAACTTTCAAGGAGTTCCCTGGGACATGGAGAAGGGCCTCCGGCCCAGCTTTACCTTCATGTCTTGGCTTCTGGGCCCTTATTTGTGAAATTTCGGCTGTGCAAAGACCATATTTAGCTGCTGCTCTATGTGTCTAGCCTAAATTCAACTAAATGTTTGTTTGATGATGGTCATCTTAACCTTGCATACACAGGAAACTTAGTCTACCGTACTCTGATCAGATGGTTAAAAAGGGTGTCTTGTCAGAGGAACCAAGGTTTGGACAGGTGACAGACAGACGAGGTAGATTACTCTACGTACTTTATTAACTTCTGATCAACATAGCGTGCCTGTACTACCTACACTACCTGAGTACATGTATCTACGGTACGCTTACGGACTTTCCAAGGCGCCAGCATCTTCTCCAGTGCCCAAGGCTCAAATACCGCATTAATTCGTTCGAACGGTCGGTCACACAAGACGTTGAAATTCCCGTATTTGGTTATTTGTCTTGAATACGCCCCCTAATCTTCCCTCATATTAGCTTGAAAAGGCAACTTCGACGTCTTGTGTGACCGGCCGTTCGAACGAATTAATGCGGTAAATAGCTTGCCAAGAATTCTCCCACGCGAGACTCGAGTATCGGTAACCACCACAACTAATCTATTGAACCATGTGCCAGATGTCCCGGTATCGCGATTCTCGATTCCCGAGAAATCTCCTACGGTATGTCGCCATTCGGTGCTGGACTTCCTAATGGTCACTCCCTTACTTCACAGGCCACCTCATTACCAGTCAGCACAGCCCCTGTCGCCTTTAAAGGACAAATAATTCTTCAAGAGTACAAGAATTATGAGAATTACTTTGTACGTAAAGGTTATTATAATAGAAGTGCTTAGATTAATTATATAATCAACTAACTATAGGTCTCCTGAACTTGTAAACCGTGATACGAGAACAACACCCATGATCCCCTTTGCTTCAACAAGTGGGCCGTAAGGCCCCAGTATACTTAAGTATATAGTACGGTGGCAGAAATTTGGGTGAAATTACTACTGCAGTCTTTGCAAATTTGACAATGCCATAGAACTCATGCAAATATGGAGATAAAGCGTATATTCTTGCAATTCGCACTCAGGTACTGATCAATATGATGCGGTATCAGTTTTACCCCACTTCCGGTAATGCCCCCAAGTACTTAGTCATATATAATCCTATGATCGTGATCTGATTATATATATAAGAGGTCATGAGTGAATACTGCTCGACGATACTTGGGTGATTGCAGTTTGTGTTATCACATGTAGGTCTCCCAAGGCTAATTTCAAATCGGAACCTTCAGGTACACAATTTACATGATAACATGTATGCATACATGTTATGCCAATCAATATTACATGCAAATTAAAGAAATATATATGTGTCCCCAGCACAAATATACGAGTACCTAATAGTGCTATGTAGTACGGTACATGTAGTATATACGTACTCCTTATACTTATGTAAGTACATGTACTTGTAATTATAACTACAGGGTGCATAATAACATATAGAGTGACTACATGTAAATTTATAGCTTAAAGGATTTGATCAAGTAGAGCTTGTATCGCGATTTTCGGTGGTGTCTATAAAAAGGTATAATATCTTGATACCTAGGGCTGTCTCACTCGCCTATACATGTAATTATATATAAGACATGTCCAACGTTCAAATTGGTTGATTCCCCGGCCTCGGGCCAAACCTTGTTAAAGTCATGTTTAACGCAACTGACTTCCCGCGAAAGAAAGAAAACTGATCAGCATCCAGGGTCCGAAGGAGGTCACCAGAACCGCAATGGTATTAAGAGCTCACTAATTTAGTCTGCGATTATCTACAGCTCTGAGGGATCCGGTTTATTCATTCCTGTCCGGTATGACCTGGCTTTCCCTCCTATTCAATTGATCAAACTGCGCATAGTCAAGTCTAATGTCGTGTTGGCAGACTCACTTGATGACGTCAGGCGGCGGGACCTTCGCGTTTTCTCCAAACAAGGACCTGCCCTAGAGTACACGGTACCTTTACAAATTCGTCATTATCATGATTCACGGCCATGGTGATTGCAGAGGAACTCCTGCCGTCATTTATTTAAATACTTTCACGCCTGCAGCTGGACTAGGTTTCTGTTTTCTAGTGATATTTTTGTTTTGGTCGTTTGTTTATTATTACCAAGTCCCTAAAACGCGTTAACGCTCACTAATGTCTGTGGACCCAAGATATGGTAAGCACCTCATGACAGATAGAATTCCCTTCTTTTATGCTCATGATTTCGCTACAGAATCATTTCTTAAAATCTACTCCTCTTGATTCCAGAGAATGGAAAAGATTCCCTGAGCAATGTCAATTATAATAATTCGGCAACCCAAGTACGAGTAAGAACCGGCCATGGGTTCCGTCCTTTAGACCTTCGCTAATCTTATGCACGCTTAGATCGAATTGCATAGAGCTCCCAAAAACTGCAATTTGGTGACACTCATCATCATCAAGGATGTGAATTATACAAACCTCGTATAAAGTAGAGAACTTTCGTTCTCAAATCGATACTACACTGGTCATCTGCAGTATAAACTAATGCAACGGTTGTGGTCTATCAAAGCCTGATGCCAGGTGTTGGGAGGAGACCGGTTATTGGTTCCGTGTGAATCGCAATCTCGTTCGGCTCTCTCGAGGTTTCCCCTTACCAACCCTACGCCGCCTCGAGGAATGCATTCGGTTGGGATTAAGAAGCTATCCTCGATATCCTTGTCTTCCAGCGCGAATGCCTGAAAAAAGAAGAACGCGGTGTACATTTGAGGTTTTGTACCTACAAATCTTGAGAATGAAGCTCAGAGATCGAAGCCAGAGGAACAAGTGCTACTAAAACGATGTTTTAATTCTGCTCCTGTGACGCCTCATGGGTTGTATCACAGGGTAAAACTACACACAACCTCCGACCAAGGTTCAAAAACAGGAAACTGATAAATGGATAAAAAAAAAACTGGTCCTGAAGCTTTAGCTACTGGTCCAAGCTTGCATTGTAATTGTACCTGAGATATCTAAGCTGCCTACAGATTTATCATTTGGCATCTAGACAAGATGACCCTCGTGCGGAGTGCCCCGCGTCCAAACCGCTCTATGAAATTCTCAGGGTCTAACCAATTCCCTGGGGAGTTCTAAAAAAAAAAAAAAGCATACAAAGAATAGGAATCAGGCACAAATCCGAAAATGCGTTCTTGGCTTGGGCCAGGATTTTGCAAATGATGGTTGTGGCTGACGCTGGTTCCCATCAGGTTTGTACGGAAACGGAATCTGGGCAGAGGATGCCCTTGTCCCTTTGCTTGTGCAGTCCACTCATGAATACTTGGAAACCGGTAGTTTGATCCGACCAATTAGCTTTCATGCCACTCACGAGGCTGGTGCCGTGATCCCGTTGAGAAGGTAAAAAAAAAAGTTGAAATAAAGATAACACATACCCTAGGACTATTGTAACAAAAAATGGGGAGGAATTGAGCTTGCGCCACAGAAATAGAGTAGGTGAAAACACGGACAGTAACAGAGGTGGTCACGTAGGGTATGTAGGTGCTCTGGTTGGGGAGTAGTCCGATATCAGCCCCGCTCTCACCCCGCGCCTGCTGCTGTTGCTGCACGGTGATTTCATCGCCAGGAGTGAGAGGATCTCCAAGGAAAGAAGCCGTTCTTCACCAAAGAGGCCCAGGCGAACGCGACGCCCTGCAAGATCAAGCTCATACAGTTCAAGGAGTCGCCTCGCTGCTGCCCCCATTTCTCTGTCTGGAAGGCAAATATTTCGTTCCACAGAGCCCTGAAAATCTTGGTTTTGACCACATAACTGCGAAGGTTATTAGTCCTAATGTGTATTTAGCTCTGTTCCTATCCGACGAAAACGCGGCTACTATTTAGTTTGACGCCTCGCCGCATCCCCCCCTCCGTGTCTTCAGTTTCGTGAAATTCACCCACATAGGTATCCGTCTTCCGCTGCTGTCTTGCCCTCCCAGACTACATACCATCTCTGCTTCTGTCAACATCTGTCCCCTCAACAATTTACTCTCTATCGATTGACCAGCTTTCAACATGGCTGAATTTGTTCGTGCCCAAATTTTCGGCACTACGTTCGAGATAACCAGCAGGTATGCGGCCCCCCATTTTTGTTATCGCATCCGTACCCTATTAATCATTTTTGCAGATATACGGATTTACAACCTGTAGGAATGGGTGCCTTTGGTCTCGTATGGTGATTATTTTCTTCCGAAAAACTTGTCAAAACAAGATCGCTGAGGACGTTACCGGAAAAGCTCTGCCAAAGATCAGTTGACAGGTCAAGCTGTTGCCATCAAGAAGATTATGAAGCCATTCAGCACCCCGGTTCTGTCCAAAAGAACTTATCGAGAGCTTAAACTGCTCAAGCATCTGCGACACGAGAATGTATGTTGAACTAGACCATTACCCCGCTAAATTCAAAGAAAGCTATTTCTAATAATATCCAGGTCATTAGTCTGAGCGATATCTTCATATCTCCTCTAGAAGACATGTGCGTACATCCGCCTCGGCTCTTGTGATTTAACTAATTTTCCATCACTAGCTACTTTGTTACCGAACTTCTTGGGACCGATTTGCATAGATTATTAACCTCACGGCCACTGGAGAAACAATTCATTCAATACTTTCTATATCAAATTCTCGTATGTTGAGTTATCTCTCCGCGACAAACACGGAAATTGACGGTTTTTAGCGAGGCTTGAAATATGTTCATTCTGCCGGAGTGGTCCACCGTGACTTAAAACCAAGTAACATTTTGGTGAACGAGAATTGTGATCTCAAGATCTGCGATTTCGGGTTGGCAAGGATCCAGGACCCTCAGATGACTGGTTATGTTTCCACACGATACTATCGTGCACCAGAGATTATGTTGACGTGGCAGAAATATGATGTGGAGGTCGATATCTGGAGTGCAGGATGCATTTTTGCGGAGATGTTGGAGGGGAAGCCACTTTTCCCAGGAAAGGACCATGTTAACCAGTTCTCCATCATTACCGAACTTCTTGGAACACCACCAGATGATGTTATCCACACCATCTGCAGCGAGAATGTGAGTTCATAAACTCCTCCATACCTAGGATTTTTACAGTACTTATAGATTATAGACCTTGAGATTCGTGCAGTCGCTCCCAAAGAGGGAGAGACAACCCCTGTCTCAAAAGTTCAGGAATGCCGATCCTCTAGGTAAGTGCCGTCAATATCTATGCCTAATAATTATCTAACAATTTGAAGCAATCGATTTGTTGGAGCAAATGCTCGTCTTCGATCCTAGGAAGAGAATCACCGCCGAGGCAGCTCTTGCTCACGAATATCTTGCGCCCTATCACGATCCCACCGATGAGCCAGTGGCAGGGGAAAAATTCGATTGGTCTTTTAACGACGCAGATCTACCAGTGGACACCTGGAAAATTATGATGTAAGATTTGTGGTTTCTTGCTCCTATTCCTATTTCTGGATTCCTGAATTTGTTCAAATTACTTATGCTTACACGCGAATGTCTGCAGGTACTCGGAAATTTTGGATTACCACAATGTCGATGGGTCTGCCCAACAGTGAGGAAATATTTTTTTTTTGATTTAAAACAGTTTAATGTTACGATGCATGATACATTTTTGTATCTCTGCTTTAACTTTAACTTTATACCTTCTTGGCGCTTACAATGCTCTCGTCGTTCAATCATTTCGTTGTTTTCTTGATAGGTTATGTTGTGGCGTTCCAGGGGAATGTCAGATAAGAGGGAGGAGGAGGGGGAAGAGGGGGGGGGGGGGGGGGGAGGCGGATGCATGAATGAAATTACGAAATAATTCATCTGGAGAGGGTTAAAAACATATGCGCTGAGCTAGGGTAGAGGAACGGGGAACGGGGAACGGGGAATGGGATATGGGGTAATATACATAGCGCACAACCGAATAAAGATGTCCGAAAATTGTTCTGCAGGTAGATGTCTAGGCAATAATACATTTAGCAATCTTTTTTCTAGAAAGCGTCCATCAGGAAATAGACTCGTGGAAGTGTAGGTGCTATGCCGTCGTGGCTTGAGGCAGTTCGTGGCTCTGCAGTCTCTCGTGGCCAATGGCCCGTGCCCGAACAATCCTTCTACCATGACGTAGAATACCCTGTCGTGTACAACTTCCGTCCCTCACTCTTCAGCTACCTTGCAGAACTCTCCCTGCTCGAATCATCAGGTCACTGAATTTTCCTAGCAATACTTTCAAGAGACCTACTATTAGAATTTATCTCATGAACACAACGACCCCATATACCCCGGTTGTGTCGATAATCGGGTTTCACCACGCGAGGTTTTTCCCTGACCCCTTTTCCGGCCGGCCCACCAAACGAATCCAGCAGCACATTGAAACTAACAAAACACGTTTAGGGGACCTGAGGTTGAGCATTGGATTGGAGTGGATGACCAAGATCACATATCGGAATGGCCGCTGCTCCCTTTTCTGGCACTCGCCGATGGAGCCCATTTCGCAGAAGAAGACTTTTCGTACTTCACCCTGAAGCACGAAACAGCCTCAGGGCCAACAACTTTGTTCGGGATATCCTGTACTAGACAGCTGGACTCGAATGAGCTTATAGACCGGCCTGCAGATGTCACGCGCTCCACGGTTCAGAAGGCTGTAGTCGTTATTGCGAATAGCCCAACGTTCTTCTTTGGACATTTGAAGCAACAGCTCTCAGCCGTAACGACAGCTTGGTTTGCACAAAGGTATTGGAGCTCTTGAAACATTCTTGTATAGTTTTTGCTCACATAGAACTTGTGATATTAGGAACTTCGAGGATTTGGATATTATAACGGCAAGCTACTTCCACCCCAGCTTCATGGTTCATTAGGTTAAATTTCTAAGCTTTGGGGATATAGAAATTTCAAGAGAGCTTGAAAAAAGCTTTCAAAGATATTGAACATGGACGCGAACAGTATGTTGGTAAGCTATCGGAGGTTCCTTCTAAGCATATTGGAAGAACTAACATGATAGGTTTGTCACTTCGGGAATTGGTTTACGAATTTCGGCACCAAACACTAGTGTTATTCAAATGTGCTCTTTTGCAACCTAAGGTTGTACCATGCAATGGCCCTCATAATACGAACATAATCAAAGCTAATACCCGCAGATGCTATTCTTTGGCTCACGGTGTGAAAGGCTTTGCATGACACAGTTTTCACTTCTTTCGCTTGTCCCAGGGCTGCTGCGAAACCTAGAAGACTGCAGTGATCCTGATCTAAATAGCTATGAATCTAAGCTAAGAAAGCCAACGTCTGTCAAGACTAGCGATAGGCAATCTCGTGAGTTTCTTGATTTGCTGTCAGCGATGACTAAGTGACTTGATTGAATAATCCTAATTCGTTAAGTTCTGAAATTTATGGGTTTCCCCCTTCAAATTTTCGGAAAGGGAGCTCTATTTGGACCATATACCCCCTTGCAACAGCTCGATATCCTTGCAGACTTTGGAACAAAGTCCTATATCGTTGGTTCGACAAATTCCTTGTTGCTTCAACAGAGAGACAGGTACTCGGACATACTTGTAAATGTGAGATATGCGTACCCCATTCATTAAGTTGTCACTGACATTATTCAAAGCTTGATGAAAATTCTATTAATGTGACATCTCCGTCCTTACGTGCTGCACTAGTACTCTCGGCCGCCGACAGGAGATGGATAGATGCTCTAGTATTTTCAGTCACAGAATCCTGGGATGAAGCAGATCCATCAAGGCCGAAGACTATGGGCTTCGTTGGAAGTGAGGATTATATCCGTCTCCAGTTCGAGGAGTATGTACTCTCCATGGTGTCATCTGTGAAATATCATCTATTTTTAGACAAACATCATGGGTCGGATCAAAATTTATTTTTACCAGATATCGGTGAGAGACCAACCCAGGTGCCATTTCAAAAGTGCACCCACTAATATGTAGTAGAGGGAGATCCGGCATACGATTTTCAGATGGACTGGGTGGATTATTGGAAAATGACAGAGAATTTCCGTATATTCCAAAAGTTCACTGGTAAGATTTTCGTTCAGGAAGTGCAATATTTGTTGCCTAGCTAATCTTGCCCAATAGATTCTGAATTGTTTGATCTTGTCCCTCCAAAGCATGTGATGGCTGGTGGTCTTACCATGGAAGATGTTCAACGACGAATCGTCCAGTATGTATATTTTCATAATCCTACGTTAACACTATTACTAATTTCTATAGACAAATGAGGGAATTAGGAGTAGACGAGAAGGTTAACCGTGGCCGAGAAGTCCTCGCCACAACTCTAGCCTCAGGCCGCACCAATGTCACGACAGTATTTAGTAACCTGTCGAAGAATGTAGAGAAGTTTAGGGAGCAAAGAAGGTCCCAGGATGTTACTCCCCAACCCAATTCTGAGGTCATCACAAGCCCGACAAGTGAAGGATTACCAGCTACAGAATCTGCCGCAGCTTCGACCGCCACCACCAGTATAGCAACTCCTGCGATACCAGTGGCCGAAACAGTAACCCGTGCTGGGACATATTTCTCGTCCTGGGCAGCTTGGGCTGGGGAAAAGAAAAAAGCCTTTGTAAAGCCCTCCATCACTAGTCCTCCACCGGAGCCAGCCACAGATGCAAACGAAAAATCTCTACCTCCTGATCCCCCAAAGAAGTCTTTTGAGGAGTCAATCTTCGATGCAAGAGCAAGAGCTGCATATGGTGGGTCTGACTCGCCTATTATGTCGCCCCAGAGGAACAGTGGCAGTGGCTTTCCCCTTGGTGCAGCGAAAAATTTGGATGATGAGAAGGGTGTTGGCCTTGGAATTGCTAATCTAGAACCCAAGAACTCACCTGTCCCAACTACTGAGCGGCCATTGCCTCCCAAGTTGGACAAGGGTGAGCCTGCTCTACCAGCTCTACCGGCGGAAACGGAGGAAGAGGAAAAAGATATACCACTTCTAACGCAAACGAAGGCAGTTCTACCAATCGATGAAGAGCGGCGAAGCATGCCTCCTCCGACGCCAGCGAAACAAGTCCTAGCCGAGGAAGAGAGAGCGAAAACGGATATGCCTTCAGTGACACCGGCGAAGTCAACCTTACCAATCGAGGAAGAAGGGGGGGAAAGGGGCATACCTTCTCCGACACCTGCGAAGGCAGTTGAGGAGGAAGAACAGGGCATGTCACCCCCAACCTCAATGGAGAAAGCTCCATTATGCGAGAGAGAGCAAATAGAAACGGGTATGCATTTAGCAGCGCCGGTAGGGTCAGGTCTGTCAGTGGAGGAAGAAAAAACCGAAAAGGTTATGCCTCCCCCAGAGCCAGTTAAATCGGTCCTGCCAATTGAGGAAGAGGATATTCCTCCTCCAACGCCCGTGAAGGATGAGCCGAAAACAGTCTTCCCGGGTGTGCAAGAAGAAGTCATTCAAGCATCACCGGATACCGAGTCGAGTCACAACCCCGGGTTGCCCGTAGAGAAACCTGTTGAGTCCCCAGTACTGGATCCCGAGAGCATCGAATCTACTCAATTACTTGCATCGGCATTGGAGGTAGAGATACCTACAAAGGCCGAAACTGATACCGCTCAGCCCCTCGCATCACCAGTTGAGAAGGTTGAATCTCCGAAACTAGTTGTACGGAAAAGGAGAGTGGTAGTTGAACCGACTCAACCATCTTCACCAGTTTTGGAAAAAGTAGAAAGGCCTCTAAGACCAGGAAGACTTGCGCAGACCCCTTTTGGGCCAACTATAGGGGTGACCTCCGAGATCTCCTCGGTCGCAGAAAAGATAGCCAGGCGTTCTATTCCAACTTTCGAGACGGCCATCGGCTCCATCAAATCAGAGGTGTCACCAGAACCGATGAAAAGCCCCGATTATAATAAAGCTTCTCCGATGGAGGCGATTTCGGCTAGAGCGAAGTCACCCGAGTCCTTTAGGGTTGGAAGGCATATAAGAGGCGAATCTGTTACCCACACCTCTCCCCAAGAAACCATCATTAAGCCTTTAAGTCGCGCAGGAACCGAATCTGCAACGATTGGTCTCAAAACATCAGGGGAGTCCCTAAGATCAACGAGATTTATGAGAAGTGAGTCTCCAGTAACCATCACTGGGGAGCCTGTCCTTAAGCCCACGAGGCATACAAGAAACGACTCCGGGAGTTTGAGTCCTGTCAGAGAGCCTGCTCTGAGACCCATCAGGCACGCAAGAACAGAGTCGGGAAGCATGAACTCCGACAATAGCGTTTTGAGGTCTGTAGGACACGTGAGGGTTGAATCTGGAAGCACGGGCCTTGACAGAGAACCTATTTTGAGACCTATAAGACACGCAAGAACAGAGTCTGGAAGTATGAACTCCGACAAGGATTCTGTTCTGAGGTCTGTGGGTCATACAAGGACTGATTCCGGGAGAATGAGTCCCGAAAAGGATTCGAGCCTGAGATCTATTGGCCACATTAGAAGCGAATCCGGAAGCACGAGCCCAGAAAAACCAGCTCTCAAACCTGAACGGATCAAGAGTTCTATTGCAGAGCGTGCAAAGAGATTTAGTCAGCAAGAAGATCCAGACGCCCCAAAATCTTCATTTGCTGCCAGAAGAGCTATGTTTGAGAAGAAGTGAAGGAGCCCTTCTCTTCATCTTGTTATGTGTTTCACGGGAAATGACTGAAGGATGGGGGATGAGGAAAAGTGCGAAGAGTATTAGTAAGGGAAAACAATTTTTGTCTCAATTTTCTTATTTCATTCATCGTATTTTATCAATTACTATTATTCGTTCTAAATTTTTTTATTTCTCTGTTTTTTTTTTCTGTTGTGGAGAGCGATGATTTGGTGTCAGCATATAAAAGCTCATGTTCTGTTATGCATAACGGTTTTATTTCGGGTACTTATTTCGGGGTGTAGTAACAATAATATATGCAGTGCACGTGATGATGTTTTGGGATTCTTGTCATAATTCTTAATCTCCAAATGAGTAATACCATAATTATTCATCTAAAATTTCTAGCAAATGCAGTATTACTTGAATAAGGATCTCCATTTGTCTCGAACTAGTCCTAATTAGGTTTAGTCCCGCCCGACTCTAAGATTGTGGTGATAACACATTACATGTAATAATCCACTATCCCCGTGTTTGTATGTGGTAAGTCCGAACCAAGGCGAACCGGCGTATCAAACTTCACGGGCTCCTGCAGATACATACTTTTTCTCACCCGAAATTAAGATTTAGCGAAGTGGGGATCGAGAATTAACGGTATTGGATTTATAGGGGCACATATAAAAATTATTTCGGCACAAGCCCTACCGGAATGGGCGGGCCTCGATCGGTTTAAACCGGAACTACGACTCGCTTTCCAAACCGGAGGTATGTATCTTATTTTTAAAGTCTATTGTAACATAAAAAAATCACCACCTAGGTTTCTAACACCCTTGCACCTTTCTTGATATAACTAAACATCTTTCTATCATATACTACCTTTTAAATATCTCCGGGAAGATATCTCTTAACTCCTCTAAACTTCGAATATGGTGTGCTGCTACAGGCCGTTCAGGCTCTGGGTCACCGGGCTCCAACTTCTGGACTGTTTTCTTCCAGCCAAAGCGGATGGCAGCTTCACAATTTATGGCAGCATCATCCACGAAATAGCACTTAGAGCGATCAGTGATGCCTGCATCTTTCATGGCTACGTTTTGGAAAAATATCAGCTATTGAGCCACAAAGTATGAAGTCTGATTACGTACCTTGTTCGTACATTTCAAGTTTAGGCTTGCAGATTAAAGTCTCGCGCCCGTAATTGCAGTACGTGATACCATCGAACAAATCATCAATTCCTAACAACCTAACAACCCTCTTTCCGTGATTAATATATGCATTGGTGAATAGCCATAGCTTAATCTTGCTCCTGTCGATGTCTTGAATTAACTTTCGCAATTCAGTATCGGGGTGTAGCACGGTTTCGAGCGGTAAGGCATCGTCGACTACTCGATTGTACTCAAGAGGGTCGATCTTATGGTGGCGCACAAGGCCCTCGAGAGCTAGTCCGTAGTTCTTGTAGTATGATTCATGAAGAAGGGTAGCGTCTGCTCGATCAAGATCTATGGAAGAAGTTAACGCATAACCCTTGTGCTTGGTGGATGGGGGAGCGTACCAAGCTGCTCGCGGAAGTATTTGTTGATTAGCTCTTTCATCATATCATGGACCTGGGAAGAGCTTGATAGATTAGTTTTCAGAGCCCGTCAAGCTAAAGCGCTGCATTTTATACCCTCTTGCTTCGTGGATAGAGCTATGTTGTAATATGAGTCAGTGTGATTGCCTTCAATGAACCTATCTGTGTGGGTGTGCTTACACAATTATCAATGTCGAAAAAGAAAACGGGCTTTTCGTCTTCGGTACCCTGCGCCATATTTTGGGATGTTCAGCGTTCTATGGGAGTGACGATGCTAATGTTTTAATGATTTTAAGAACGGATTTGTGGTCGTTTTATAACAAAGTTAAGTAATTTACAGCGTTGTTGAGCGTCGTCCTGTGCAGTGATGTAACCACAACCCTACATGTATCTTATGGAGTCCCGCAGGAATCCGTTAATGGTTAGCGCCTATTCCATGTTATCCCTGGTCCGTCGAGAGATTGATTCAGATCCAATAATTGATAACGATTTGTTAGCACTAGCCACTCTTTTGGCTCCGTCAGCATGTCTGGCTCGGTTTCGTGTGGCTTTCAGCCCCCACGAAAAAGGGTCAGCATTGACGAACCATGGGATAACGTAGCGACTTTGCTAGGAGAAGCCACCGACAATTTTAATCCAACCCTAACACTCTCACAGATGTCTCTCAGCAGCTCGGGGTATTGGGATGGAATTCTGCTAGCTATGTACATACACATATCCCCTAGAAGTCGCATGTAGGTAGGCCTCTATATAATCTAGCGCCTTCTATGGTTGGTACTACTAGGATATATCCAGATTTCAATGATGTTGTTTCACAGATGACTAGGGCTGAAGTATGGAACGAAGCTGGAATCCCTTTATCACCAAGGAACATGTAGCTAACCGGTCGAAGGTGACGGAGTACATGTAGTCTCCGTACTTTTGTAACTCTGTAGTATTGCTTTTCGACTTCTACTGCCTATAATCTACGTCCACACTCGAGGACGAGAACTCCATTTTGCTCGTATGTTAAAGACATGCATGTACGTATATACATGTATTCAAGCTCGAGTGCACAGTACCTACACTTTAGATTGGCCGTGTAACCAGGAGCTCAATATATTACTCTAGTCGTAGTCGGATATTTTAGCCTTTATACTTGATTCTGCATACAATTCTTTCAACGTCCATGTAGAAGTATTGATATTTGAACGATACCGCATATTGAAGTGATTCTCAAGTCTGATGATTCGGAACAAGTATGATGCTTTTTGACTCGATTCCCATTTGACTCCCGTTCCACCCCCATATCTCTCCTCTTCTAGTCAACGCTTGAGAAAACTTGACGGTATTGCCTCCGGACGCCAATGAACACATCTGATGTCTAGAAGCGTACCCATATAATATAGGAACTAAGGCGATAATTAACTAAACCTCCTCTTCTTCCTAATTAAATAGCTAGTAGAGCACTTTACAAATCGGATACGATACATCAAAGGGTCCTTCAAATCTTCTCGTCAATTTCCTAGTCTTAGGTAAGCGTTCATGATCGGATGACTCTATACATGTAATTTAACCTGTCTATGTCGATCTTGATTGGAAGAAGGTTCGAGATATACATGTAGCCATGATTTATAACAACATGCATGGGAATATACATTTATTTAAGTCTAGTCATGAACTATATAGTACCTGATCGAGTGCTCAATTTTTTTACCCAAACTGAATAATTCGCAAGCAGTCATTAAGGAAAATCGATCTAAGTTCATAAACTGACTAGTACGTACCAAATCTCATTCTGCATGCTTAGATGCTTTCCGGAGGAGTATCTTCGGGTGGGCGGTCACACCGCATGTGAAGTTATTAAAATCCCCATTTAACATACTGTATATTATATTGTAGTGGGGTGGGGCTCCTTCAATTGAATTATTTACGGGCCTATGATGGCCGAACGGTTCCTACTTGCTTCACTAGCCGTTCACGCCACTTCGGCAAGTAAATAGCCGAGTGATGGTCTATGATTAATCATTGGGCCAGTGAATAAAAAATAGTCAATCAATATTAATAAAAAGAATCCACTGAGATATGTAGATTCTTTAACGATTGAGTCCCATATTTACAGCCATAAATAGCAATGAACAACTTAAAAGAACAATAATACTATATGAATTGACCAATATTTCATGAGTGTTATACATTGATCCTAGATTGTTTTCTAGGGCCTTGTAGCATTGCACGGAATGTCGATCAACTCGCACGGCGGTATTTCATAGTAGTTTCTTAGAAGCCCCCTTCTTTGCCCAAGATAAGCCTAGCCTATGCAAAACAACCTCCTTATCATTTTCCCCGCCATTCACCATCTCCCAAATCTTCCTCATCGCCTCCCTGAGATCTAAATCACTCACTTCAAGCCCCAATGCTTTTGCATAGTGTTGGTAACTGGTACTCGGGAAAAAGGTTCTATAGAGAGCCTTAAAGCCATCTGGGTCACCCAATGTCTTTGGAAGACTTGAGTAATGATTTATTGCATCTCCAATAAAAGAATAAAGGGAAGCGGTATCGAGCTTGGCGAAGTCAAGTTTTGAAATACCCTCCGGGGAGCTAGATCTCCCTGTGGACGGTGATTGAGTCAACGAATCGGACAAATTAGAGTCGAAAATCTTAGCGGAGCTCTGGCTGCGAGTCTTGCGAGTCGAGTTGGTAGCGACACGCGAACGGCCACGACCACGAGTTTTATGCTCAGGTTTTAGGATCTTTGTCAAAGCAGGGTCTAAGGTCGTAGTTGCGGCTGTAACGTCGAGAGCTTTATGATCAAGTTTTCTCTTTTTTGTGTGAGAGAACTCTGGGGTAACTGATTTAATTTCTTCGGGTGGTCCTTCGTATTTCTGGCGCTTTCGCGGTCTTCCTGGACCTTTGCGCGGCGGATGAAACTCAACGGCAGTTTCTTTCTTTGAGTTGACCTTGGCAGAAGTATCATCACCCTGGGAATCGATGGGGGGTTTTGGCGAAAGGGAAACTGAGGAGATGTTTAATTCCGGGGACCTTTTATCAGATGCAACCACTATAGCCTTCTCTTTCTTTTGGACTTCGGATGTGTGAATGGAAACCCTAGAATCTTCGTATCGAGCCGGAGCTTTAGATATACGAGAGCTTCTTCTTGTTGTGGTGGTTGGGTTAAGCACTTTTCTGTGATTTGAGGACCTGCTGACAAGTGGTTCCAAGCTTTTGACATTGGACTCCTTTGATACCGCAATTTTCGATGAGCCAGCGCCAATTTCTCGCTGTGTTTGAACTTGAGGTTGTGACGAAGCCTTATCCCCCATTACAGTTGTTCCGTCATGCGTTGAGCTTCTCATAGCAGATTCTATTGAACCCATAGCGGGTCGACTATCTTGTGAATCGTTCTCGATAGCGATACTATCAGATCTTGCTGTCGAAGACACTGGGGATTGGATTTCGGATTTCGGCGTCTTATTACTTTGACATTCGTTGATGGTGGTGTCGGAGGTTTCAGAGGATGACCGACCGTCAGATTGGAGCTCGTTGGTTATTTCCATGTCAGAAATTTCGAATGATATGGCGTCAGAATTCGTCATTGAATACGATTTCTTGATACTTTAGAGTTTAGATATCGTTAGTTGGGACCGAGAGCGAAATTTAATGGGGTCTAAAGCGCGAGTTCCAGTATGAGTGCGAGTGTGGGTGTTGTTGTCGGGTTATTTAGCCATATATACCTTTATGTCGAAGGTTGAAATGTCGAAGGTCGAAAGGAGAGATGGGGGGTGGTGGGATGGTGGGATCTGGGAGGGATTTATAAGAAGCTTAGGGCTCAGGATTTGAACTTCGTTGAGCTGAGCTCACCCTCGCGCTAAACAAGGCAATCTTGCGCTCAATCGGGCTTTGGAAGTGCGTGTCCCAAAATTAAGGTCCAATATGGGTTTTTTACGTTCTCTGATTTATCCCTAGTCTCACTCTAACTTATTCTACCCGAGCTTGTTCTCAACTTTGTTACAATTATACCTATAGCATTAAAAACCTACATCACCAATATCACCGTAGCGCAGTCTATGGAGAATTATATCCGATTCCGGTTGCTTTGGAGTATCGTTCCTCTTAAGTAATAGTATATGTATTAAATTCTCCCCACGACGTAAGCTTTTGTAAATAATCAATACGGGACTAGCCTCAATTATAGGCTCGATATATACTACATGTATCTAAAATGGACAATTATGAGGACTCTATGGTGACTCAAAATTATCTCGCAATATCGACATATAGCTATCCACTCTGTAAAGCTGTAATTATGATCGCCCAATCTCGGACAAATACCGCTACCGAATCTTTCTATGTATGCCTATATAACTTTTCTAGTCCTTTAAATTTTAATTTGATAGATGAACAGTAAATATTAATTTGGTGACAATAAACTATTTATCGCTGATTATTGAAAGGTACGAGGGCAAACATCTAAAGCTTGTACAGAATCGTTCCTGGCCTAGAATGCTAACAGATTACAACCGAGTAATACCTAATGCACACTTGGTAGAAATCCTTAGGGGCGACTCTTTTTTTTTCTTTCCCCAGTATAAAACCGAGTCTTTATCGCCATTTAACCTCAACGAGCTCATCACGATCCCTGATGCTAGAGCATAGGCTACTAAATATCATAGGATAGAGGAATAAGTAGAAATATAAGGATTTTGAGTATATCTTAAATACATAAGTAAAGACTCGAGAACTTTTTATTTTAAAACCAGATGTAGGATCGAGCACTATTGGTCGCTTTCCATATTATAAACATGTTTCAATACTTAGCGACGCGTTCCAGGGAGCAACCAAAATAGGTCAAGTGTTTTTCGAGTGAGAGTCTATGAAGAACCTCTAGTTACTTGTAATTGATCCAACAGTCATGAATACAAGGTGTCAACCGTCGACCTATAGTGAAAATAGAATACCTACTAGATCTTGTAAATGTGGGGTCGGCAGTATGTAGCACATATGCATGTCGTTCATTCTTATCACGTATGGCGGCGTAACTGAAACTACAGTAACCGTAGGGGTTCTTGATTAGATCTAATCTTTAGCACTTGAGTCTTGGCATTGTTATCTGATGAATGTCTCGTCACTCCAGCGGTTTGTCCTTTGCTCCCTCCTTTCCTTCCATGTCAGGCTCAACAGTGCTCACAACCAGCCATAGAACTTCGACGAGCGAGTGATTACTCACAGGGTTTCTAGGGGTGCTATCCGCTGCTGCGGTGTTTCTTATCGCTGAAAAAAACATGGCTACAGAAATTCAGATGGCCCCAATGCCCTCAAATAGCGCCGATACCGAACACGAGATCCAGGAGTATTTGAAAATCATCAAGCTTCGCGATGAAATATATGCGGGAAAACACCCCCGCTTTAAACCAGCTTCGCAACCTGGATCAGTCTTAAGATCAACTGCGCAGCCTGCCAATTCGAGCTCTGGGACTCCAGCCGACAAGAACTACTCTTCAGGTGTATCGCGTGGTCAGTCGCAGGGTTGGCCTACGGACTCTGCTGGTCAAATTACAGAGAGCCGAATAAGTGACATTTTGTTGTCAAAGTCAGATGTCTTGGTAAATGCAGAAATAAAGCTGAAGAGGCAACGAATAGAGAAGGAGTTAAAGAGGCAGGTCGAGGAGAAAAGACAAGTGACGATAGATGAGGAAGATCTGAATTTAGAGGAGGTAATGGAGAAAGTTGGACTTTCAGCGACGAGAAGTACCCGCCCTGGTAATGAAGACATGGATATGCAGACAGGAGAACCTGCACCAAGGAGAGCAGGAGTTCTCGAACAGGAGGAAAGACCAGAGGCTTATCTAATTGAAGCTCTTCGAAAACCACCTACAGGTCCAGCTGCAATGTCTACTCCACGGGAACAAGATCAAGCTTCAAGACATAGAGACTCAGAAGCGAAATCTTATAATACGCGTGATACAATTCCCGAACGCGACTACTCACCGCCGGCCCGACCTCATTATTCTGCTACGAGTCAACTTCGATCGCCCGCGGCGCCCCAGCCAGTCCGCCCAGCAAATATGGCTCGTGTAGAATCTCAGAACCAAAGAATGATAGTTGAGGTTGATGCAGAGATTCCATATGGGAGTGCCGGGAGACCTCCGTATAGAGGCCGAGTTTCACCGGTACCCTATATCAAACCCGAACCTGCATCCCCTGGTTATCGTGAGCCAGTGCCGCGAGTGCAGACTCCCGATAGAGGAAGACCCCCGAGCCGTGTTGGCCAATATGATACCGGGAGTCGGGCACGCTACGAATATCCATATGTTCCCCCAACTGGTTATTATTCTGTCCCACCTGCTCCCCCTCCTGTACCAGCTCATCGTCCGTACGACCCTTATTCACACAGGGAAGCGGACCCATATGCATGCCCCCCTGCGCAAATTGATTATGCAGCGCGCAGATCTTATACGCCGGCATATGTGCCCCCAGTGGCATCAACATATCCCCCACGGCCACCATATGATGAATTTGACCGTAGGTATCCACCCCCACCTCCAGTACCTATACGTCAACCTTCACGTGTGGGAAGAAGATCTGCTTCACCCCCGGGACCGTACCGGCATACTCGCCACTCAAGTCGTTCTGTCTCACCTACCGAGCGTGGGAGGAGAGAATCCCCTCGGCTCGTTAATTCGGGGTATCGGCCACAGAGCAGGATGCCTCTAAGTCCTCCTCGTATCGACCAGTACGGTAGAACAATACCTCAACCATCTTCGGCTATTCAGCAACAACGAGGCAGTGAGATATATGTTGCGGAATATGGACATCCCTATGCTCCGCATCGTGAAAGACCAGCTTACGGTGATGAAAGGTCGCTCTACTATCAACCTCAAGCTCCGGTTCATTATAATGAATCGCCGAGGCCGGAGAGCAGTATTGTAGCTCGGGAAGCGGAAGTGAGAAGTTACAGAGATAGAGAGTATTCTTATTCAACAGCAGCAAGACAATCTTTACCGCCACCTCCAATTATTGGGGGTGGATATCCTCCACCACCGCTCGAATACGCCCGGACATCATCCAGAGCAACCTCCAGGGCACCTGTGGGACTACCTACAGAAATCCTGGATTATCCTCGGGGAATTGGTGAAAGGGGTGATTATCATGACCGATCCCTTGCCAGGCCTGATGAGAGGGAACGGGATCATGGTGGACGCACAAGCGCTAGACCTGATGAGAGGGGAGGATACCTGCCCATAAGGCATGCCAGTGCGCGACCAGAGATATCGAGAGGCTATGGAGAAAGGGAATATGCAGCAATCCGCCAACAAAGTGTGAGACCTGATGTGAGAAGAGACGACTCGAGAGAACAGTATATGGAACCTCTACCAATTACGGGAGGCTTTGCTAGGGATTCAGGGCAAATGCAGCCACCACCAAGGCTTCCCTATGCTGGAAGCGAGTATGGAGACTCTAGATATGGCCGGAAATATTGAGTTTTCTTTCTTTCTTTCTTTGAGTTTTTTTTTCCTCCGAGAAAAGGCAAGGACTGCACTGTATGAGTATATGTAGGTGATGTCAGAGAAGAGGCATATTAGTTGACTCAACCGGAGTGATAATTGATATCTATGGCTAGTTATATCATATTTAAATGTTTACCAGGCCCCTAAAACTACCAATAATAATTACCTACCATTCTACAGACATGCCTGGAAATGATTTCTGGTTTGTGTTAGCCAAACTTAACAGTTCACGTGATCTCAAAGTACCAACCACAATTTGTGGCCCTGATCGAAGAATCGGCAACTACCGACGATTCAGAGCCGTTAAGTGGCTTGTGAGATTAAGACAGAGCCGCCGGGAACCGTTGGAAGCTTGTGTGAGCATCGATAACGACGCGACCGAAGATCGCAAAGCGAACAGTTTCGTTTGCGCCCCCGATAGACATTCTCTAGCCAATTAAGGTGACTTAAAACATCTAAAGTGCATGTGCCTAGGAACTACCGTAAGAATACCAGGATAGGTTAACCTTCATAACATAGAGTACCTATGTACATGTCTTTTCTCACAATACTCAAGGCGCACACTCAGTTTAATCACGAGTTTCAAAAGCAGTGGTTTTTCGGTACAAATGGGAACGCAGAAGCTTTGAAATTGAGAAAATTCTCAGCAAGAGCCTACTTGTCGGGAGTCGTGTGATATCTATGACGGTTTCTCTGACATTGAAGTCCGAGGCTTGCATAATATGTCATTGTTATGATTAAGCACAAGTGATGATACTAGGTACATGTAATAAAGTCGCCTGCTGCCGGAGTCAAGAATTAAGCGGCGGTTTCTCAGTGGGTCTACCCAAGCTCAGTGGGAAACGTCAGAATTCCAGACTTTCTGAGCGGCAAGTTTTCTCGTCACCCACGATAGAGGGAAGCATAAGTGCCTCTATCGTATCATGTAGCTGCAGGAGGTTCCGCCGTTGCGTCTGGTTCGGTAACACAGAGAAAGAAGTCGTAACCGACGAACTGCTACAATCCAATGTCATCCATCCTCTCCCCCCTCTCGCGTGGTTCCAGAACCAGGACATCAACCGCCAAGTTCTTGTTTTTTGTGATGGTGAATTGTGTGGTAGTGGAAGTGATGGTGTTTACCAACCTCCGGTGGTGGTGGTGGTGGTGGCCTGTGCTTCGCGTTTGGCATTCACTGCAGATCTCCATTTTCCAATTTCCACTCTCTTATCCACACCCTCACGCACATCGCCCAGAGTTTGTCGTCTTGAGATCCTAATCATGATCACCCATCTCCCAGATCTCGTGTTAGCTTTTCTATATCCAATTCCCATCATTCCGCTGTCTCCTCGGCCTACCAGTTACACCCCCATTCTTTGAACTACAGATCAATCAGAGAGAGCCCTCGGCTTGTTCGTACATACATGTATTTACCTACATATTGTACGCACGTGTATGTACGTGCATGTACGTACACACTACGCTGTACCCAAGAAGACCGCTGTACTTTTAGAAATAATTGTGTTCACTCTCATTAGCTTTGCCTGACACCCGAGCGCGTTCACTCACTGCTGCTGCTGCTGCTGCTGCAGTGTCTGTATGGGAACGAACAGATACACTTAGGCCAGCCAAATCAGACAGACATACCAAGTGCATAAGAGGCGAACGAGGGAAGAGAAAGCTGTTCACACTAGTCAAAGTTTTATAACCCTTCCCTCCCTTTCTCGTCTTCTCCGAGCGCCGCTTCCTTTGGGCACTTCCATCTGCCACCAACCACCAACTCGTACCCCCCCTCCCAATAAAAGACCTCCAGTTCGCTTGCCCCAATTTATTCTTTCGCTTCCTTCTTATTCTTTCTTCCTCCTTCCCCTCTTCGTGTCGCCCCGCCTTCTTGTATCAATTACGGTTATTAGAAAGCTCCCATCCACGTTGTTGCTAGTATCAATCGTCACTGTTCGCTCATTATCATCACCCATCATCATTATCTAAGGTCTTGGGTGTTGAGAACCCCAACTTTGGAAACCAAATACCACCGTCACGCCCCACAAAGTCACTATAAATACCTATATCTGTCTCTTTACAACCCCGAAAGTGTTCGATCCTCGCTTTCATCTTAAAGAGGGGGTGCTTTTGTCAGAAGTAGCAGTTCACGATGTTCAACGGCCACCACCACCATCAACATCACCATCATCACCACCAGCAACCAATCCATGGACTTCCACCAAAACCTGTATTCGACAACGGCTCGCCGCTTAGTCTCTCACCAAGTAATAAGGGCCCAGCAAAACCCAAGGACGAAAATAACCCCGTTAGCTACTCTTTTTGCATTCCCTTTAGCATATTGCCAGGCCCGGACCCCGATGACATAATTACGGCAAGCCCGGGAGCGAAAGAGAGATGGATACAGTCAGTCGAACGTTTTAATGATACCGACACCCCTGCATACTCACTACCGATACACCAGGCGAATGTGGACACATTGAGGAAGTTGTGTAAAGAGATATCTGACGCATTGGAGTTCAAGTGCGAAGCGGCGTTGACGGTATCCGAGCCCCAACACGGTTCTTATCGACAGACCAAGAGAGGGATCATTACGAATGTATGGCTATCTGGTCATCCAGAGTCGGTGCTGCGGGCCAGAGGCGTAATTATGCAGAATACACCAGTCGCACTAGTAAGTTTGGCCAGAGGACCTCGGGGATGAGAGGGAACAGGTTAGTAATAAAAACTGTTTGCGCAGAGGACAGCCTACGTGAACATTGATCGTGATCAAATTTATGATGATGAGAATGTCTTCAACCAAAATTTCTTTTCTCATCTAGAGCACACAGCGAGCTTTACCGGAACGGATATCTTTCTGTTGAAGACCCCCGGGATAAGCGCAGACGCTGCGGCGGCGGCAGATCTTGGAAATAGCACCAGCCAAAGTAACAGGTTACAAATCAAAATCTATGGTGACTATGAAAGCGTTGAGCATGCAAAGACAAGAGTCCTTGTCGCCATTGACGATATGGTAAGCACATGACACCGATCCCAACCTCACGGCATCGATCTTATTTACAATTTTTTAGCTGGGCCAGGTCTTAGATACTACAATGGTCGAGCTATCCACGCAATCCTTGATATGTGGTCGCGGGAGAAAGAACATCAAGCACATTGAATCGCAAACTCGAACGGCAATATACTTCCCACCACCATTTCCCCGTATCTATGGCTACAGACCCCCTCATGCTACCTCACGAGACCCGGATCAGGTATTCATCACAGGTAGCTGCCGCGAGGATATCGCCAAGGCCGAAAGAATGCTTGTCAACATTGTACGGTTAATGCTTAATTTGCTTGTAGAAATGATTGCTGATTACCACTGTAGCGTCGTGGCCTAAGACTTTACGTCAAGGACGTCTCCATTACGATGACGAAACTTGATTACCTTCTCCTTGAACGTTTGGATGACATCAAGAAGATTATGGAGGCGAACGCAACTTATGTCCAATTGCCACGCCTCGGATCGTTAGGACAACGGGATGTCTGCATGAGGATCCAAGGAACAGAAACCCTCAATATTGAGCGTACAGTTCGATCAATTATGGCCATCTGCGGACAGTATTATAATGCTACCTGGTGGATGATCCCTCCGGACATGCACCATGGCGAACTTACTTCATTACCGGCGCCGCAAGATCTCAGAAAGATGATCACCGATATTTCGGCATTTAGTGGGGCTGATATTGCTTTTAATAAGCAATCATTTGATATGTGTGGTGTAGACGACTGTGTGAAGATCGCTATGCACATTTTGAGTGAAGTGCGCCTCGTCAAGCAGTATCCGTTTCAGACCCGGGTAAAGATTGAGCTTGCCAACGAACACAAAGAATTCGTTTCCGGAAAGAAGAACGGCAAAATCAATAAAATCATGGGCCAAGCTGGTATACAAATAGTATTCGACGCGTTTAACGAATACAACTTCTTCATTGACGTTGTTTCCAATAATTTCGAACAAGCAGCATTAGGCCTGCATTTGGTCGAGCATGAGCTTCCGGCATCAGTGTCTTTTCATGTCCCAGATTCTTATCACAAGCGCATCATAGGGATCGGCGGGCAACATATTCAGAGGATAATGAAAAAATATTCGGTTTTCGTAAAGTTTTCTAATGCAATGGAAAGAGGTTCTGCAGGAAGAATGGAATCCGATGATTCTAAGGTAGACAACGTCGTCTGCAGGACGCCGGCTAGAAACGCAAAGAATTTGGAATTGGTGAAGGCGGAAATTATGAAAATGGTTCAACAGGCTGATGCTGAAATCGTGGAGGAAAACGTCATTGTGCCACGGTTACTCCATCGACCATTGATGGCACAACGTCAAATATTTGATGATCTCGAGGCAAAATGGGGGTGCTCAGTCATATTTCCGAGTACTGAATCAGCGAGCGATGTGGTAAAAATCAAGGGTCCTGAGTGGCAAATCCCTCAGGCTGTTCATGAGTTCTTGGTATGTGCACTTCTAAAGCAGTAACATCCTCACGGTTTTATCTAATAAGTTTAGTCTCACGTTCCCGAATCTCATAAAATTCAACTGTTGAGATCGAAACAGCTCGAAGATCTAATCCATGGAGAAGCCATCAACCACCAAGTTACTGAACCTATGCGAAGGCAGTTTGGAATTGAAATGAATTTTGAGCGCAAAGAAAACTACGCGAAAAACCAAACTGTATCTTTTACTTACACTAGGAATAACGCAGGAGGTGTTCGAGATGCTATAGATATGTTGACAAACTTTCTTGTTGCAAATGGCGTTGATGCAGAACCAGTCAATGGAGCACTTCCGCGCCCAAAATCAGACTCTTTTGAAGATTATGCACCGTTTTTTGAACAACGCATCCTTCAAAAGACTTCACCCGTCGGATCACTCGGTTCCACCACTGCCCAAGGTAACCGACTTTCGGTAGATATGGGAATTTTGGGAGGGGCTATTCACGGCGAGCCAGGTCCGTTGACAG